TGTATTAGTGCTCTGTATCTAATGGAGCTCAACATATCTGATCAAATTTTAATACTCTGAATATAAATGCATTTTGTTCCACTTTTTCCCATATTTGTTTGTGTAACTAATTTAAATGTAATGTTCAGTATTATTATTAATAGAACAAACTGGTATGAACATTTTAAAGTCAGCAAAGCTTCTAAAATTATGCAAAGTAAAACTTGTGGCTCTTTGAACTTGAATACCCAATTCTAGATTGCATTTAGGAAATTATTTTTTATCAGTGTAAGTCAGGATTGTCGACCTGAGTAAATTATGATGTGCACAAAAAAAAAAAGGAATAAAAATAAACAAAACACACTGAACCACTACAGCCTCTATTGTAGTATTGCTAGTTACAACAGTACAGTTAACTGTTAACAGGCTGATGAATGACAAAACTCTTTAAAACTTTAAAGCTTTAAATCTTTAGATACATTTAGACTCTCAGCTGTAAGGGTAAATACAGAAGAGTCTAGCTGTGCATAGGCTGAAAAAAAGCATAAAAATGGCATAAAAACTGTGTAAACGTGACGACATGTACACAAAATATGGCTTGATGGAATAATTCAGTGAGAGCAAACCACAATGAGTACTGCGCATCAAGATTTGATCAATAAATTGAAGCACTAAAACCATGCCAACTCAACTAACATCTTACAAAAATTAATCCAGATAAAGAATAATATAAATTTATTGAATAATATATAATAATATAAATGTATTGAATAATACAATTTAAAAAAAATTAAGTACAGTTGTTAATTTGAGGGGGTGGCGTCATTTTTATTTTTGGGGGGTCCCCAAAAGAGTTCGCCCTACACAAAGGGGCCCTCAGCTGAAAAGGTTTGAAAACCCCTGCTCTATATAGTTATAATAGTCACACATGAAAGCATATAAAACGCTTGTGTTACTCTAAAACTGGAGCTTTCCTGTCTTTTGACCCCATTGATGCTGCACACTGGTGTTGGTGTGGAGAGACCCCCCATCCCCCACGAACACACACACACACACACACACACACACACACACACACACACACACACACACACACACACGATTATGAAGTGCTTTAGGTGTATGGCCATACACAATAAATGTGCTATTCTTTTAGCTATGTTTTATTATTTTTTTAAAAACTGTCTTGGTCAATATTTATGTAAAATTCAGTCGGTTTCGTCTCAAGTGAACACAAACAACTGGGAGAAAAATGAATCAATACATTGGATCTGTGCATTTAAGTTAATGTGATAGCAATAAAAAAAAAACATACAAATTGCTTTATATCTTTAATTTTTATTATACAGAAAAATAAAAATAAAAATGTTGCAGCACTGCACTCTCTTTCTTCAAACGGTGGCTTGCAAATTGTGTATATTTTTGTATAATGAAATTTAAATTGACTTAAATTCTATTTACTTTACTTCTTTTCTATTTGCAAATGAATTATCTTTTTCAGGATCTCCGTGGGGGTCTAAAAAGCCTTAAGATGTCTTAAATTTCAAAAACAAATATTTAAGCCTTAAAAAGTCTTAAATTCACTGAAATATTGTCTTCTGGTCTTAAATGAATTTAAACAGGGCTTAATTTTCCTTTGTTTACGTAAAGCTACCCAATTGATCCAACACATTCAATCAGCAACAACACATCTCAATAAAACATTTAGCAAAACTATTCATAACTAATATTATTATGCTGTAGTTTTAAAGTAAAGCACAAATCAACAGTTTGTTTTGGTTTCTTAATTATTTCCATAGCTTTGTGTTTTGAGCTATTTGTGCTTATCTCTGTATAAGAGGCACATTTGTGTAGCGAATGTTTTGGTATGTCACATCTCATATGCATTAACTCAAAATTCTGTCATACTCAGTCACAAACCTGTTTAAGTTTCAAAGATTTTTTTAAAAAGTTGGAAATCGGTAACCTTTGAATTCTGTATTTGATTTTTCTACTATGGAAGTCATGCATCAACATTAACATTTTTCAAATTATCTTCTTTTGTGTTCAACAGAAAGAAATTCATAAAGGGTTGGAACCAGTTCAGAGTGAGTACTTTTATATCTTTAGGTAAACTATCCCTTTAAGCTCCCACTTATACCTCCAACAAGAAGCTTGGAGCCATTAGGAATGTCCTGGACGGTCTCCACAGGGTCTGAATAAAAACAGGCTCTCCATGACTGCGATGTTGAGAAATGGGCGCTGTTGGATTCCTGTAGAGTAAAGCGACAGTGAGAGCATGACATACTTATAGTAAAAAAGCATGTTGTTTTCTACTTTAACCGAAGTATCTTTATAAAATATAAACAGTGTGATGTCTTTTTGAACCTGTGTTGATGCTCACGCTGTACAGTATTGCTGTTTGCTTCCAGTAAACTTTAGTTCTTTGAAAGGAAGTTCAAAGAATACTTCAATGTCACGTTTAAACATGTCAAATTTAAAAGTGAATTATATAATATTCCCCATGTTCATTTTAAATTCTTTCATCATTCATTAATTTCACGTGCTATTCAATCTTTAAAGAGACACATAAATAAATGGTGAAAGGTTGAAAGACATTTTCATAATATCTAAAGAGTCTTAAATGAAAAAACATTATGTATAAAGTAAAATTTAGCTGGTCAGGTAATGCTTAAATAAAAGTAATTAAGTAAATAAAGTAGCTTTGTTCTCATATTACCAACAAAATGCATTAATCCTAATTCTACTGTCAAACATTATAGATTATAAATATCAGTTACACTCGATCTTAAAGTACCATGTTACTGACGGTTGTCATTGGTTATGCTTGCATTTCTTCCAATGCATTAAGGTGTTCTAATATCTTTCCACATGTTTTATCAAATATTTTATTTGATTGTATTTTTTATTTAATGTTTCTCATTATTGATATAACTCAACCTCTCCAAAGCAATCATGTTTACGAGATCTCTTCCCCACGTACCAAATTTAGGTACAGATTCAGCTTTTCACATTCTCAAAATTCCCCTTTTGGTAGTAATACCATACCAAATAACATGGCTTGTCTTTCATGTTTATTGAACATCTCTAAGTTACTAAATATCCCAAGAACAGCTATAAGTGGACATGGATTTTTGGAGGGCTTTAGAAAAACATTCAAATATATTTTCCAAAAATTCTTAAATTAATTTTTAAATAAGATGCTTTTACTTACATCACTGGCAGAATATTTAGCTTGTTTTAAAATGGTGGTTGTATCAGTTTGAGCCTGAAAAGGACGCTGCTGAACCTCATGCTTGCCCTCTAAAATAAAATCTGACAAGTGTCTTTCATACAGTTGAAGTCAAAATTATTAGCCCCCTTTGAAATGTTTTTTCTTATTTAAAGATTTCCCAAATTATGTTTAACAGAGCAAGGACATTTTCATAGTATGTCTAATAATATTTTTTTTCTTCTGGAGAAAGTCTTATTTTGGCTAGAACAAAAGCAGTTTTTAATTTTTGAAATATAATTTTAAGGTCAAAATTATTAGCCCCTTTAAGCTATATATTTTTTTGATTTTCTACAGAAAAACTATTATGTTTAGAAATGTGTTGGAAAAATCTCCTCTGCGTTAAACCGAAATTGAGGGAAAAAATAAATAAGGGGGCTAATAATTCTGACTTCAACTGTATATTCAGGTTATAATTATGTGTAAGCAATATGAAACGTTTGTTATTGGAAATGTAACACAAGTAAAGCGGCCGCAAAGAGAGACACTGCATAAATTGCATAAATTGTTAGCGGTGCCAAATAGCATTTCTTGTTGTTTACATCCTTGTTTAAGTCCTTGCTACAGCATATCATTTATGCTTGACTCTATGCATGTAATAGTTCAGTTTGAACAAATAAAACACTTTAGTTTCCCAGTGATGGGTTGCAGCTGGAAGGGCATCCGCTGTGTAAAACTTTTGCTGGATAAGTTGACAGTTCATTTTTTGTCTTTGTCTATTATGGTTGGAGCTGCTCCTTCTTTGAGGAGTTTTTAGTCGAATCCCACACTGAACTAAGAGAGGTTCTGGAAGCTAGCTTTTGTCAAATGATAACTATATATATCTTTTTAATTCTCCAGAAACAAAAGAACAGAAACAAAAGAAGCTCTGTGGAAATAGCAGCATTTGGACGGCATTTTAGCTTTTTCTGCTATAACATTATAGTGCCTCGGGCCACGCCCCTTCACTGTACAGGGCGTTTGTGATCTCACTAGCCCGGATGTATTTTTTGTAGTCACCAAACTTCATTCGCTGTAGGCTAACTTTGTAAAAACCAATGTCTCCCTTTGCATTGAACTTTGAGTGTATTATATTCAGAGATGTTGTTTATGTTCACACAGCTACATGACACATCACCTAAAGTTTAAAATTATATCGTTGTCGACCAACCCTTTAAGAAAAAAAAACTTAATTTTTACTTGTTATTTCTGAGAAAAAAAAGAAAAAAATATATATATATATTTTTTTTACTTGTCTAGAAAATACTCATTGCTTATTCGAAGATTAAAACAAGGTTATTTTACTTACCCCACTGGCAGATTATTTTGCTTATTTTAATGAAAACTCACTTAATTATGACTTATTATTTCTGAAAACAAGACGTATAGTTCAACATGCATATATGAAAACAATACTTCTAGATATGAGGTATCAACATATGGTTTTAGCCCCTTTTTGTCACTTTATAATTATGTTTTTAATGTAATTGTGTGTTTTATTGTAGCATACACATCCAAGCTAAGAACATTAGTTGATGCATTTTTGTTATTCTTCTTTGTTTATTTTTTATTTTGTTTATTAAAAAACTAAAAACTACAAATAATGAAAATAACATTTAATAAGAATAAAGCAAACCCTATTTTGGCATGTAGAAAGGCAATAAATTAGTCCTGTAATAACATGTTTTCCATGTACTCCCTGTTCACATTCCCTTAGTCTAAAGCCAAGCCAAATGGCAAAGTGAAGAGTTGCAGCTGTAGGGCTTTACTGGAAGTCAAGGGGGATGGAGATATTTTGGACAGAGAGTCAAGAAGGCGTGCTGACAGACGATTCATAAGGGTCAAAATAAGCTCCAGAGCAACTGATTCTTGATCATTTTCATGTTTACTTTTATTGCGATTGGACACAAAAGCTGTTCGTGAAAGTGCCACTTTTGGAGGAGTCTGTAATTCTGTAAGTATTCCTCAATCTCAGACACTATTAGCTTTCAGTAATTTGTCTCAAAAATCGTTCAGAGGATATGTGTTAACTTTATTGAATGCTTAATGTCCATATTTTATCACGTTTTCATTCCTTCTTTAGTAAAAGTTTGCTTCACAATATACTGTTTTACTATTTAAAAGCTGCTTTTGAGATCGAATTTCTCAACACAATCTCTGTTTTCAACCATAGTTTTGCAGTGTCTAAATGTTTAAAATTGTACAAGTTGTACAAATGTCAGCAGCTTAAGCAAGCAAATTGTTAATTGGCGTTGCTGATGTTTACAATGCTTACGATGCTAAAAGCATGCTAACGTATGCTAACAATGTGTTAACCATGTGCTACTTCAGACTATAATGATGCTAACCATGCTTTTTAAACACTTTTATTTACATTTTAAATATAGAAATTATAATATTCTCTTATACAATAGATTCTTCAATCCAGATATCTGCTGAAACTAAAGATAACAGTCTTGTACATTTGTAGTACTTTTTACTCTGTTTACGCAGGAAATGCAACATATTTATTTACTATTTAAAAGCTGCTTCTGAGATCAAATTTCTCAACACAATTTTTGTTTTTAACCATAGTTTTGCAGCCATAGCCATATCACCCTGCAGCCCAAGACCGGTTACTCACTGAAGCTAAGCAGGTCTTAGCCTGGTCAGTACCTGCATGCGAGACCACATGGGAAAACTAGGTTGCTGCTGGACGTGGTGTTAGTGGGGCCAGCAGGGGGCGTCCAACCTGTGGTCTGTTTGAGTCCTAATGGCCCAGTTAACTTGAAGGGGACACCATATTGTCAGTGGGCACCGTCTTTTGGATGGGACGTCAAGCCTGACTCTCTGTGGTCATTAAAAATCTCATGGCTCGTCTCTTAAAGAGTAGCGGTGTGACCCCAGTGTCCTGGCCAAGTTCCCTCCATCAGTCCTTAGATATCATGGCCTCCCAATCATCCCCGCCCACCAAATTGGCTCTATCACTGTTTCTCTGTTGCTGGTGTGTGGTGAGCGCACTGGTGCTGTTATCCTGTGGCTGCAGTCACATCATCAAAGTGGATGGTGCACACCTAGTGCTTTATGATTGTAAAGTGCTTTGGGTGCATGGCCACACACAATCCGCTTGTTAAGTGTGACGTCACGCGAAGCGGCTTCTGGGTCCAAGTTTTCTATTCAACTGAATGGGGAGGCTCACGAAATGGTAATAATAAACGTTTACGAAGCGATTTAATACTTTCGAAAATAAAGATAGAAGTATATATGGTCATGCCTAATATCCGATGTCAGAAAATGATTCATTTTTTTTTAATTGTTAAATTTTTGGTATTTGTTATGCAGCAAGCCCAGAGAATGTTGTGTACACTATGATTTTATATAAAATTAACTTTAATGTGTGATAGGAATAAAACGTGATCATAAACGAATGATTTCTCCACTCAAATGAATGGCGGCTTGGCCCCGGAAACAGTATTACATACGTCATCACTTAACAAGCGGATAAACACACTATATAAATACACATTACATTACATTAGTGTCTAAATATGGAAGCATGTTTACAATGCTAGAAGCATGCTAATTTATGCTAACAATGTATTAACCATGCAACAAACGTGCTAGCAACATGCTAAGACCAAATCCCAATTCTAGCCCCTAGCCCTTGTTCCAGTTCTCTTTAGCTTAAAGGTGTAGGGCTAAGGGGAAGGGCTAGATACCTCTTCAAACAGAGATTTTTCAGGACCACTCTCGAAACCAAGGGTAAGAAAATTTCCCAGAATACACCAGCTATAATGGCAGCATGGCAGCATTCGGAAGTAAAGAGATCCACAAATTAGTATTTTTGGTCATTATTACAAATTTTAACAAAAAACAAGCTTGTTTAAATTCATTCATAATGGCGTTCGTGTTTTACCGTTATGCTTTAAAAAAATGCTAAAATATAAACTGCTACATTTTGCGATCTATTATTTATAATCATAACTCCTGTACAGTTGTCCCACAGCATTCAGACACTCGATGACACTGGAATACCCAATCAGAAAAGTCTAGTGACTGGGAATGACCTTTTCACAGTGTCTGCTGTAGTATAGCGCAGTAAAGTTACAATCTTATTGCCACATTAGATCATTATGCATAATATATGCCTTTAATGATTTCCTGAAGATAAATACCAAAAAATAAACCAACTGGAAAAACTACTTGGGAAAATACAACACACTGATTTACTATTTAAAAGTTGTTTCTGGGATCAAATTTCCCAGCACAATCTCTGTTTTAATGAATTAACTATTTGTTAGCAAACATCAGCAGCTTATGCTAACAAATAGTTAATTAAAGTTGGTAATGTTTACAATGCTAAAATTATCCTAACAATGTGTTAACCATGCAACAAACATGCTAGCAACATGCTATATCAAACCATGATGCTAACCATGCTTTTTAAACACTTATTAACGTTACATTTTAAATATAGAAATTTATTTTTACATTTTGCCATGATATTCTCTTATACAATCAATGCTTCAATCTAGATATCTGCTTAAACTTAAGATAACAACCTTGTACATTTGTAGTTCCCCTTCGGGTGGGGAACTCCAATGCTATTAGTGGATTTGATTTTAGAAAATCCACGTATGGGAGGATTCGGTTCAGAAGCCACTTGTCTGAAAGAGTATGGAACGGGCCAATGAATGCCGATGAATTGGCAGCGTAAGCTTGCGCATGTGTGCTTCATTGCCAATTAACTCCGCATATAAGCACAGGTGAATCAAGCATTCGCTATCCTTTTTGCTTCAGAGACTTTCTGATCAAGTCGATGAGGGTTCCTCCTGCTGTGATCCCGCGATTCCAGCGAACGAGAGCATTCTCCTGGTCCAGAGTGTGTACACGCAGCGGCAGACGGTTGAGCTGGGTTTTTCCCTTGCCTGGCGTTCTTTGGGTCAGGTCCTCCAGAGCGGTGCGTATAAAGTTGCAACTTCACAAAGAGAGCAACACAGTCGGGCAGCACGTCCTTTTCAGGATGGCGCTCCGACTGTGCGTTTCTGGATGCGGTGGTTTACTGTCCTCGGATGATGGGCACGGGCACTGCGTTGCATGCCTGGGGGGTCCAGCATATTAATGCGCTGCTCGCGGGCAGTTCATGTCGTCATTGCGATGCCATGACTGTTGTGCAGTAAAGATTGCGGCTAGCCTTTGCAAAAGGGCAAACCACCACAGTTGTCCCCTGCTCTGCAGCAGGCACACAGGCAGATCTGAGGGTTCAGCGAGAGATAATCCGTCGCCCACGGGCCCGTGGACCTCCCGCTCCTCCAATTGCTCCATCCAAGCTTTGGGCTGGGGAAGCGATCCGTCTAACAGATGGTAGCCCTTACGCTCAATGACACCGGAGACCAGACGTCCACCGCGGCATCGGAGGGTGGGCTTTCATTGTCCGATGATAATCCAAACCCACTCGCCCCCTCCGGGCAGGTGAGCGCTGTCAAAACGGATCCTGAAACGGACATGTTAGCCGTGTTTTCCCGGGCTGCTTCGGCCGTGGGTTGGAGATGGTTTATCTCCCAGCTCCGCTGGCCTGTTCGGCTTCACCGTCTGTGAATTCACCCAGGAATTCGAGGCGGTGAGAGAGCAGTTTGATGGGTGCTGTCCAATCGGCGAGTCCGTAAGCCCGCTCCGCCCACCGTACCATCCATATCTGCTCCTCGCCGAAGGCGCCCGCCTACAAGAGCTGCACCGCCCCCGCACAAGCCTCTGGAGAAGCGAGCGCGTCGAGCACCTCGGAAGCAGGCAGCCCCCCTGCCCAGAATGATGCTAAGTCTGGCAACGGACCGCGAAGCGTCCCTGGGACAGGCCATCTGGAGAAGAGGAAACTTGCTCTTTCTATGCTGGAGGGCAGGGCCCCATTTCCAACGGCACTTTTTACTGCCATGCATTTTTCCACTTCCCTGGATGTGACAGCCCGAAATCTGCCAGTCTGGCACGCTATGCTTTCTAGCTTGCAGGCTCGGTGCGTTTCGCCAGTGGCTCACGAGCGCTGGGAGGACGGTCTCCTTTCTCCCACCCCTCGAGCCACCCCTCCGGAGCTCGGGTGCGGAGTGAGAGTAAATCTCTCACTTCCAGCTCTTCCGTGGGACCCGCGCGCTTCCCGGATCACCACATCCACTCCGCGCTGCCCCACTGCTGGTACGTCAGCGATTGTAGCGATGAGTCCATTAGCGAGAGCTCTGCCTGCCTGGTTAGCATAGGCCAGCCCTTCGTGGTGGCTCATACGCACAATCAGACTCGGCTATGCAATTCAGTTCGCGAAACGGCCTCCCAAGTTCACGGGTGTGTATTCACCAGGGTCAGCTCCCTGTCCACCCCTGTCTTGCGAGAAGAGATTGCTGTCCTCCTGGCGAAAGATGCAATCGAGCCGCTCCCTCCAGCCGAGATGGAGAGCCGGTTTTACAGCCCACACTTCATCGTGCCCAAAAGAGTGGTGGGTCACGGCCAATCCTTGATCTGTGCATTTTGAACCGCTGTCTGCACAAGCTGCCGTTCAGAATGCTCACGCAGAAGCGCATCCTCCGGTGCGTTCATCCTCTGGGTTGGTCTGCAGCATTAGACCTGAAGGACGCGTATTTCCATGTCCCCACTCTTCCACTCGGCTCGCAGGCATCCGCATACTCCATTATCTCAATGACTGGCTGATTTTTGCAATTGATTATGCACAGAGACAAAGTGCTCTGGCACTTCCACTTGTTGGGGTTTCAGGTCAACCGAGAAAAGAGCAAACTCGCCCCCGTGCAGAGGATCTTTTCTCTCGGGCTGGAGCTGGACTCGGTCACCATGGCAGCGCGCCTCTCCGGAGAGCGCGCTCAGCTGATGCTGTACTGTCTGAGAGAGTTCGACAGTAAAATAGTGGTCCCACTGAAACTATTTCAGAGGCTCCTGGGGCATATGGTATCCGCAGCCGCTTCACGCCGCTTGGATTAATCTATATGAGACCACTTCAGCACTGGCTTCCTACATTCCTACAGGCCTGAGTGCCTCTAGGACAGGCGTCCAGTCTTCTTGTTGTTTCAACAGACGCTTCCAACACGGGCTGGGGGGCTGTGCGTTGCGGGTATGCGGCTGCGGACCTCTGGAAATGAACCCAGTTGCATTGGCATATCGCCTGGAGCTGTTGGCAGTGTTCCTCGCTCTCCACCATTTTTTTTCCGGTGCTGGAGCAGCAACATGTGCTGGTCAGGACAGACAGCACGGCGGCGGTGGCGTATATCAACCGCTTGGGGGGTATTCGCTCTCGCTGCATGTCTCAGCTCGCCCGCCGTCTGCTCCTCTGGAGTCATCCACGGCTGAAATCGCTGCACGCCATTCACATTCGGGCAAGCTCAACCGTGCAGCTGATGCGCTCTCACAGCAGCCTTACGTCCTAGAGAATGGAGACTCCACCTCGAGTCTGTTCAGCTGATATGAGAGCGATTCGGGGAAGCCCAGATCGATTTGTTGCTTCCCCCGAGATCGCTCATTGCCAGTTGTTCTTTTCCCTGACCGAGGGCTCTCGGCACGGATGCACTGGCTCACAGCTGGCCTCGGGGCATGCGCAAATACTCATTTCCACCAGTGAGCCTGCTCTCGCAGTTACTGTGCAAGGTCAGGGAGGACGAGGAACAGGTTGCTGGTTGCACCCCTCTGGCCCAACCGGACCTGGATGTCAGAGCTCTCCCTCCTCGCGATAGCCCTCCCCTGGCAGTTCCCTTTGAGAGAGCACCTACTCTCTCAGGGACAGGGCACCATCTGGCACCCTCGCCGATCTTTGGAACCTCCGGGTGGTCCTTAGACGCGAGGAAGACTTAGGTAACCTCCGATTGCGGTGGCTAATACCTTCACTCGGGCTAGAGCCCCCTCCCCGAGCGCGCCTATGCCCTGAAGTGGAGTCTATTCACTGAATGGTGCGTCTCTCGCAGAGAAGACCCCCGTAATTTGCCAGATTAGCATTGTGCTTTCTTTATGGCAAGAGAAGCTGGAGAGCAGGATGTCGCCCTCCACACTCAAGGTTACGTGGCTGCCATCTCCGCTCTCATGACGCGGTGGCTGGCAGCACCGTGGGAACGCATAACCTCATCATCCAGTTCCTCAGGGACGCTAGGCGAATTAATCCACCCCGCCCCCCTCTCATGCCCTCTTAGGATCTCGCCCTCGTTACACGAGCTGCGTCAGATCCCTTCGATCCTCGACTCAGTATCTTTTCTGTCCCAGAAGACAGCTCTGCTGGTCGCGTTGATATCGATTAGAGGGTCGGGGACCCGGAGGCATTTTTCGGTCAGTGACTGGTGCCTGTAATTGGGCTGGCTTTCTCTCACGTCCTGAGACCCCGCTCGCGATATGTGCCCAAGGTTCCTACCACTCCGTTTAAATACCAGGTAGTGAGCCTGCAAGCTCTGCCTCCGGAGGAGGTAGAAATTAAGATTAATTAAAGATTTTAATTAAATTAAAGATTAAGATTAAATTAAGAAATTAAAATGCCGTATCGAAATTAAGATTATCCCACTGGATTGTGGATGCCATTCTCTCGTTTATCAGAGCCGAGGTGAGCCGTGTTCCCCGAGAGTGCGTGCGCACTCCACTCGGAGCATTGCATCCTCTTGGGTGCGTGTATGCGGCACCTTTCTAACAGACAACTGTAGAGCTGTGGGCTAGGCGACACCCAACACATTTACAAGGTTTTACAATCTGCGAGTGGAGCCGGTTTCCTCAAGGGTATTAGGTAACACTTTGGTGATTGAGGAAACAATTCGGTAGGGTGTTGAAACACACTTGCTGCGCCATTCTCCCTAACACGGAGATACGTCCGCCTTTTTATTTGTCAGTAAGTTCCTCGTCAGGTGAGCCCCACAGATTCCTCCATGGCCCCCAGCACTGACTTAGCGGAGGAGTCACTTGCTGGCCCACTACGTTGTAGGTCTGCCCGCTGGTCAGCCCGCGTTTTGGGTATAGGTGGCTGCTATGTTGGAGGACCGCGCCTCCCATGATGTGGGTGCGTCACGCTTGCTTGACTATCCTCTCATCGGAGGTGTTGGTAAGGTACAGTCATTATGGCGTTTTCCATAGTTCTCCCCTACGTGGATTTTCTAAAATCAAATCCACTAATAGCATTGGAGTTCCCCACCCGAAGGGGAACACTCTGGTTACTAAAGTAACCCTCGTTCTCGAGGAGGGGAACGGAAATGCTATTTACCATCGCCATAATGACTGTCCCTTAGCTGTTAGTAAGTCTCTTCAGCTTAAAAGGATAGCGAATGCTTGCTCCACCTGTGCTTATATGCGGAGTTAATTGGCAATGAAGCACACGTGCGCAAGCTTATGCTGTTAATTCATTGGCATTTATTGGCCAGTTCCATAGTCTTTCAGACAAAGGGCTTCTGAACCAAATCCTACCATACGTGGATTTTCTAAAATCTTATCCACTAATGGCATTTCCGTTCCCCGAGGAGGGGAACGAGGATTACTTTAGTAACCAGAGCGTTCTATTTTACTCTGTGTTTACTCAGGAAATCCAACTTAGGATTTTACTATTTAAAAGCTGCTTCTGAGACCAAATTTCTCAACACAATTCCTGTTTTCATCAATAGTTTGCAGTGTCTTAATGTGTAAACATTTTAAAACAAGTTAGCTAATGTCAGCAGCTAATGCTAGCAATTTGTAATTAGTGTTGGAAATGTTTACAGTGCTAAAAGCATGCTAATCATGCTAACAATCTGTAAAACATGCTACATAAGCATGCTAGTAACATGCTAAATCAGATCTACTTTTTTTTTTTTACATTTTATATATACTTAAACATCCCATTCCTCAACCCTGATATCTGCTGACTTAAAGATGACAATATTTTTTTATTTTTTTATTATAAATTATATATATATATATATATATATATATATATATATATATATATATATATATATATATATATATATATATATACATAAACAATTTGCTTTCGTTAGCTAAAAGATTCATTCTAATGATTTGTGTTTGACTACAGACGCCAGTTGTTTATGTATGTCATTGGAAGTTTAACAAACTCTGTGTTCCCCTATAAGCTATCAATTTCCAACAGGCCGTCTTCTCTATGGATTGTACTTGCATTCTCCTTGCCCTACTCTCCACCCTGGCTTCTTTAAGTCCCACTATGGGGTGTTTCTGTGATCATTACCCATGGAGTTCCTGGTCCCAATGCACTAAAACCTGTGATTCTGGTACTCAATCACGTTTAAGGTAACAATTATTGAGCATTTATCTGATGTGTAAAGCTTAATGTTGTGATGTAAGTACATGTATTGTTGCAGGGCTGTCCAGTATGATGATCACTGGTTAAAAAACAGCTGTTCCCAGCTGTGTCAGATACATGATAATAGAGTGTGTAATGTTGAGGCCTGCCCTATAAACTGCCAGCTGACTGAGTTTGGACCCTGGTCTGAGTGTTCATCTTGTGCCAAAAAGTCAGTGAGTAAAACACACACACAGTTTAAAATGAGTTGCTCTGGGTGCTCACATAGTTTTCAGTGTTTGAGTTTTTGCATTCTATTGACCTTTTTCTTTCACATTCAAGAGGGTGCAGTCAATGGAACCTTACTGGCTCAAGACTCACATTGCAGATCTCATTCACATTCATTGATTTTTAGCTGTAAAAAAACAGCACAAAATTCAGCTTGATATTACAAACTCGTGTGTTGTTACTATGTGTAGTCATAAAATATGGTCATTTCTGCTATAGGCTAAATGAATCAAAAATCAAAAACAAAACATTTGCAGAATAAGAGCGCAGAAGCAGAATGAGGTCAGTACAGATAATTAGCATAATGCAAACTGCTGTACATATCCTATACATTCTTAAATTGCTAATTATTTTGATTTATCTAATTTGTGTACTTTCTGCAATATACATGAAGAGACTTTATTTAACTTATTCTATAAATAAACTTATAATAATGATAAACGATGAACTTCTTTGGAACAACATTATTCTTTATTTATCATCCTTATTTAAATATGATTTATTTATGAATGATGATCTGCTTTACTGCTTTGACTAGAATAATGACTTTTGTGCAACTGCAGCAGTTCAGGGCACATAATATTAGGTCAAACCTAGTTTAATGGCCCATTTCAATGCAAAAACTTACTTTGGCTTGATTTTAAAGGACACCTATTACGAAAATCTTGTTTTTGCAGTTAGGACAGAACTGTGTGTAGGTATAGTGTGTCCTGATCCAAATCCTATCCCATTTTGAGGCCCACTGCAACATGACATAGACTGTGGTTTCCCTGCCCACCAAAATTGATTGACAGCCGTGCATTAACATGTATTCGAAGTAATGTGAAAATTTGTGTGGTTTATTCATAAACTAATTTCGAGAGGATCACGTGCTTATAATCAACACGAACTGCTCCTTGTTAGCTCCGTAATCAGCCCTATTAGATGATTACGGAAGCATTATAAATAACCTGAGTTTTCCACTCCAGTTATCTTTGTCTTGAAGCTCGCTTCCCGCTACAAAACGCTCCAGCATCGCACCATTTAACCTATCGATACGGAAGAACACACAACAACAACAACAACAACAACAACAACTCCAGCCAGAGCTCCACTCTCCCTGAGAATTCAGCCGCAGCCTCGCCAAAATCGAGCCTGAATTCCCGCAAAAACGCCGGTGCTGCCCACCAGCTCTTCCATCTCCACTTCAAACTGCCTCACGCAAACGCAGTCCACAACTCCACCTAAACTCTCTAGGCGTCGACGATCCAAAACATCGCAAAAGCCTAACTCACTGCTTCCTAGCGGTGCACCCTCGGTAACGTATAGTATGCTTTTAAGGGGAAGCATCGCGGAAACAACTCATCTCCATCAAAGACTAAACCTATTTACAAATCTTTTAAAAACAAGACTCGCGTGATTAGAAGATTCATAAAAACTCACCCTTCAAGCCCGTCCACAAATCCATAAGTAAATCACTGCAAAGATCACGACATTAATCCACGACATACTGATACGTCGATGGACCGCGCTGTTATCATCCAAACTAGTCGCTGGTGTGCCGCAGTGTCTTCACACAACCCTGGTGAACAAACTTGGCCTCCGATCTTGATTGACGCCCCATCGAGCCAATAGCGAAGGAGCAGCGCCCTCATCCAATGCGCTTTTAAAACTCGATATGGTTCCGCCCTCTTAACAATTCATGAATGAACCCAGCCATAAAAGACTCGTGAATGAACTGAGACAGACATGCTTGCAAATTAAGTTAAGGTTAAGAATTTTAGAAGTTAAGATTCCTAACATGTATTTAAACAAATTAAGTAAAGCCCATAACTAACATTCCATTCATACAGTTTCCACTAAGTAGTGAATTAAGCGTTTGATGTTGGGATTTGATATAATAAATAAATAAATTGACAAATAATAATAATAATAATAATAATAATAATAATAATAATAAATAAAAACCTCTGCCAGATCTGATAGCATTTAACTTCTGTAAAGACTACTACCCAACCAGTGAGAATTTAACACAAAAGTCCAATCGTAATACGTCAATGACCCATACTTGCATATACAGTGCCATATGTAACTTATAATGGCACGCCGGCTGGAGGTGAAAATGGTAAAGAAACTAACTTTTCGCTTGACTGCATGAATAGGACATTTAAATAAATCTTCAAGAAGAATTTCTAGGACCACCAGACAAGCTACACCCCATATCCCCAGCTCTGCATCCACCTGCTATCCTGTGGGGGAACAAATGCCCACCTCGATCATCCTCGCAGACTGCGACAACGAAGCTCACAATTGTCCATGCTCTTATTAAGATGCCTTGCATTAGATATCAGCTAAAACTATTTTGTCATGTTTGCTATACATGTATCATGTTGTAAATTAAATTTCTGATTTTTTTTTTTTTTCTTGTTTCTCATTCCAGACATTAGGACAGCCGGCCCAGAAGCTGACCTTCATCCAACCTATTACACTCCACATCCGTTCCAAATGCAATCACAATCTACACAAGGATGCATTTCCAATCATACAGCCCACATCCATAATGCCATATTCACACTAGTCTTCGGGTTTTGAGATTCTCTGAATTACCATCAGTTGCAATCCCACAATCCACCTCACCATATCTGATCTGACTGGAGGAACACTATCTCTCTCCATTAAGCAAGCAAACCGATTATTTCGGCAAAGCATGTCCTATATACATTTTCAACATCCCTTCCCCCACTCACACAATTCAAATGTTTTAAGTGTAAGCACAACTTAAACTATCCCATACACCCATACATTTTCACTCACCACAGTTCCAACTTATTTAGGGGTTGGCAAAATTTTTTCTATTACTGCAGCAGGGATGCTCTAAGCAAGCTCTATACACTTACAAGTCCAATAACACTCGTCACACTGCCCTGCACTAATACAGCAGTAAATGCTTCTGCAGGAGCACACATTGTCTCCATACTGATCCTCTGCAGCAGCAGAATCGCTCCACTGTGCCATACTCACCCATTGCACCTGTAGCTAAGCCCTTATTCACTTCATCTCTACATATCACTACTAACAGTATTTAATATTCTTGCGAGAGCATTCAAAACTCTCCAATACCGATCACTACTGCACCTATCCAATAGCAGTAGCGCTCCGCTGAGCTACACTCACCATAGCATCACAACAACCGCAGTGACACTCTACCTGAGCCCCTACTTACTTTCATCTCCACACATCACTTCTAATATTTTTGTGGGAGCACCTATAATGCTCCAATACTGATTACCACCGTACCTGCAACAGCAGAGATGCTCAGCCAAGCCTTATTCTCCCATTGCACCACTGTCACAGCGCAGCTCCTTTCCTTCCCACTCCCCAACACTGCACAGCAGTTATACATTTTCGGGAAAGCGTACCCGCCTCCCGACATTGACTTCCACCACACCTCTGCAACAGCAGAGAAGCTGCAGAGTTTCTTTTCCCCCCCGCTTCACTGTCGCAGCAGTGACGCTCTGCCTGAGCTCACATACACTTCCATTCAACATACCACTATTGACACTTCACAACAGTTTAAACGCCTCCATAAAAGCGTTTACTCGTTATTATCGTCTAGCCCAATTACACGTAACAGCATCAGCGTGATGCATGTATACATTTGGAGAGGATATCAATTCATCCTCACAGCTCGCACTCACGACATCCACTATCTTGAATACAAGGACAGAAATTTATTCTGCCTGTTCCCCAACCCCCCCACCCCCCCCCCCCCTCTTTCAGCGCTCCCAGTTCAGCAAATAATCTCCCCCCATCTCTCTCCCAAGAGTGCCTGAACCCCGACCCCAACAGGAGCAAAACTTTTTTCCCCAAGGCTACCAGTATAAAATCTTTTCAGTCTTCACTTCCTTCCTGCGTCGAGTTTCTCCGCACCTCCTTCTTCTCCTTTCTAGCGTTGAGTTCCTCCGCACCTCCTTTCCTTCCTTCAAGCGTCGAATGCTTCCGCTCTTTCCTCCATCCCCTCCCACTCTCCCCCCACCACCTCAACATCTTTTACTCCCTACCCCTTTCCAGCGTCGAGTTTCTCCGCTACTTTTCTCTTTTCAGCGTCGAGTTGCTCCGCTACTATCTCTTCCTTCTAGTGTTGTTCTTCCGCTACTCTCATCTCTTCAGCCTAAGTATCACCATTCAAGGCCTGACTCCCCCGGAGTCAATCAATTACCCCAAACCCCCCCCCCCTCCACAATCGACAACTTTCTTGTTTTCTAGCGTTGAGTTCCTCCGCATCTCCTATTCTATGTTCTAAAGCGTTGAGTTCCTCCGCACCTCCTTTCCTTCCTTCAAGCGTCGAATGCTTCCGCTCTTTCCTCCATCCCCTCCTACTCTCCCCCCACCTCCTCAACATCTTTTACTCCCTACCCCTTTCCAGCGTCGAGTTTCTCCGCTACTTTTCTCTTTTCAGCGTCGAGTTGCTCCGCTACTATCTTTTCCTTCTAGTGTTGTTCTTCCGCTACTCTCATCTCTTCAGCCTAAGTATCACCATTCAAGGCCTGACTCCCCCGGAGTCAATCAATTACCCCAAACCCCCCCCCCCCCTCCACAATGGACAACTTTCTTGTTTTCTAGCGTTGAGTTCCTCCGCATCTCCTATTCTATGTTCTAAAGCGTTGAGTTCCTCCGCACCTCCTTTCCTTCCTTCAAGCGTCGAATGCTTCCGCTCTTTCCTCCATCCCCTCCCACTCTCCCCCCACCTCCTCAATATCTTTTACTCCCTACCCCCTTTCCAGCGTCGAGTTTCTCCGCTTCTTTTCTTTTTCAGCGTCGAGTTGCTCCGCTACTATCACTTCCTTCTAGCGTTGAGTATTCTGCTACTCTTACCTTTCCAGTCTAAGCTTAGACTCCCCCGGAGTCCTGCCCAGCCCACCTCCTATAGGAGTCTCCACCACCCCCTCCCCATTTAGACTCCTGTAGGAGCCTAATCTTTCAGCTCTAACTCCCACGGAGTTACCCCAAGAGCTAAGACTCCCACGGAGTCCCCCCTCCCCTCTCTCTCTCACCCCGGCCAAATACGCATCTTTCCTACCTTCTAGCGTTGAGTTCCTCCGCATCTCCTGTCCTATATTCCCTAGCGTTGAGTTCCTCCGCATCTCTTTCTCTTCCTTCCAGCGTCGAATGCTTCCGCTCTTTCCTCTCCCCCCTCTTACAACTTCTCTCCTCTCCCCACCTTTAACTCCCAATCCCCCTTTCAGCGTTGAGTTTCTCCGCTACTTTCTTTCTTCAGCGTTGAGTTTCTCCGCTACTTTACTATTTTCAGCATTGAGTTCCTCCGCTACTCTTTCCATATTTCAAAAACATCACTCACCAATCTGACTCCCAAGGAGTCTTCCCACGTTCTGACTCCCCCGGAGTCCTGCTCAGCCCACCACCTACAGGAGTCTCCACCTCTCCCTCCCTTCCCAGACTCCTGTAGTAGTCCAATCCTACAGCTCTAACTCCCACGGAGTTGACCCAGAGCTCTGATCCCCATAGGTTTCTTTTCTTTACCTTTCCAGCGTCGAGTTCCTCCGCATCTCATGCTCTCTTCTTCTCAGCGTTGAGTTCCTCCGCATCCTCTTTACTTCCTTCCAGCGTCGAATGCTTCCGCTCGTCTCTCCACCCCCTCTCCCCTACCCACTACATTCCCCTTTCCCAGCGTTGAGTTCCTCCGCTACTTTTCTTCTTTCAGCGTTGAGTTACTCCGCTACTTTCCTATTTCTAGCACCAAATCCCTCTGCTACTCTCCTTTCTTCCGTTAGGCTCCCAACCCTGCCTCCCCGAACCCAACTCCAACAGAGTCCCCAGCCTCTCCTAAGAATCAGTTTCAACTTTTCTCCTGCAGTAACCTATCTCACTTCAATTTACATTCAGCAGCCGGATATGGCACTGACCTCTCGCCTTTTGGGGGGCACTTCAATACGCGGCTGCTGTCCCGAGATGAAAACCTTTGCCTTTTGGGGAGTTCTCGAGACCTACCTGACCTCGAATTCCCCTCTCGCCCTTCTAACGGGAGGGAGCCCCGGGCTCGAGGATATTATGAGCTCAGGGCTCTCTCCCGGGACAGCATGCCAAATACGCTTTATTGATTATCAGCTAAGTGTGAACTCTTGAAGTGTGGTTTATTCATAAACTAATTTCGAGAGGATCACGTGCTTATAATCAACACGGCTGGCTCCTTGTTAGCTCCGTAATCAGCCCTATTAGATGATTACGGAAGCATTATAAATAACCTGAGTTTTCCACTCCAGTTATCTTTGTCTTGAAGCTCCCCCCCTTCCACCCCTACATCCTCCCACTTTTTCTGATCGGGCGACACGGTGGCCCAGTGGCTAGCACTGTTGCCTCACAGCAAGAACACCGCTAGTCCAACCCATCGGGCTGGTTGGTGTTTCTGTGTGGAGTTTGCATGTTCTCCCCGTGTTCGCGTGGGTTTTCCCCGGGTTCCTCCCACCGTCCAAAAACATAAACCATAGCAATCGACTAAAACAAATTATCACCCAATACAACCTGAGTTTACACTTCTCACGGTGACAAGCAGGGGAGTTCTCGAGACCTACCTGACCTCGAATTCCCCTCTCGCCCTTCTAACGGGAGGGAGCCCCGGGCTCGAGGATATTACGAGCTCAGGGCTCTCTCCCGGGACAGCATGCCAAATACGCTTTATTGATTATCAGCTAAGTGTGAACTCTTGAAATATCAATAAGACAGGACATGCACAAAGCAACTGGAATTAAAGGTTCAGCACCCTGTGATCATCAATCATCATCAAATGTGATCAAGATTGAGTTTTACAAGTTTAAAAGGTTTTTAAAACAGTGCATTTTTGTAATGAATTTACCATCTTTGCTTCATCACCACAGCCGCATGTCAGTACAATTATAAAAGAAGACCCTTCTATCCTGGTTTGTGAACGTTAAATCAGGTTGATTTTCTACATAAACATAAAAGATATCCATACAGCAGTGTGTATTAATGTCTATCCTGTCACATTTTCATGCAAAGTTAAATGTTAAACCTTCAGGAACTGAGTTTGCCACCACTGCTCTAAACCATGTTGTTTTTCAGAATATTGTGCTGTTTGTGATTTAGTTCAGAATCAGGTCTGTGTTGAGGCCATCTCAGTTCGAAGGAGCCAACTGCAGTCAATCTCTTATGGAGGAAAGAGTCTGTCATCCTTTCAAGGAATGCAGGATTGAGCCTTTGAACTGTAAAGACAAGTTCACCTGTGACACTGGTACATCAGCAACTTCTGCTACATAATCTGCTGATCTAGCAAGTTTGTACAGTCCTTCAATGCAGTGTTCTAGAAAACTTGGGACAACCAACTTGTTTTTTTTGCCACCAAAGGAAGATGTATACATGCTGATCTGCAATGCAACGATCAGAACGACTGTGGTGACAACTCTGATGAGAGAGACTGTGAGCGCAATAAAAGTGTGTGTTCAAATCAGCAGATGTATGCTTTCGTCCCTGGAGCAGACCAGATTGGTTTTGGGTGAGTTACAGATTGAGATCATTTACTTTCTGAGACCGCAAAACAGCTAAATGGAAAACATTTAGGGTGTTGTCAGCAAAGCATCTCTGGATATCAGAGAATGTGCTTGATTTAAAACTGATAATGATTAAAATTTTAATGATTAAATCAGATTTGATGCTGCAGCGGAGCAGATGAGAGGTGCTGTTCTGGACAACTCGTTCATGGGAAGTAATTGTACTGTAGAAAAACTAAAGAGGAACCTCTACAGAATCTCAGCCAACACTGAGAGATATGAACTCAAGGTCAGAAAGAAATCATTTTATGCAAGTATTTGAGTTGTCTTTTATAATTTATTATTATAAAATTATAATTATCATTTTTGCTCTATTTAAACACATATTAACTAATATGGGTTATTTAATAAGAATTGCAAAAAATCTTTATTAATAGTTCTTATAAAGAATTTTAAAAGGAATAATTCATAGTGTTTTGAACAGTACATTCATCATCTTGCAGTGCCAAATTTGTGTAGGGGGAGCTATTTATTTAGCTTTTCACAGCAAAATAGCATAGATAAAAATTCATTTTATGCATTTATGTGAGCAATATCACATGAGTAGCAGTGCGATATGGTTACATATTGACACTGGTGGGAGGTGTGCGTTTATACAAAAATTTGACAGCGTAATCGTGTGTATAAAAAAGAAAATCAAACACGGGACAGTCTCAAAAACGCCTTTGTATGAGGAACTACTTTCTTACTTCACTCATTCAAATCTGCAGCTGATGTCAGAACGGCAGAAACCGTTGCCTGTTCACAAACGTCACTGTAAAGCTAGTATTTAAATGATTGTCTAGCATAATATCTAAAGTGATGACAAAACAGGTGATTTTTACTCTCAGTTTTAGATTGTAAGGATGAACGGCATGAAGTGTCATCAGTCTACAGAAATTTCCCAGTATTTCTCTGCTGCAATTGGGATTTCACAATAATCAACCCCGAAAAAGCCAGAGCAAAGCAAACACGACCAGTTTCTGTGGTATAAATACAACAATACAAAATACAAAAAATACAACTTTGAAACCTGATTTATAATGATTTGTTCAGCTGCAGTTTGAAACTTATGCTGAGAAAATGCTGTTTTTCTCCCTAAGGACTTATTATGTGGACTCTGTTGCCATCTTGTGGCGTAACATCAACCGTCACTTTCTTTGGTCTGCTCAGACAGGCTGATGGCGGCCGACATACTAAATCTAATGCTCTAAAATGATAAATATTTTAAAATCTGTGCTATCATTTTAAATTGCAATCTAAACAACTACATTCTCAACTAAAACAGCATCAAAAGTACATTATGTTGTCCAACAGCAGCAATATTTTTTCAAACTGTAGAGTGTGCTCGGCTTGTCGCTGTACAAAGATAAATACACTAGATATAGCATACTGACCCTGAGCATGTGTCAATAGCGTCGCCACATTTGTACGGTGCTCCCAGCTCAAATGTCATTCAGCGGCACTATTCAAGATTAAAGCCAATGTGAAGATGCTGGACTTGCACTGTGTACGTGTGTAGTAACGAGCAAACAAACCATAAAGGCAGAACATTTCAGAGGTAAGATTTTGTTTTTTCACGTTTTTGTATGTTACAAACTTTAGTGCTCAAAAAATAACGTTATTGATAATAATACAGTCTCTTACTGCACTGACCATAAGGCAAAGTAGCACCAACTCACACTAAATACTAGACTTATGCTAGTTTTGTTGAATAAAATAAGCAAACAATGTAAATGAAATATGACAACAAGATGCTGAGGTGCTGGAAACTTGTCTTTTTGTTGGCTAAGTGAATAGGAGTCATTCACAAATGAATCGCTTCGTTAGAATGAGAAGTGAAGGCAGACATGGATTAGATCAAATTTAGAGGATAATATATTTCCATGCACACAAACACACACTCTTTGTCGGCAATGCCCATGTGATCACTTATGCATCAAAGTAGAAAAGTGATATAAACTTATAATTTTCGTAATTTAAAAAAATATTTGCATTCGAACCACCGGGAAAACTCCCGATCATAGATATATGTATGTATGTGTATATATCTTGTGCTCTGGATGGCAGTCCTCCGCTGCACCTTGGCCCCACATTCATTTCCTTGAGCGCTACCTTGTAGTAAAAAGGCGGTTATATTGACGCATTGCTTCCATTGGACAACAATAGCATAGGCGACATCTAATGTAAATATCTATGGTCTCTGTATGTGGGCGGAGTAATACACAAGGGTGAAGAGTGCTGTTATTTCCAGAAAATCGCACAGCCATCAACCAATTAGATTCAAGAACCAGACCAAACTGTTGTAGTAATATATTTAAATATTGGTCAAAACAATCATCATCTGCTTATAAGTAGTGGCCAGAATTTTTATATTGGTGCTGTATTGTTTTGTCACAAAATTATTACCACTAATCAAAACTCAGTCGTATTTTATTTGCAAACCCATAACAGTTCTGTTTATCTTTGGATGTCAAATAAAAGATTTTTAACCTAAGAGATTTCTGTCCTTTTATTAATGTCTATTCATTCCCAACTCTTCAGAGTGTTTTAATTAATGTCTTCTGAAAACACATGCTTTATAGCAAAAACAGATTAAAATTCAGTCATGTATAGACACTTTTCCCATTTCCGTGTTTCTCAGCAGCGGCAGTCGTCATAGTTGGTTAAATTATGATATAAACAGTGAATGGTAGAGTACAACAAATATATATATATATATATATATTCTATTTGCTAAAATAATAAAAGAAAAACTCCAGGATGGTGTTACCAAGACTTTATAAAAGGAAAAAAAGTGTGAGACTGATAACGACAGCCAGAGGAGTGAACAACGTCAAATTTACTCTCAGCCCTATAGACGTTGCTTTAAAAACAACTCAACTAAGCGGTAATTCGTTTTTTGTCATTTGACACAGAGATGATATAATACATACATATATGCATATAAATGTTCACGTATTTCATACGTCTTGTGAAAGAGATACATTATTGGTCACTGAAGCTCTAGCATGCTTGCTTGATTCGTAAGGATTCGCACAGCACATTTGAGCTTCAACAAGAACCAATGAAGTCTGTTCACATGTCAAGCAGAATTAGTCAAACATCCTTTTACGTTCACTTGTCAGTGTTTAAAGCAATGGTCTCAAACTCAATTCCTGGAGGGCCACAGCTTTACAAATATTAGTTCCAACTAACCTCCAACTCACACCTGCTTAATAGTCTCTAGTATTCTTGAACACCCTGATTAGTTGGATCAGCTGTGTTTGAGTAGTGTTGAAGCAAAACTGTGCAGAGCTGCGGCCCTCCAGGTATCAAGTTTGAGACCTATGGTTTAAAGACTAAAGATAAAACCTACTTGATGCATATATTAATGTATTTTTTATCTCAGCAGATGGACAGGAATCTCTCAGATTTGATTAAATGTCTTTTATTTTCAGAACAAAAAACATTTAGTTTTGGAATGACTCGAGTTAGATTAAATTAGGACAGCATTTTAATTTCAAATGAACCCTTTTATGACTGGCTTTTTTATTTGATGGGATTTCCAGATCGAAACCTTTGAGGATTTTCAACAAAAAGAAACCAAATCCCAAAAAATCGATCTGGCCAAAGAACCCCTTTACAGGGAAGCAGTGAAAGCATCTCAACAAAAGGTGAAGGTTCTTAAACAATGATGCTTTTATGCCCTATTAATATGTTCACATCTAAAGCAAAGATCTTCTCTCTTTTTTTCAGGACTCTGTGTTTTACCGCGTGGATCAAGTTATTGCAACATCAACATTCAAAGTAAAATCCTCTGACCTCTATTTATCAGATCAGTTCCTTCAGTTTCTAAGCAGCCTACCCTTGGAATACAACTACGCCCTTTACAGGCATATATTCCAGCTGTTTGGAACACATTATTTCAGCTCTGGGACATTAGGAGGGAAGTATGAGCTACTTTTCCAATTCGATCGAGAAGAACTGAAAACCTTTGGTAAGTAGATATTATTATTATCGGATAGGAAGCGGTTGTGGCACATCATTAGTGTTCACTTGACTTTATTGTTTCCCTCTCATTTCTTGCTATTAAAATCAGCCAAACATCTTTACACTTTTTAGGGCTTAAAGAAAGCGACTCAGAGTACTGCTTGTCTCATGATGACACACTCGTCACATTTTTTTATAATAGACATTCACAAAAAAACACTTGTGGGAATATTTCTATGAAAACCAAATATGAAGGTAACAGACATACAAATGTACTATTTACGCAAACAAGGCTTATGTTTTTAGTTATATAAATGTGTGTCCACTCCAGGGTCAATGGTAAAAGCATCAAAGATCTGTATCACATCTGTACAAGGAGGAGATCCATATTTTGCAGCAGCACTGGCCTGGGAGAAGAACTGCGTTTCACCAGCGAGCCCTTTAATCACAGACTGGATCAAGTCTACTATAAAAAATCCAGTGGTTATTCATTTTGAGGTTAGAAAGAGCAACAAACCTTAATGCCCTTTCTGTAAAAACAAAACAAAAGAGGCCATCATGGAATCTGTGATATTTTAATGGTTATAATAGAAATAATACTGGCTTTAATGGAAACTATTTGGCCTTCTATTGGTGCTGTGTTCAAATCAATACATCCTAATGTAATGTGTCCCACAACACACTTAAAATCATCAACATGTGCTACTTTTAATGGCTAAAATCTTTTTTACTACTTACTACTAATTTTAGTAGTGGGAGTCTTCTTCTGTGATGGTTTCTGTTGTTTGAAAATGGCTGTGGATTAACCTGCTAATCATACTGGCAGCCTTTTATCTAAAAAGAGAGAAAAGAAGAGCAAATCACCATCAATAAATGGCTCTCAGATTTTAATATGTTTGTGTCTTATCCAGCTTTTGCCTTTAGTGAATTTGGTGCGGGGCATCTCTTGTGCTGTGACAAAAAGACGCCACTTTCAGCGGGCACTGGAGGAGTACCAGACCGAATTTGACTCCTGCAAATGTGCCCCCTGTCCGAACAATGCTTGGCCGGCTCTTTCAGGAACCGAGTGCCTTTGTATATGCCAGACTGGAACATATGGATCAAACTGCGAGAAACGAGCACCGGACTACACCTCAGGTTTACGTGCATGCTTTTAAATATTCAAATGTGGTATTGACGTAAAATATAAATACCCTTTGTAGGCAAGGCAGGTTTATTTATATAGCACATTTCATAAACTATGGTAATTCAAAGTGCTTTACATAAAAAAGACAGAAACGTAAAATAAACAACAATAAGAAATAAAAACAAATAATAAAAATGATTAAAATCCAATACAAATAGATTAAAATGTGTTAAACGACATGTTAAAAAGACTTAATAGTACGATCTGTCGGACGTAGGACAGTGGACATTCAGTAAAGGCACAGCTAAACAGATGTGTTTCACTCTTAATTTGAATGTACCTTATGTTGGAGCACATCTGATCACTTCTGGAAGCTGATTCCATCAACGGGGGATGCAGTAGCTGAAGGCCGATTCACCCTGCTTTGACTGAACTCAATTTGAGACTGAATTTCCAATTTACTTAACCCTAATGGTCTGAGTGATCTGTTTATTATACAGTATATAAAACATTGTTAACTCACCCTCATGAGGACTTTTGTTCATGTTCAGAACAAAACGTTCGAGGTTACAGAAGTAACCCTTCGTTCCCCGAGGAGGGGAACGGAAGTGCCATGAATGGGAGGATTCGGATCAGAAGCCGCTTATCTGGAGAGTATTGAACGGGCCAATGAATGAAATTAATTGGCAGCGTAAGCTTGCGCAGGTGTGCGACATCTGCAATTATCTCAGCATATAAGCACACCTGAAGCCAGCAGACACCATCCTTTTAAGCTGAAGAGACTTTCAAACAGCTAAGGGACAGTCATTATGGCGACGGAATATGGCACTTCCGTTCCCCTCCTCGGGGAACGAAGGGTTACTTCTGTAACCTCGAACGTTCCCCTTCGGTTGGGGAACTTCAGTGCCATGAATGGGAGAATATGGAAAGCGCCACAATGACTGCACCTTACCAACACCCCCGATGAGGAGATAGTCAAGCAAGCGTGACGCACCCACATCATGGGGGGCGCGGTCCTCCAACGTGTCCCTGGCCCTAATTTATCCTACTTCAACAGAAGTTTTACGGATTTAGATATATTTTTTGGGAAGTCGTGAGCATCTAGATAATTCTAGGAAATACGACAGTACGTTGGGAAGCGTGCAATCCCGATAGGGAGGACGCTGCGGAGGCCATCCGTTACCCAAGGGGGGGATAGATGGCAGAATTTACCTATGGACTAGCCCTAAAAAGGGGGAGTACGCATAGCAAAAGAGTGGTTAGCGGAGAGGGAAGACACGGGTCCGCCCAGGGGGGGGACTTAACCGTGGCGGAATAAGCATATGGGATCGCCTAGTGGGGATCACGCATAGCAGGCACCTATACCCAAAACGCGGGCTGACCAGCGGGCAGACCTACAACGTAGTGGGCCAGCAAGTGACTCCTCCGCTGAGTCAGTGCTGGGGGCCACGGAGGAATCTGTAGGGCTCACCTGACGGGGAACTTTACTGACAGATAAAAAAGGCGCACGTACCTCCGTGTTAGGGAGAAGGGCGCCGCAAGCGTGTTTCAACACCCTACCGAGTTGTCTCCTCAATCACCAAAGGGTTACCTAATACCCTTGAGGAAACCGGCTCCACTCGCAGATTGTAAAACCTTGCAAATGTGTTGGGTGTCGCCCAGCCCGCAGCTCTACAGATGTCTGTTAGAGAGGCGCCGCGTGCACGCGCCCAAGAGGATGCAACGCTCCGAGTGGAGTGTGCACGTACTCCCGGGGGACACGGCTGACCTCGACTCGAATAAGCGAGTGAAATGGCATCCACAATCCAGTGGGATAATCTTTGTTTCGATACGGCACTCCCCTGCTGCCGACCGCCATAACAGGCAAAGAGCTGCTCAGATGATCTAAAATTCTGAGTACGGTCCACATAAATGCGCAGAGCGCGAACTGGACAAAGTAAAGAAAGGGCTGGGTCTGCCTCCTCCGGGGGCAGCGCTTGCAGGTTCACTACCTGATCTCTAAAGGGGGTGGTAGGAACCTTGGGCACATAACCGGGGCGGGGTCTCAGGATAACGTGAGAGTAATCCGGCCCGAATTCCAGGCACGAGTCACTGACCGAAAATGCCTCCAGGTCCCCGACCCTCTTGATGGAGGCCAACGCAACCAGCAGAGCTGTCTTCAGGGACAGAAATCTTAGAGATACTGATTCGAGTGGCTCAAAGGGATCGGATCGCAGACTCGTGAGAACGAGGGTGAGATCCCAGGAGGGCATGAGAGGGGGGCGAGATGGATTAATTCGCCTAGCACCCCTAAGGAACTGGATGACCAGGTTATGCTTTCCCACGGTGCCGCCAGCTACCGCGCTATGATAAGCGGAGATGGCGGCCAAGCAACCTTGAGAGTGGAGGGCGACAGCCTGCTGTCCAACTTCTCTTGAAGGAAAGAGAGCACAACACTAATCTGGCAATTTTGGGGGTCTTCTCTGCGAGAGACGCACCATTCAGTGAATAGACTCCACTTCAGGGCGTAGGCGCGCCTCGTGGAGGGGGCTCTAGCCTGAGTGATGGTATTAACCACCGCAGTCGGTAGGTTACCTAAGTCTTCCTCGCATCTAGGGACCACACGTGGAGGTTCCAAAGATCGGGGCGAGGGTGCCAGATGGTGCCCTGTCCCTGAGAGAGTAGGTCCTCTCTCAAAGGGATCTGCCAGGGGAGGGCCGTCGCGAGGAGTGAGAGCTCTGATATCCAGGTCTGGTTGGGCCAAAGGGGCGCAACTAGCAGAACCTGTTCCTCGTCCTCCCTGACCTTGCACAGAAACTGCGCGAGCAGGCTCACTGGGGGAAACGCATACTTGCGCATGCCCCGAGGCCAGCTGTGGGCCTGTGCATCCGTGCCGAGAGAGCCCTCGGTCAGGGAAAAAAACAACTGGCAGTGAGCGTTCTCGGGGGAAGCAAACAGATCGATCTGGGCCTCCCTGAATCGCGCCCATATCAGCTGAACAGACTCGGGGTGGAGTCTCCATTCTCCAGGGCGTAACAGCTGTCGTGAGAGCGCATCGGCTGCACGATTGAGCGAGACTGGGACGTGAATGGCGCGCAGCGATTTCAGCCGCGGGTGACTCCAGAGGAGCAGACGGCGGGCGAGCTGAGACATGCGGCGAGAGCGCATACCCCCCATGCGGTTGATATACGCCGCCGCCGCCGTACTGTCCGTCCTGACCAGCACGTGTTGCCGCTTCAGCACCGGTAAAAAGCGGTGGAGAGCGATGAACACTGCCAACAGCTCTAGGCGATTGATATGCCAATGCAGCTGGGCACCCTTCCAGAGGCCCGCAGCCGCATGCCCGCGACACACGGCCCCCCAACCCGTGTTGGAAGCGTCTGTTGAAACAACAACATGGCTGGACGCCTGTCCTAGAGGCACACCGGCCTGTAGGAACGAGGGGTCGTTCCAAGGGCTGAGGGCGCGGCGACACAGCGCAGTAACCGAGACCCGGTGTGTGCCCGCGTGCCATGCGCGTCTGGGGACCCGATCGTGAAGCCAGTGCTGAAGTGGTCTCATATGGAGCAACCCGAGCGGCGTGACGGCGGCTGCGGATGCCATATGCCCCAGGAGCCTCTGAAAGAACTTCAGTGGGACCACTAGTTTGCTGTCGAGCTCCCTCAGACAGTTCAGCAACAGGCGAGCGCGTTCCTCGGAGAGGTGCGCTACCATGGTGATCGAGTCCAGCTCCATCCCGAGAAAAGAAATCCTCTGCACGGGGGCGAGTTTGCTCTTTTCTCGGTTGACCTGAAGCCCCAGTAGGCGGAGATGCCGAAGCACCTCGTCCCTGTGCATAATCAATTGCTCCCGCGAGTGGGCTAAAATCAGCCAGTCGTCGAGATAACTGAGTATGCGAATGCCCGCGAGCCGAAGGGGCGCTAGGGCACCCTCCGCGAGTTTGGTGAAGACCCGCGGAGACAGAGAGAGCCCGAAGGGGAGGACCTTGTACTGCCACGCTCAACCCTCGAACGCAAACCGCAGAAATTGGCGGTGGCGTGGAAGAATGGAGACATGGAAATACGCGTCCTTCAGGTCTATGGCTGCAAACCAATCCCGAGGACGAACGCATTGGAGAATGCGCCTCTGCGTGAGCATTCTGAACGGCAGCTTGTGCAGACAGCGGTTCAAAACGCGCAGATCTAGGATTGGCCGTGACCCACCGCTCTTTTTGGGTACGATGAAGTATGGGCTGTAAAACCCACTCTCCATCTCGGCTGGAGGAACCGGCTCGATTGCACCCTTCGCCAGGAGGGCAGCAATCTCCTCTCGCAAGACAGGGGCGGACAGGGGGTTGACCCTGGAGAAATACACGCCCGTAAACTTGGGGGGCCGTTTCGCGAACTGAATTTCGTAACCGAGTCTGATTGTGCGTATGAGCCACCGCGAGGGGCTGGCCCGCGCTAACCAGGCAGGCAGAGCCCTCGCTAATGAAGTCATCGCTACAATCGCTGACGTACCAGCGGTGGGGCAGCGCGGAGTGGGTGTGCTGATCCGGGAAGCACGAGGGTCCCGCGGAAGAGCTGGAGGAGAGCGATTCGCTCTGGCTCCGCACCCTGACTCCGGAGAGGGGGCTGGAGGGCTGAGGGAAGGGAGACCGTCCCCCCAGCACTCGTGAGCCACTGGCGAAGCACGTAGAGTCTGCGAGCCGGAAGGCAGCGCGTCCCGGACTGGCAGAACTCGTGCAGTCACATCCGGGGAAGGGAAAAAGTGCTCTTTTACTGATGTTTTGGTGGCACTGAAAAGTACCGTTGTTATCGGGGCCCCAGCCTCCAGCGGGGAAAGAGCAAGTTTCCTCTTCTCCGGATGGCCTGTCTCAGGGACGCTTCGCGGTCCGTTTACCGGACTTAACGGCGCCCTGGGCAGGAGGGGCTGCCTGCTTTCGAGGTGAACGCCGCGCCCTCGGCGAGGAACAGCGGAGGTGGATGGCTCGGCGGGCGGAGCGGGCTTACGGCCACGCCGATAGATGACATTGCCCATCGCATCCGACTGCTCTTTCACCGCCTTGAATTCCTGGGTGAATTCACCGACGGTGTCGCCGAACAGGCCAGCCTGGGATATGGGCGAGTCAAGAAAGCGAACTTTGTCAACGTCGCGCATATCGGCCAGGTTTAGCCAGAGGTGGCGTTCCTGAACCACAAGTGTGGACATCGTCCTCCCCAGCGCACACGCGGCGGACTTAGTAGTCCGAAGAGCATAGTCGGTCGCGGTGCGCAGCTCATGTAATAAGCTTGGGTTGGACCCGCCCTCGTGCAGCTCGGCCAGCGCCTGCGCTTGGTAGCGCTGGTAGGTGGCCATCGCGTGCAAAGCAGAAGCAGCCTGGCCCGCAGCCTTATAAGCTCTGGCTCCGAGGGAGGCAGACAACCTACAGGCTTTGGACGGGAGGCGGGGCAAACCCCGCCACGTAGAGGCGCCGCGCGGACAAAGATTGACCGCGATAGCGCGCTCCACTGACGGGATCGCCTCATACCCCCTGGCAGCTCCGCCGTCAAGGGCGGTGAGGGCGGAGGCACTCGCAGCACGGGCAGAGAAAGGTGCCCTCCAGGACTGCGTGAGCCTACTGTGCACTTCTGGGAAGAAGGGGACGAGAGGCTTCGAAGGCTTCGCCTTCTGGTCCTCTACGTAGCACCCATCTAGTCGGTCCGGCCGCGGAGCTGGGGGATAAACCATCTCCAACCCCACGGCCGAAGCAGCCCGGGAAAGCACGGCTAACATGTCCGCTTCAGGATCCGATTTGACAGCGCTCACCTGCCCGGAGGGGGCGAGCGGGTCCGGATCTTCGTCGGACAGTGAAAGCCCACCCTCCGATGCCGCGGAGGACATCTGATCTCCGGTGTCAGCGAGTGTGAGAGCTACCATCTGGTTAGACGGATCACTCTCACCACCCGAAGCTTGGATGGAGCGCCGTGAGGAGCGAGAGGTCCGCGAGCCCGTGGGCGGCGGATTAGCTCCCGCTGAAACCCTCAGATCTGCCCGAGCGCCCGCTGCTTTTTTAGAACAGGAGGCAACTGGGGTGGCTCGCTCTCTTGCGAAAGTTAGCCGCGATCTTAGCTGTGCAACGGTCATGGCATCGCAATGACGACATGAACCGCCCGCGAGCACCGCATTAACATGCTGGACCCCCAAACATGCAATGCAGTGATCGTGTCCATCATCCGGAGACAGGAAACCCCCGCATCCAGAAACGCACAGTCGGAGCGCCATCCTGAAAAGGACGTGCTGCACGACTGTGTTGCTCTTTTAGGAAAGTTGCAACTATACGCACCGCTCTGGAGGACCGGACCCAAAGAACCGCAGGCAAGGGAGTAACCCAGCTCGACCGTCTGCCACCGCGAAGACCCACTCTGGACCAGGAGACACACTCGTTCGCTCTGAAGTGCTGATCAGCAAGAGGAACCCTCATCGACTCACTCAGAAAGGATCTGAAGCGAAAAGGATGGCGTCTGCTGGCTTCAGGTGTGCTTATATGCTGAGATAATTGCAGATGTCGCACACCTGCGCAAGCTTACGCTGCCAATTAATTTCATTCATTGGCCCGTTCAATACTCTCCAGATAAGCGGCTTCTGATCCGAATCCTCCCATTCATGGCACTGAAGTTCCCCAACCGAAGGGGAACTGTAGATATTTTATGAAATCAGAGAGATTTCACTGTTGAAAATCTTTTTTTTTACACTTTAAAACATTTTAAATCAAAACTATTTAAGCAGTTCAATCCTTAAAAAGTCTTCAGAAGAGATATTATTGTTTTATATGAAGATTACATTATTCACATATAAACAATGATCAGCAAAAATGAACAGCATTTCTACTTGATAAGCAGGAACAAACCTCATTAATTTGTATTTGAACCAATTTTGACACCATCTGTCCACATCTCACAGTTGAAGTTGATGGGCACTGGAGCTGCTGGAGCTCTTGGAGTCCTTGTGATGCCACCTTGAAGAAGCACCGCTCTCGTACCTGCAGCAACCCTGCCCCACAGCGAGGCGGCACACCCTGCCCAGGCCTTGAAAAACAGGTGGAGGAATGTACCATCTCCTTTTTTCAGGAGTAAGTGCCCTGATTTACCTTGTAGGCTACAAGCAGGCTTGTTCTGTCATTGTTACGTCGATGAATGTGAATTGTTCTAATTTGGGTAGCATGTGCCTGAAGCTAGTCATTTACATTCAGTCTGTCCATACAGTATCTCACACACATGTTGGTGTTGGTGGTTTACAAGGACTCTCCATAGGAGTAATGTATTTTATTCACATTTCTAAACATAATAGTTTTAATTAATAATTCATTTCTTATTACTGATTTATTTTATCCTTACCATGATGACAGTAAATAATATTTGACTAGATATTTTTCAAGACACTTCTATACCGCTTAAAATTACATTTAAAGGCTTAACTAGGTTAACTAGGCAGGTTAGGGTAATTCGGCAAGTTTTTGTATAAAAATGGTTTGTTCTGTAGACTATCGAAAAAAAAAGATAGCTTAAAGGGGCTAATAATTTTGACCTTAAAATAGATTTGAAAAATTGAAAAACTGCTTTTATTCTTGCCGAAATAAAGCAAATAAGACTTTCTCCAGAAGAAAAAAATATTATCAGACATACTGTGAAAATTTTCTTGCTCTGTTAAACCACATTTGGGAAATATTTGAAATAGAAAAAAAAAATCAAAGGGGGGCTAATAATTCTGACTTCAACTGTATGTGTAAAAGCGTTCTTGTAAGAAGTAAAATGCAAAGATACTAAAGATTTATTTTAGTTTTTATTTGATTGTAACCTATTATTATTATTATTCTCTCTTCTTGTTTTTGTCTCTAATTTATTTCCTTTTTTGGTTAATTATTTAGTATTTTCGCCAGAGGCGAAAGTTGGTTGCTTGTCCATAACAATGTATGCTAGATTATTTCCAACTGTTCAATAAAAATGTAATCACAATAAAAGAAAAACAATAAAAGAATTGATAAACTTAGTGAACACTTATATCTTCTCAAACATCAGACTTCAAGCTACATAAATATAACACATTTTCTTTAAAAATTGTTTTACAAAAAAAGTACCCATCTATGAAAATCTACAGAATTATTTGCAAACGAGACCCACTTTTCCTATTTGTCCATCTTTCACAGGCAAAACGTCTGCATTAATGATGACAGTGAGAGTCGGCTGCCTTCTGGAACTTCTGGCTGTGCAAAACCTCTTCCACCAGCCAACAGTCACTTAAGAGTGCGCAAAAATCACATCACAATGTTTTGCCAAACTCTTTTACATTGTCTTTTAATATCTTTCATATTTCTTATATGTGCAGTTCAACAAGCGTCAGTATGATTATGGAGAACTTGAGGAGATTATTTGCTTCACTGGATTTGAGTTGCAGGGATTCCAGCTCATTCATTGTTTGCAGGATGGTACATGGGAGAAACCAAAGGCACAGTGTATTAGTAAGCCAAACAAATGCCTGTTTAATATCAGAATAACACAATTTATGATCTGAAAGCTCATTTTGTCCTTTAACACACTTTGTAATCAATGTAATTCATGCCGTACCAGAAACCGTTTGCTCCAAACCCTCTGTGCCTGATGGCATGACGATTAATCCAGACAGAATGGAGTATAAAGTAGGAAGTGACATCATGCTGGTTTGTTTAGAGAGCGGCACGAGTCCTTCAGGACGCCTGTCTTACTCTTGTGGAAAAAGTCTTGTCTGGGAACCGAGCATTCCAAAGGACATATACTGCAAAATCGGTACTCATTCATTTTTCTTCGGCTTCTTCTCTATTTTAGAGGTCACCACAGCGGAATTGACCGCCAACTATTCCGGCTTTTGTTTTATGGAGCGGATGCCCTTCCAGCCACAACCTAGTACTGGGAAACACCCATACACACACACACACACACATACACACACACACACACACATACAGTATGGACATTTATTCATTCATTTAATTTTCCTTCGGCTTAGTCCCTTTATTTATCAGGAGTCATCACTGCGGAATAGTGTAAACCGCCAACTTGTCCAGCTTATGTTTTACCCAGCAGATAGAGTGCATATGTTTTACACAGCAGATGCCCTTCCTGCTGCAACCCAGTACTGGGAACACTCTCTCATTCACACAAATGTATGGACAATTTAGCCTACCTAATTCACCTATACCAAGTGTCTTTGGACTTGTGGTGGAAACCAGAGCACCCGGAGGAAACCCTTGCCAACACGGGGAGAACATGCAGACTCCACACAGAAATGCCATCTTGCCCAGTCGGGACTTGAACCAGCGACCTTCTTGCTGTAAGATGACAGTGCTAACCACTGAGCCACAATGCCGCCCCAAAATAGGAGCTTACAAAGAATAAATGCCAAACTTGATTTTGATTCACAGCTTTAGCTTCTGAGATGCAAATATGATGCCTCTATTGTGACCTTTTAAAGGTTTGTTTTGGAGGTGTCTTAGAACAGGTTTATAACCATCAATGGTCCCTGTGATGGCCAAATAAAACAAGATGTGGAACCCAATTGCAAGTAAAACAAGTCTTTAATGCTGTTCTCACAAGGACAGGAAAATGGTGAGTTGCTGGAAGTACAGAAACTGTTGGAATAATAATAGAAGCGATCTGGTTCGGCAGCGCCGATCAAATGTTCATGATACTCATCAACAGAGCGGATCAAACAACTGGTGTGTGCGGATTAATTGGCTTATGAAAAACGGGCTTTACTTTGGATACATGGAACACGGGATGAATTCTCCTGTACGCTGGTGGTAATTTGAGGCGGATTGCCACAGGACTAATGATTTTAGTGACAATAAAAGGGCAGATAAATTTAGGAGCTAACTTATTACAGACGGTGCAGAGCGGAATGTTTTTAGTAGAAAGCCACACTTTTTGACCAACAACGTAAACCGGAGTCTTAGACCGGTGGCGATCGGCTTTAGCCTTGGTGCACGTCCCTACTTGGAGGAGGGTCTGTCTGGTCCTAATTCAAGTGCGACGGCACCTCTGGACAAAGGCGTGGATGGAGGGAACTGCAACTTCGGATTCCAGACTGGGAAAAACTAGTGGTTGGTAACCTAGACTACACTGAAATGGAGAAAGGCCGGTGGCCGACATTGGTAAAGAATTATGTGCGTACTCCACCCACGAAAGTTGTTGACTCCAGGAGGATGGATTCTGCTGGACCAAACATCGCAACGTGCGCTCAAGATCTTGATTGGCTCTCTCAGTCTGGCTGTTACTCTGGGGATGAAAACCAGAAGAAAGACTAACAGTGGCCCCAAATAAATGACAGAATTCTCTCCAGAATTTAGAGACGAACTGCCAGAGACCACATCCGTCGGGAGGCCATGAATGCGAAAAACGTGATCAATGACAGTAACCGCTGTCTCTCTGGCTGACGGTAATTTGGGCAGGGAGATAAAATGAGTAGCCTTCGAGAACCTGTCCACCACGGTTAAAACTACCGTGTTATCGTTAGAGGATGGAAGACCCGTAACAAAATCTAGCGAAATGTGTGACCAGGGTCTCGAAGACACTGACAGCGGTTGGAGGAGTCCAGCAGGTGGGCGATTGGAAGACTTGGAAACCGCACAGACAGAATAAGCCAAAACAAATCATGCACATCACGAGCTGGCCACCAAAATCGTTGTTTGATAACAAATAATGTGCGACTCACCCCTGGGTGACAAGCTACCTTGGAGGAATGACCCCACCGGAAAACGTCAGACCATAACCCCTCCAACATGAACAAACGACTCAGTGGGCATCCGATCGGGGGCGTTACCCCATCCAGGGCTGCGCGGAGCCTCGACTCGATCTCCCAAGAAATGTTAGCTACGATGATGTTCTGAGGGAGCACAGGATCGGGAAATGATTTGCGATCCGAAGGATCGAAAAGACGTGATAACGTGTCAGGTTTGATGTTTTTGGAACCTGGTCTGTACGAGATGGTAAAATTAAACTGTCCAAAAAATAATGCCCACCGAGCCTGCCGGGAGTTTAATGTTTTAGCGGATTTGATATATTCAAGATTCTTATAATCGGTCCAGACGATAAAAGGCCCCCCCGAGCCTTCTAACCAGTGACGCCACTCCTCCAGGGCAAGCTTGACGGCCAACAACTCTCGATTACCAATGTCATAATTTCTTTCTGCAGGGGATAACCGATGAGAAAAATACACGCAAGGATGAACCTTGCCATCCGAGGCAGAGTGCTGGGACAGGATGGCTCCGACCCCAACCTTTGACGCATCAACCTCCACCACCAACTGCCGGGAAGGATCAGGGGCAATGAGGATCGGGGCTGAAATGAAGCAGCCTTTTAGTTTGGAAAAGTCAGCTTTGGCTGCGCTGGACCATCTGAATGGCGTCTTGGAGGAAGTCAAGGAAGTCAGAGGTGCGGCGAGCTGGCTGAAATTGTGAATAAAACGCCGGTAAAAATTGGCAAAACCCAAAAACCTCTGCAGGGCCTTACTGGAATCTGAGGTTGGCCAATTTACCACAGCCTGAATCTTCTCTGGATCCATGCGCATCCCCTTGACTGACACGATATGTCCCAAGAACTGAACCGACTGTGCTTGAAAAACGCATTTCTCCACCTTGACATAAAGCCCATTCTCTTACAGTCTCTGCAACACTCGTCTGACATGTTGAATGTGTTTCTGGAGAGAGTGAGAAAAAATCAGAATGTCATCCAGGTAGACATAAATAAACTGATCTATCATATCTCTCAACACGTCATTGACGAGTGCCTGGAAAACAGCCGGAGCTTTGGAAAGGCCGAAGGGCAAAACGCAGTACTCAAAATGCCCACTAGGGGTGTTAAAGGCTGTTTTCCACTCATCGTCGGGTCTTATGCGAACCAAATGATAAGCATTGCGAAGATCCAATTTTGTGAAAAAGTTCGCCCCCTGCAGGCGCTCGAAGGCTGAAGAGATCAGTGACAAAGGATAAGTATTCTTAACCGTGATGCTGTTCAGCCCTCGATAGTCTATGCACAGACGAAGGGAACCATCCTTCTTTTTCACAAAAAAAAATCCCGCCCCCGCCGGTGAAGAAGATGGGCGGATGATCTTGGCTGCTAGAGAATCAGAAATATATTTCTCCATGGCCTCCCTCTCTAGAACAGACAGCGAATATAACTTGCCTTAAGGCGGAGACGTACCTGGAAGTACGTCTATAGCACAGTCATAGGGACGGTGAGGAGGTAGAGAAACAGCCCGGGACTTACTGAACACTCTCTTCAGGTCATGGTACTCACAAGGCACGTTTGATAGATCCTCCTGCTCTTCCTGAAACACAGAACAAGACACAGTGGAACACACAGACAATAAACAAGACTTATGACAGCTCTCACTCCAAAAAAAAACTGTGTTGTGGCCCCAGTTGATATGGGGCTTGTGTAACACCAACCACGGATGTCCCAGAATAACAGGATTTTTAACAGTGTTAATGAGAAAAAAGGAAATAGTCTCAGTATGGTTTCCTGAAGTGATGAGTCTAATAGGGGCCGTGATATGCGTAATAGTTGGAAGAGGTAGACCGCTAAGTGCGTGAACAGCTATGGATGAAGAAAGAGAAAAACAAGGAATTTTAAACTTATTAGCTAAATCAGAGTCAATAAAACTCCCCGCCGCTCCTGAATCAATGAGCGCGTGAGAGGAATGAAAGTGGCTGGTAACCTAGACTACACTGAAACGGAGAAAGGCCGGTGGCGGACACTGATAACGAATATTGTGCGTACTCCACCCATGAAAGTTGTTAACTCCAGGAGGATGGATTCTGCAAGACCAAGCATTGCAACGTGCGCTCAAGATCTTGATTGGCTCTCTCAGTCTGGCCGTTATTCTGGGGATGAAAACCAGAAGAAAGACTAAAAATGGCCCCAAATAAATGACAGAATTCTATCCAGAATTTAGAAATGAACTGCAGCCCCCTGTCAGAGACCACATCTGTCGGAAGGCCATGAATGCGTAAGACGTGATCAATGACAGCAACCGCTGTCTCTCTGGCTGACGGTAATTTGGGCAGAGAGATAAAATGAGCAGCCTTCAAGAACCTGTCCACCATGGTTAAAACTACCGTGTTATCGTTAGAGGATGGAAGACCCGTAACAAAATCTAGCAAAATGTGTGACCAGGGTCTCGAAGGCACTGACAGCGGTTGGAGGAGTCCAGCAGGTGGGCGATTGGAAGACTTGGAAACCGCACAGACAGAACAAGCCAAAACAAAATCGTGCACATCACGAGCCATAGCTGGCCATCAAAATCGTTGTTTGATAACAAATAATGTGCGACTCACCCCTGGATGACAAGCTACCTTGGAGGATTGACCCCACCGGAAAACGTTCGACCATAACCCCTCCAGCACGAACAAACGACTCGATGGGCATCCGATCGTAGGCGTTACCCCATCCAGGGCTGCGCGGACCCTCAACTCAATCTCCCAGGAAATGTTCGCTACGATGATGTTCTGAGGGAGCACAGGATTGGGAAATGATTTGCGATCCGAAGGATCGAAAAGATGTGATAACGCGTCAGGTTTGATGTTTTTGGAACCTGGTCTGTACGAGGTGGTAAAATTAAACTGTCCAAAAAGTAATGCCCACCGAGCCTGCCTGGAGTTTAATCTTTTAGCGGATCTAATATATTCAAGATTCTTATAACTGGTCCAGACGATAAAAGGCCCCCCCGAGCCTTCTAACCAGTGAAGCCACTCCTCCAGAGCAAGCTTGACGGCCAACAACTCTCGATTACCAATGTCGTAATTTCTTTCTGCAGGGGATAACCGATGAGAAAAATACGCGCAAGGATGGACCTTGCCATCCAAGGCAGAGCGCTGGGACAGGATGGCTCCGACCAAAACCTTAGACGGATCGACCTCCACCACAAACTGCCGGGAAGGATCAGCGGCAAAGGATAAGTATTCTTAACCGTGATGCTGTTCAGCCCTTGATAGTTTATGCACGGACGAAAAGAACCTTCCTTCTTTTTCACAGAAAAAAATCCCGCCCCCGCAGGTGAAGAAGACGGGCGGATGATCTTGGCTGCTAGAGAATCAGAAATATATTTCTCCATGGCCTCCCTCTCTGGAACAGACAGCGAATATAACTTGCCTTTAGGCAGAGACGTACCTGGCAGTAAGTCTATAGCACAGTCATAGGGACGGTGAGGAACTAGAGAAGCAGCCCGGGACTTACTGAACACTCTCTTCAGGTCATGGTACTCACGAGGCATGTTTGACAGATCCACCTGCTCTTCCTGAAACACAAGACAAGACACAGTGGAACATGCAGACAATAAACAAGACTTATGACAGCTCTCACTCCAAAAAAAAACTGTACTGTGGCCCCAGTTAATATGGGGCTTGTGTAACACCAACCACGGATGTCCCAGAATAACAGGATTTTTAACAGTGTTAATGAGAAAGAAGGAAATAGTCTCAGTATGGTTTCCTGAAGGGATGAGTCTAATAGGGGCCTCGATATGCGCCATAGTTGGAAGAGGTAAACCGCTAAGTGCGTGAACAGCTATGGATGAAGAAAGAGGAAAACAAGGAATTTTTAACATATTAACTAAATCAGAGTCAATAAAATTCCCCTCCGCTCCTGAATCAATGAGCGCATGACAGGAATAAAAGTTCAAGTTGAAACCCAATTTAATGGCTAGAAAAGTGGAATCGGAAGAGTCTTTTCACGTCATAATTTCACCCACCAAAAAAGTTTTACCAGTGGATGATTTATTGTTCTTAACCGGACATAAAGCCACATAATGACCAGCAACCCCACAGTACATACACAAGCCCCCTGTGCGACGGCGACGTCTCTCCTCCGATGAGAGGCGAAATCTTCCCACCTGCATGGGCTCGGGTTCCGGATCAGGGGGTGTGGCCTCCAAAAAACAGGTCTGCGATAGAAAATCCTTGTGAATACCTCTGCGCTGCAGACGGTTGTCCACCCTTATGGCCAGATTGATGAGTACGTCCAACGTCTTGGGCAGCTGCAAAGCATAAATCTCATCCTTTATATGGTCCGCGAGTCCGTGAAAGAACATGTCCCACTGAGCTTCAGTGTTCCAACCACACTCAGCCACCAGGGTGCGGAAATCGATGGAGTAATTCGCCACACTGTGATCCCCATGACGAAGCTCAGCGAGACGTCTAGATGCCTTTCTCCCTGAAGCAGCCTGATCAAATACCGTCCTGAGCTCCTCTGAAAAGGACTTAAAAGATTGACAGCAGGGAAGCTTTTTCTCCCACGCCGTGGTTCCCCTTAATGCCGCCTTTCCAGTCAACAAGTTGATTAAAAACGCCACCTTGGTCTCTTTGGTGGGAAAAGACGATGGTTGCAGCGATATGTAAAGAGAACACTTGGCCATAAAAGCTCTGCATAAATGGGGTTCACCTGCATAGGACTGTGGTGGAGGTAGTCGCGGTTCGAGGAATCTCGTTAACAACAGGACTGACTGGTGGGTTGACGGAGGGAGCTGGCAGGGTGGATCCGGCGCTGAGACCCGAGCTGAGTCGCTGGACCTGTGTAGTCAGCTCAGAAACCTGATTGCTGGTCCTGGTGATCCATCCTAGCGACACTGCGTGACAGCACATCATGTATCTCCACCGCACTTGCTGGGTCCATGTTGATCAGTTTGTTCTGTGATGGCCAAATAAAACAAGATGTGGAACCCAATTGCAAGTAAAACAAGTCTTTAATGCTGTTCTCACAAGGACAGGAAAATGGTGAGTTGCTGGAAGTACAGAAACTGGTGGAATAATAATAGATGCGATCTGGCCGATCAAATCTTCATGAAACTCATTAACAGAGTGGATCAAACATTCATCATTGAAGAAACAGGATGCTTCAGATGATACTCATCAACAGAGCGGATCAAACATTCATTATCGAAGAAACAGGAAGCATCGGACACTGCAACATGGAATTCAACCAGACCACTCACCACCAGCGAAATCAGCGAGAGGAGCCTGACAAAACACAGAGGACCGTGAGCATACAACGAACTGACAAGGTGAGACAGGAACGCTGAACATTTATAGGCACACAAATGCGCTGCACCTGTGGAGCGCTGATAATCAGCTGTGCGGTGCTAGACAACAGTACCGGTGACAATGGTCATGTGACCGCTCAGCTGATGACATGAAAACAAACAACCACTGACAGGCACGCAACTTCCACACAAACACAGAGAGAAAGGCACACACACTTAGAAACACATACCATAATAGGGAACTGTCAAACAACGCAGACACTTCAAGTACAGAGCAGATAGATTCACAACCGTGACAGTCCCTTATAATATATAGCAATGGAAAAAAAAAAAAAAAAGACTACTTAAAACTGTTCAGTTTGTTTGGATTTAAGTAAAATGTTTATATTTGTTTCATTCTATAATGGTTTGATCAATTATATTTTTTGTAATGTTTTCATTTGTTGTGATTTAAAAATTTGGATTGTTTCACAAGATTAATTCTTTAAACTCTTCTGAATTTAAAGGTATTGTGTTGTCTAAAGAATGCACTTTTTTGTTAATATATGCAGTATAAGTAACAATTTAAGTTATATGCACTTATATTATCATTATACATGTTAATTTCATCATGTTGTGAGTGAACAGTTAGCTTTATTAAAAATGAAATTAAAATATAATACAAGCCTATAAAGACATTCCCAAGAGGCATTACATCATTCTTTGGATATAATTATTGAATTTCCAATCTTTACTTCTAATCTTTTTTCAATTGAACAGCCAGGCTAAATTATGTAGCTAGATTTTTTTTTTTACACAAATTTAATGAAAACCTATTATGGCAAAATTAATTTTAGACCACTTTCATCTCTTTACTTAAGAAAAATTCTTTCTCATGAAAAACAATATAAAAAATCATTAGAATTTTTGAATCATTAGAAATATAATAAAAAGTTCACAGGAGACATCATAAGTTGGTATTATGCTAATTTTATATAAATCTTCTAAGCTTGTGCAGAAAGTAAAGGTGTAATTACTAACGACTTGTTTCCACTGATTGTAAACTTCGACCACTGGAAATGTATGGAAATGTATATACAGATATACTGTATTACACACTATATTAAATATTTGTAAAAGCTTTAACAGTGCATTCTTTTCACAGATAAACCCTATGTACCAGACAGCAGCTGCAAACCTGGAGAGATCAATGATGGGACTAAATGTGTTTGCATGACTAAAGAAAGATGCAGGTATGAAGTTTTCCTATTTGTGACAAGTTCATTTCATCATGTTGTTTTCCTTCTCATGAGAAACAATATTAAAAGTCCTTAGACTTTTTGAGTCATTAGAAATATAATAAAATTTAGTGGTGTAACGGATCACAAATCTCACAGTTCAGATCACATAATGGTTTTTTAGTCACTGATCGGATAATTTTTCTGCCAAAAAGGGAGGAGACAAATGTAATTTGCTTTCCATTTATTACAAAGACAGTACTCAAGACACTTTTGGTTTTTAACAAACAGAACTTAGAACCTGTAATTGTATTAAAAATAAAATTAAGAAATAATCAGCTGAATCAAAATAAATTGTAAAATATTCAGTACTGTGAAAAAGTCACTGATACTACTGCTGTTGCTGATAACAGTAAATGTAGAAATCTAAGATTATCATTTGCACAATCCATATTTATTTTTAGTCTTGTTTTCAATAAATGATTCAGTTATTATAATGTAATTGCTGCCAAAAACTCTCATTTTTGAGCGTTGTTAAATATGATGGTGATTTTAATCTTTAACATAAACATCAGTGGTTTTATCCAAACCCTAAACTGTTATCTCAGGATTTCTGTGTTATATGACTGTTTGTAACTTTACAACTAAATCAAAAGACTAAAGCCTGAATCAATTTTAAATTTTAAGTGTTTTCAAACACAGATTTGAATGCAGCGATTCGATGGATAAATAAACATGCGAATCACTATCATTTATAATTTATGTTGCGTGGGTGTTGAGATCCCGATCTTTTAATGATTAATCGTGCAGCTTACACTGAATGCATTGATGCAGGCTAAACAAGTAAAGACAGAAAACACCTTTAATAACCTTCGGCTCTCTTGTAAAACATAACTGTGAAGAAAAAAGTTGCGGTAGGTTATTCAGGATGTGGTGGGTTTCTTAAATGCTTTCATACATGCGATTTGAATGACTCGAGAGGCGATCTCTCTACAATTGTTACAAATTTAGGATCAATCTACAAGTGCGGGTCACGTATGTGTGTATCAAATTGTGGGTTGCGATTCGTTACACTCCTAACAAGTAGCAGAAGACCTAAAACACTCCCACATGAAATGGGCAAATAATTAATTCAAAAACATCCATTCATTAATTTTCCACAGTGAAATGAACCACCAACTTTTCCAGTACATGCTTTACGCAGCAGATGCTCTACCAGCCGCAACCCATTACCAGGAAACATCCATACACTCTCATTCACGCATATAAACTAGGGCTAATTTAGCTTATTCAATTCACTTTTAGGGAATGTCTTTGGACTGTGGGGGCAACCGGATCACCTAGAGGAAACCCACGCAAACACAGGGAGAATGTACAAAATCCACACAGAAAGGCTAACTGATCCATCTGGGGCTCGAACCAGAGACCTTTTTGCTGTGAGACTATTGTGCTATCCACTACGCCAGTGTGTCCCAATCCGAAAACACCTCTTTTGAATCCACAATTGCACTCTATGATATGCTTTCACATGCATAATCACTATGGGCCCTATCATACACCCGGCACAGTGTGGCACAAGGCGCGGCGCAATAGTCTTTTGGTAGTTTCAGCTTGGCGCAAGAGTCGTTTTGAGGCGTTGTGCTACGCTGTTTAAATAGCAAATGCATTAGGGCTCATTTGTGCACCCATAGGCGTTCTGGTCTAAAAATGAAGGCGTTCTGAGGCGGAGCGCTGGCGCGTTGCTATTTTGAGAAACTACAATAGATTTTTCATTAGACCAAAACTAACCCAGTCTAAACTCCAGCGCAGAGTTGCACCTCGCTTACGCACTGCTTAATACGCGCAAGAGAGCAATAGGCAAATATCTTTACATATGAAAATTTTTAAATATTAAGGATATATATAGGATATAATGAGAATAGATATAAGATATAAATATAAAGGATTAAAATATTACAAAACATATTATTTTCTAGTCTACATAAATATGAAAAATCACTGCTTTTATGTCTTCTTCATCTCGGGAGGCTTTTTCAGTTCATTCATAACAATTTGTTTTTGTATAATGTCATTATTATTAGCAGTATTATTTATTATATCCATATTAAAAACAAGCTAAGATTTGCCCACCTGTCAGGTTTTAGACCATATGGGGCACAGCATGTGTTTTAGGATAAAACACATGGTTTCTTACTCAAAACAATCTCATGGACAACAAGCAATCCGGCTTTAAGAAAGGCCACTCAACTGAGACTGCCCTGCTCTCGGTCGTGGAGGATCTCAGACTGGCTAAAGCAGACTCTAAATCATCAGTCCTCATTTTGCTGGACTTGTCAGCTGCTTTTGACACTGTCAACCACCAGATCCTGCTATCTACGCTTGAGTCACTGGGCGTTGCAGGCACTGTTATACAATGGTTTAGATCTTACCTCTCTGACAGGTCATTCAGGGTGTCTTGGAGGGGAGAGGTGTCCAACCTACAGCATCTAAACACTGGGGTACCTCAAGGCTCTGTTCTTGGGCCACTTCTCTTCTCCATCTACACATCATCTCTAGGACCAGTCATCCAGAGACATGGATTCTCCTACCACTGCTATGCTGATGACACCCAGCTATACCTCTCTTTTCATCCTGATGATCCCTCGGTTCCAGCTCGTATCTCAGCCTGCCTGTTGGATATTTCACACTGGATGAAAGATCATCATCTTCAGCTGAACCTCGCAAAAACGGAAATGCTTGTAGTTTCTGCCAACCCGACTCTACACCATAACTTTTCAATCCAGATGGATGGGGCAACCATTACTGCATCCAAAATGGTGAAAAGCCTTGGAGTAACGATTGATGACCAACTAAACTTCTCTGACCACATTTCTAGAACTGCTCGATCGTGCAGATTTGCACTCTATAACATCAGAAAGATCCGACCCTTCTTATCTGAACATGCAGCTCAACTCCTTGTTCAAGCTCTTGTTCTCTCCAAACTGGATTACTGCAACTCTCTACTAGCTGGGCTTCCAGCTAACTCTATCAAGCCTCTTCAACTGCTCCAGAATGCAGCAGCACGAGTTGTCTTCAATGAACCTAAACGAGCACATGTCACTCCGCTGCTAGTCCGTTTGCACTGGCTCCCAGTTGCTGCTCGCATCAAATTCAAAACTCTGATGTTTGCCTACAAAGTGACTTCTGGCCTAGCACCTTCTTATCTGCACTCATTTCTGCAGATCTATGTGCCCTCCAGAAACTTGCGTTCTGTGAATGAACGTCGCCTCGTGGTTCCATCCCAAAGAGGGAAAAAATCACTTTCGCGAACGCTCACGCTCAATCTGCCCAGTTGGTGGAATGAACTCCCTAACTGCATCAGAACAGCAGAGTCACTCGCTATTTTCAAGAAACGACTAAAAACTCAACTATTTAGTCTCCACTTCACTTCCTAAGCTGCAATTGCCTCTTTGAATATCACACTAATTGTACAAAAAAAAAAAAAAAAAAAAAAAAAAAAAAAAAAAAAAAAAACTACTAACACTTCCCTTCTTAGACTTTACAGACCTGAAACTTGCCTTTAGTACTTATTCATTGTTGCTCTTAGTTGTGTAAATTGCTTCCTTGTCCTCATTTGTAAGTCGCTTTGGATAAAAGCGTCTGCTAAATGACTAAATGTAAATGTAAATGTAAATGGTTTAGGTTTTTGAGCACATTTTGTTATTATTGTTCATTTATTCGTTTGCTGGAAATTAGAACTGAATTTAGAAACAGTTTTGAAATGAATATTTGCGCTTAACAAACAAAAGTATTTATTTATAGACTAATTGATGTCTGTGTGTAAAGGTTTCCCTATCCAAGAGCGAATGTGAAAGTAGTTTCATTATCTCTCATTCTCACGCAGTAGATGCTCTGTTTAACAGTTTTCTGTTAAAAACTGTTAACTGTTTGCTAGTGAAATGCTCATTTTTTCCACTTAGACTTACTTTGCGTCCTGTAAATAGCGAATGCGCTCTTGGCGGGACGCAGCTGACTCTTAAAGGGAATAGGAGATGAGACTCTAATTGGTTTATTCTCAAAACACACCTATAACTCATTAAGAAAATAAACTCAACCCTTTTAGACCATGCGCCGCGGCGCAAGGCAGATTTCCCATCCTTAAATGAGCAAAAACACATCCTGACACGCCCTGAAAGCGTTTGCGCCCTTCGCATGGACCGTTAAAATAGAGCCCTATATCCCAAAATACTAAATCAACTTTATCAAAGGCCTTTTAGAAAATCTAACAGCTTAACTTGGCTTACTGCTAACTGATTTATTTGATTTTTGCCATGTTGACAGTAAATAATACTTGACTGGATATTTTTTAAGACACTTCTATGCAGCTTAAAGTGACATTTAAAGGCTTAACTAAGTTAATTAGGTTAACTAGGCAGGTTAGGGTAATTTGGCAAGTTATTGTTTAACGATGGTTTTGTAGGGTCCAGTCAGTTGGTCTCCAATTATAAAACATTGATAAGATTATTTTGTTTCCTTTCACATTATTTTAGATTATGATTGAATATTCTTTTGATTTGTTTTTATACCTTATTCTCATTTACTCAAATTCCGATAGCATCTCGAGTCATGCACCGGCCGGGTATACAATTTCTTAATACAAGCTTGTCAGTCTTGGTCATTAAACAGAGGCGATTAACCACTCTCCTAGAAAGGCAGAACACTACTTACTCAATTTAGGAGATTTTTTATGTGGTCCCCATAGATCTGTTATCTACTAATTCAAGACAAAGTATTTTAATAGTAATCGCGCAGGATTATACTATTGTAGATGAAGGCCTAAATATCCACATTTAAAGTAGTTTCAACAATATTTTGTTGTTCTAAATAGTTGGCCTTTTACAGTCCAAGTACACATGAATAAATGCCAATTTGTTAGTCGGATCTCTACCAACATTGTATAGCGTGCCACGCTGCTCCGTCTAACATGTTTTAGTCCGTTACTAACCTGTACAGTGGCTTGTAGTGCTATGGACAACAACATTTATCAGTGATAATAACACAGGGTTTGAATAATTCAAAACATAATTTATTAGTCAGGTAAATGTATTATGCCAAATTCAATCAGTCAATTCATAAACGATCAATACAAAACATCAAATTATCAAAGATAAATCCAAGATGAAAAGATGCATACCTGACTTTTTACATAACGTGTAAATTTTACATAACGTGGAGCCTAGGCTCCATGTTATGGGCTGATCTGGTTAGGCAGAATCGCGCCGAGACTTTCTCATACCCTACCTTAAATAATCCAACAATTCCCTCAAGGAAGGGGGTGTGAATAACAAAAAGGCATTCACACTTAGTGTAAAAGTCACACCCCTCACAGTGGTTCAAAAGATGCCTGAAGTTGTATATTTATTGTTCTGATTATGTCTGTTTCTGAGAGAATGAGACCATTGTACCAATCGCACTGAGACATTTCAAATGATATCAAACATGATAGTTAAAGTCAGTTTGGTTAATCTAGCAAACATTGAAATGACCATATGCGTGAGTTGGGGGGATGAAGCTGAGTTTCAGCATACTCAGATGCAAATGCAGCAGGAACTGGTTTTTCCCGCATTCCCCCTTGCTGGGTTGTGAAGTTACCAGTCTCTGTTTTCAGCTCATGTTTTGAATTGTCAAAGATATCAGAATATTTGCAATATTTCAACTCTTACAGTTTGTTCTGTAGACTATCGAAAAAATATATAGCTTAAAGGGGCTAATAATTCTTTCCTTAAAATGGTTTATAAAAAAATAATAACTGCTTTTATTCTAGCCAAAATAAGACATATAAGACTTTCTCCAGAAGAAAAAATATTATCAGACACACTGAAAACTTCCCTGCTCTGTTAAACCTAATTTGGGAAATATTTAAAAAAGAAAAAAAATTCAAAAGGGGGCCAATAATTCTGACTTTAACTGTATATTAAAAATATAAGATCGCTGCTTTAATGCAGTGCTATTTGCAGTCATGACCATTTAACACTATGTATTTGTGTATCCTGCAGAGGCTACAGAGAAGACTTGTGCGTTTATGACGCTGGCAAGGAAACTGCCATTATGATGTCCCTCTGTGCTTTTCATGTTGACCGTTGTCATGGAGACAGATTATACTTTATGAATAATGGACCGTGCAAAAGTGACGCACGCAGTCTGGACTGGGCCAAATTCAGGGTCAGTGTATCTGAGCAGAGCTCGGTGCAGGAGCCCTGCGGTTCAGACACCTGTTACGAGTGGGAGACCTGCTCAGGTACAGACCGAATCACAAATCCTTACATAATGCATTCTTTCATTATATTCAACTAAAATAATTCAACAGTCTTATTGTCTTTTCTTCTTAGTGTCCAAAACGTGTGAGTGTAAGATGCCCAGAGAATGTCCAAAAGACGGGTAGAAAATATACTGCCTGAAAATCGTGGGAACGCAAACCACAAGAAGCATGAATCTGTGTTTTATGGCTGTAATGAAGTGCAGCAGTATAGAGTTTGAGCTTCAGAATGAAGGCCCTTGTGCAGGTTCTTAATTGTGCACCACTTTAGCTGTAAAAATGTTCACAGATTTGCAGCCATTATTGATTCATATTGATAACACATTGTCATTTTAAAATCACTCACAGCATGTTATAGTTATTTGATTGTGCATATGGGCATTCTTGATATTGATCTGGAACAACACAATAAAATATAATCGGACATTCAGATGCCTTCTAGTATTTAAATACTCTTTCATCTGTTAAAGTTGAATGTTAAAATAATTACTTTCTGGCATGTCAGAAATAACGTTTGAGGTTACAGAAGTAACCCTCGGGGAACGGAAGTGCTATAAGTGGATTTGATGTTAAAATCCACGTATGGGAGGATTCGGTTCAGAAGTCGCTTGTCATATAAGCACACCTGGCGCTAGCAAACGCCATCCTTTTTAAGCTGAAGAGACTTTTAAACAGCTAAGGGACAGTCATTATGGTGACGGAGTATAGCACTTCTGTTCCCCTCCTCGGGGAGCAAAGGGTTACTTCTGTTACCTCGAACGTTCCCCTTCGGTTGGGGAACTCCAGTGCTATAAGTGGTTTTTGATATTAAAATCCACGTATGGGAGCCATTGAAAGCGCCATAATGACTGCACCTTACCAACGCCTCCGATTAGAGGGCAGTCAGGCAAGTGTGACGTACCCAAATCATGGAAGGCGCGGTCCTCCAACGCGCCCTTGGCCCTAAATTATCCCCACTTCAAAAGAAGCTTTACGGAATAGGTATATTTTTTTGGGAGTCGCTAGCGTCTAGATAATTCTAGGAATATACGACAGTACGTTGGGAAGCGTGCAATCCCGGTTGGGAGGATGCTGCGGAGACCATCCGCACCCAATAGGGAGACAAAATGGAACTACATATGGACTAACCCTAAGGAGGGGGAGTGCGCATAAGAAAGTGGTTAGCAGATAGGGAAGGCATGGGTCCACCCAGGGGTGGGACTTAACCGTGGCGGAATAAGCATATGGGATCGCCAGAGGGGATCGCACATAGCCGGCACCTATACCCAAAAACTCGGGCTGACCAGCGGGCAGACTTAACGTAGTGGGCCAGCAAGTGACTCCTCTGCTGAGTCAGTGCTGGGGGCCTCGGAGGAATCTGCAGGGCTCACCAAACGGGGAACTTTACTGACAGATGGGAAGGTGCACATCTCTCCGTGTTAGGGAAAAAAGGCACCACAAGCATGTTACAACATCCCACCGAGTTGTTTCCTTAATCACCAAGGGTTACCTAATACCCTTGAGGAAACCGTCTCCACTCGCAGATTGTAAAACCTTGCAAATGTGTTGGGTGTCGCCCAGCCCGCAGCTCTACAAATGTCTGTTAAAGAGGCGCCGCGTGCACGCGCCCAAGAGGATGCAACGCTCTGAGTGGAGTGCGCATGCACTCCCGGGGGACGCGGCTGACCTCTGCTCAAATAAGCACATGAAATGGCCGAGACAATCCAGTGGGATAATCTTTGTTTGGACACGGCACTTCCCTGCTGCCGTCCGCCATAAAAGACAAAGAGCTGCTCAGAAGATCTAAAGTACTGAATACGGTCCACATAATGCACAGGGCGCGAACTGGACAGAGTAAGGAAAGGGCTGGGTCTGCCTCCTCCGGGGGTAGCACTTGCAGGGTTACTACCTGATCTCTAAAGGGAGTGGTAGGAACCTTGGGCACATAACCCAGGCGGGGTCTCAGGATACTGTGAGAAAAATCCGGCCCGAATTCCTGGCACGAGTCACTGACCGAAAATGCCTCCAGGTCCCCGACCCTCTTAATGGAGGCCAACGCGACCAGCAGAGCTGTATTCAAGGACAGAAATCTTAAGGATACTGAATCGAGTGGCTCGAAGGGATCTGAACGCAGGCTCGTGAGGACGAGGGCGAGATCCAAAGAGGGCATGAGAGGGGGGCGAGTTGGATTATTTCGCCTAGCACCTCTGAGGAACCGGATGATGAGGTTATGCTTTCCCACGGTGCCGCCAACCACCGCGTCGTGGTGAGCGGAGATGGCGGCAACGTAAACCTTGAGAGTGGAGGGCGACAGCCTGCTATCCAACTTCTCTTGAAGGAAAGAGAGCACAACACTGATCTGGCAAGTTTGGGGGTCTTCTCTGCGAGAGACACACCATTCAGTGAATAGACTCCACTTCAGGGTGTAAGCGCGCCTCGTGGAGGGGGCTCTAGCCTGAGTGATGGTATCAACCACCGCAGACGGCAGATTACCTAAGTCTTCCTCGCGTCTAGGGACCACACGTGGAGGTTCCAGAGATCGGGGCGAGGGTGTCAGATGGTGCCCTGTCCCTGAGAAAGCACTCGGGGTGGAGTCTCCATTCTCCAGAGTGAATCTGCTGCCGTGAGAGCGCATCGGCTGCACGGTTGAGCATACCTGGGATGTGAATGGCGCGCAGCGATTTCAGCCGCGGGTGACTCCAGAGGAGCAGACGGCAGGCGAGCTGAGACATGCGGCGAGAGCGAACACCCCCCATGCGGTTGATATACGCTGCCGCCGCCGTACTGTCCGTCCTGACCAGCACGTGTTGCTGCTCCAGCACTGGAAAAAAGTGGTGGAGAGCGAGGAACACTGCCAACAGCTCTAGGCGATTGATATGCCAGTGCAGCTGGGCACCTTTCCACTGGCCCGCAGCTGCATGCCTGCGACACACGGCTCCCCAGCCCGTGTTGGAAACATCTGTTGAAACAACAACATGACTGTTTTTCAGTGGGACCACTTTTTTGCTGTCGAGCTTAGGAGAGGTGACCATGGTGACCGAGTCCAGCTGCATCCCGAGAAAAGAGATCCTCTGCACCGGGGCGAGTTTGCTCTTTTCTTGGTTGACCTGCAACCCCAATAGGCGAAGATGCCGGAGCACCTCGTCTCTGTGCATAGTCAATTGCTCCCGCGAGTGGGCTAAAATCAGCCAGTCGTCGAGATAATTGAGTATGCGGATGCCCGCAAGCCGAAGGGGCGCTAAGGCACCCTCCGCGAGTTTGTTGAAGACCCGCGGAGACAGAGAGAGCCCGAAGGGGAGGACCTTGTATTGCCATGCTCGACCTTCAAACGCAAACCACAGAAACTGGCGGTGGCACGGAAGAATGGAAACATGAAAATACGCATCCTTCAGGTCTATGGCTGCAAACCAATCCTGCGGACGAACGCATCGGAGGATGCGCTTCTGCGTGAGCATTCTGAACAGCAGCCTGTGCAGACAGCGGTTCAAAACGTGCAGATCTAGGATTGGTTGTGACCCACTGCTCTTTTTGGGTACGAGGAAGTATGGGCTGTAAACCCGCTCTCCATCTTGGGTGGAGGAACTGGCTCGACAGCACCCTTCGTCCCGCAGAAGAGCTGGAGGAGAGCGATTCACTCTGGCTCCGCAACCTGACTCCGGAGAGGGGGCTCGGAGGCTGGGAGAAAGGAGACCGTCCCCCCCAGCACTCGTGAGCCACTAGCGGAGCGCAGCGAGCCAGAGAGCACAGTGCCTCAGACTGGCAGATTTCGGGCTGTCACATCCAGGAAAGTGGAAAAGTGCCCTTTCATTTCATGGCAGTAAAAGGTGCCGTTGGAAATGGAGCCCCGCCCTCCAGCGGGGAAAGAGCAAGTTCTCTCTTCTCCAGATGACCTGTCCCAGGGATGCTTCACGGTCCGTTGCCGGATTTAGCGGCGTTCGGGGCAGAGGGGGCTGCCTGCTTCCGAGGTGCTCGGTGCGCTCGCTTCGCCATATGCGTGTGCAGGGGCGGTGCAGCTCTTGTAGGCGGGCGCCTTCGGAGAGGAGCAGGTATGGATGGCACGGTGGGTGGAGCGTGCTTACGGACCCACCAATAAGACATCACCCATCAGACTTTTCACCGCCTCAAATTCTTGGGTGAATTCGCAGACAGTTTTGCAGACCAGCTTGGGATATGGGGGAGTCAAGAAAGCGGACTTTGTCGACTTTGCACAAATCATCCAAGTTTTAGTCAGGGGTCGCGCTCCTAGACCACTAGTGTGGACATCGTCCTCCCCAACGCACATGCAGCGGACTTAGTAGTCCGAAGAGCTTAGTCGGTTGCGGTGCGAAGCTCATAAGCCTGGGTTGGACCCACCCTCGTGCAGCTCGGCCAGCGCCTGCGCTTGGCAGCGCTGGTAGGTGGTTATCGCATGCAAGGCAGAAGCAGCCTGGCCCGCAGCTTTGTAAGCTCTAGCTCCGAGGGAGCAGAAAACTTACAGGCTTTGGATGGAAGACAAGGCGGACCCCGCCAAGAACAGGCACCGCGCGGATTAACCGCCATCGCGCACTCAACCTGAGGAATCGCCACATACCCCCTGGCCGCTCCACCGTCTAGAGTGGTGAGGGTGGAGGGACACGCAGCACGAGCAGAAAAAAAGTGCCCTTCAAGTCCGCGTGAGCCTACTGTGCACCTTCAGAAAGAAGGGAACGCCCCTCTAGTTGCTCCGGCCGCGGAGCTGGGGGATAAACCATCCCAAGTAGCCCGGGAAAGCATGGCTAACATGTCCATTTCAAGATCAGTTTTGACAGTGCTCACCTGCCCGAAGGGGGCGAGCGGGTCTGGATCATCATCGGACAATGAAAGCCCACCCTCTGATGCCGCGGTGGATGTCTGGTCTCCGGTGTCATCGAGCATAAGGGCTACCATCTGTTAGACGGATCGCTTCCCCCGCCTGAAGCTTAGATGGAGCGCTTGGAGGAGCGAGAGGTCCGCGGGCCCGTGGGCAACGGATTATCTCTTGCTGAACCCTCAGATCTGCTCGAGTACCTGCTGCAGAACAGGGGACAACTGGGGTGGTTTGCCCTTTTGCAAAGGCTAGCCGCGATCTTATTTGCGCAACAGTCATGGGATCGCAATGACGACATGAACTGCTCGCGAGCAGCGCATTAACATGCTGGAGCATGTAACGCAGTGCCCGTGCCCATCATCCGAGGACAGAAACCCACAGCATCCAAAAACGCACAGTCGGAGCGCCGTCCTGAAAAGGACGTGCTGCACGACTGTGTTGCTCTCTTTGTGAAGTTGCAACTTTATGCGCACCGCTCTGGAGGACCTGACCCAAAGAATCACCAGGCAAGGGAGAAAACCCAGCTCGACCGTCTGCCACTGCACTGTACACATTCTGGACCGGTAGAATGCTCTCTTCACTCGGTATCGCTGGATCACAGCAGGAGGAACCCTCATCGACTCGATCAGAAAGTCTCTAAAGCGAAAAAGGATGGCGTTTGCTAGCGCCAGGTGTGCTTATATGCTGGGATAATTGGCAATGAAGCACACCTGTGCAAGCTTACGCTGCCAATTCATTGTTTTCATTGGCCAGTTCAATACTCTTTCAGACAAGCGGCTTCTGAACCGAAACCTCCCATACGTGGATTTTAACATCAAATCCGCTTATAGCACTGGAGTTCCCCAACCGAAGGGGAACTCTGTTTTTTTTTTTTTTTTTTCAGTTGTGCAATGTTTGTTGTCCAAGTCGATGACCAATCACTGACTAACATGGGGTCAAAACATCCACTGAATGCTCTGTTTGTGTGTCATAATACAGCTTTGTTCTGTGATTCAGGACATCAATGGGATTGCTGTTTACACAATAGTGAGCAGCATCCTATACAGTAGTGAAAGAAATGACTGTGCTTACAAGGCAAATGACTGTATTACAAGTGGTGTTATAGAAGTAAACAAATCTTTATCAAGTATAGTAATGGCACAGCTGCATTATTTAGTGCTGATTAGCTTTTGTTTTTGGACAATTAACAAAAACTGACATTTAGAGATACACAATCTCCAGTAGACATTAAAAATGTTTGGTTTGTCATTATTTTAAGGTTACTGTGTACAGTGCTTGCATCAAAAACATTAATTGTTAGGTAAATGCTTTATTTATTTAATATTTTTATTTTAAATTTGGATAAAATGTTATCATAAATCCAAACAGACAATTTTAAAGGGAGGCATGGCACCTACACCCCTAAACTCAACCATCATTAGGGAATGAGCAAATCATATTAAATTGTACAAACGAGACTACAAATTCATACAAATTAGCCACTAAATCAAAAACGTATGAATTGCTGTGAGATCGTGTTGAATAAATCCAGTAAATACAGAGAACCTGATAATTCGAGTATCTTCATTTTATTCTATACTTCATGTATTTTATTACACACTTAATATGGGTTTCTTGGATAATACTTTACAGTAAGGTTGTATTATTTTACGTTAATTAATTAATTAACATGATTTAGAAATAACAAAAAATCTTTAGCATTACTTATCCTTTGTTAATGTAAACATGGTTAATGTAAACATTTGTTAGTTAATGCATTAATTAACATGAACTGATGGTAAACACAAATTAGCATTAGATAATCATTGTTATGGTCAACACTCATATTCTAATATATCTCTTTAGATTATCAGTTTTGTAGTTGCTCCAACTTATTTGTTTTTTTTTTATTCATCATAGTAACATATTTCTAGTTGCCCCAACTTAATTTGTTTAATTCTTTTAGCCTTATTTATGTTCTCATAACATAAACTTTCATGTTAACCTAACTTAATGTTTTTTATAATTTAACTTTCTAGAAGATTGTATAGTGCTAAGATTGTATATTATTCATCATTCATTTTCTTGTTGGCTTAGTCCCTTTATAAATCTGGGGTCGCCACAGCGGAATGAACCGCCAACTTATACGCAGCGGATGCCCTTCAAACCACAACCCATCTCTGGGAAACATCCACACACACATTCTCATACACTACGGACAATTTGAGGGAAATTGGAGCACCCGGAGGAAACCCACGCGAAGGGAGGGAGGCAGAACATGCAAACTCCACACAGAAACGCCAACTGAGCCGAGGTTCGAACCAGTGACCCAGCGACCTACTTGCTGTGAGGCAAACGTGCTAACTCAGATCTGACATCAGAGTCACACCAAGATTCTTGACCTTATTTTTTGTTGTTTGACCCTTAAAGCCAAGGTACGCATTCACCTTGAGAACCTCATCCCTGTTCCCAAATGCGATGACTTTAGTTTTCTCTTTGTTTAACTGAAGAAAATTTTGGCACATCCAATTGTTAATTTCATCAATGCACTGGTAGAGGGTGTCAGTGGGGCTGTAGTCATTAGGCAGTAAGGCTAAGTAGATCTGAGTGTCATCAGCATAGCTTTGGTAGATTTGGTTCTTTCTCATTATTTGGCTCAGAGGGAGCATGTAAAGGTTGAACAGGAGAGGTGCCAGAATCGAGCCTTGTGGGACGCCACATGTCATGGGTGTCCACCTTGACCTATGGTCACCTATATGTACATAGTAACCTCTCCCTTCAAGGTAAGATCTGAACCATTTGAAGACTGTCCTAGACAGCCCAACCCAGCCTATCCAGAAGTATGCTGTGATCGACAATGTCAAATGCGGCACTGAGATCGAGCAATACCAGCATTGTTATTTTACCTGAATCAGTATTTAGGCGGATATCATTGATTATCTTTATGAGCGCTCTCTGTACTGTGATGTGCTCTGAACCCAGATTGAAAATTGTCTAAACACCCCTTTAAGTTTAAGAACTTGTTGACCTGGTTGAAAACAACTTTTTCAATGATTTTGCCAGTGAAAGGGAGATTTGAGATTGGCCTGTAATTGCTCAATAGGGTGTTATCTAGGTTGCTCTTCTTCAAGAGGGGTTTAACAACTGCAGTTTTAAGTGAGTTTGGAAAAATCCCTGATAGAAGTGAATCATTTACCACTTTTAGAAGATCCATTTCTAAACAGGTAAACACTGTTTTAAAGAATGATGTGGGGAGCGTGTCAAGACTGCAGGTTGATGTTTTTATAATTTGCAATTATAATCTCTTCTAAGATTTTACCGTTAATTGCCACGAAATCAGACATAATGTCTGATTTCTTAAGTTGTGGTTGAGCTTGTTTGACATCGACACAACTTGGCTGATTGGATGAGCTGATTGCCTTTCTGATATTATTGATCTTATTAGTAAAGAAATAAGCAAACACATTACATTTGCTTTCAGAGAGTAGCTCACTGGGAATCTGACTGGGGGGGTTTGTGAGTCTCTCTACTGTTGCAAAGAGTGTACAAGCATTATTTACATTGTTGTTTATAAGGTTTGAAAAGAAAGTCTGTCTAGCAGTTTTTAGTTCCACATTAAAAGCATGAAGACTGTCTTTATAGATATTATAATGGACTACTAGTTTCGTCTTTCTTCACATTCGCTCAGCTTTTCTGCATTGTCTTTTCATCATTTGGACTGCTCTTGAGTTTTCTCCAAGGGACTCTCTCTTTGCCAGTTCTCTTCCTGAGTTTAAAAGGAGCAAGGTCATTTATGACATTCTCAATTTTAGAATCAAACAAGTCAAGGAGAGAATCAACAGAGTCTGCAGATACTGTATACTTGGTGCTAGCGATATGGCCTTCATAAACTGTTCACTAGTGTTCTCATTTATCCATCTCTTTCTGACAGAGACAGATCTGTCTTTAATAGCTGGAGTGATCAATATATCAAAGAAAATACAGAAATGATCAGATAGTGCCACATCCTTTACAACAGTCGATGAAATGTGTGTAAACCCTTAGTTATAAGTAGATCAAGAGTGTGTCCACGATTGTGTGTGGGTCCTTGAACATTTTTCAAAAGTGTTAAAAACAGTCATCAGTTCTTTTACAGCATTGATTTCTGGATTATCAATGTGAATATTAAAATCCCCAGCAATACTAAAATAATCAAATTCAGAGGTTACTATTGATAACAGCTCTGTAAAATCATCAATAAAAGCTGGAGAATATTTTGGAGGTCTATATGATCAGTAAGATGCGTGGAGCACCTTTCAGTGCTATACTCAGATATTCAAAAGACAAATAGTCACCAAATGACACTTGTTTACATTCATACACATCTTTAAACAGGGCACCGATGCCTCCACCTCTCCTTTTAACTCTGCAAACACTCAAAAAGTCTGTTTAAAGGAGCTGCTTCATTAGCCAAGTTTCATTTAAAAGCATAAAATCAAGGCAATTTCTGTTGATAAAATCATTGACTAAAAGTGACTTATTATTGAGTGATCGAATGTTTAAAACTGCTAACTTAACAGTTTTAGCCGTTTTCACTACAGAAGTCTCAGATATACATTTAATAGACATGATTGTAGTCTAATCATTTCTTGCCATGTAAGTGAGATATGATTTATTCATTAATTATATATAATCGTGATTATGTAAACAGATTGCAAAAATTAAATACTTATAAGTTATATTATGTTTTAAAATACTCCAAGTATCGTTACTTTTTATTATTTAATATGAATTTATTATCTTTTTGACTATACCTTACTTAATCTGGGGTTGCCACAGCAGAATGAACCACCAACTTATCTAGCATATGTTTTACGCAGCGAATGCCCTTCCAGCTGCAACCCATCACTGGGAAACACCCACACACTTCCATTCACACACATACACCACAGACAATTTTAGCTTACCCAATTCACATACAGCATATCATTGGACTTGTGGGCGAAACCGGAGCAAACACGAGGAGAACATGCAAACTCCACACAGAAATGCCAACTCACCAGCCATGGCTCGAACCAGCGACCTTCTCGCTGTGAGGCGAGAGTGCTACCCACTGCGCCACTGTGCTGCCCTATTTAATACATTGCTAAATAAAATAAGCTGTTCTCCTTAATTGTTTATTTTAATAGTTTATCTTCTTTTTTATTAAACATCGGTTGTTTATGCTCAGAAATTGAGAGGCCACAAAGCATCTTTTAAATAGCATTTTATTTTGACTGGTATTTTCCAATATTTTGTTTAGTGGGACAGTAACAAAGAACAAATATATTTCTTTCTCTTTGTATTCTTATAGCAATGTGGTACAAGATTACTCTTTCTTTATTTCAATTACTGTGACATAATTAGGTTTTTATGCCACATTCAGAAATGCAGGACATAAAAAAAGAAATGCAAAGACATTTTTCAAATGTGCGCAGTCCAGTCCTCTGTCTCCATCTGGCTGTGTCTCAGCAGACTGACAGAAGCTCAACGCTACAAATCCTCATATCTGCTGCATTGGTCGTAAGTTTTGCGACACCTGAAAAACACCAGAATAACTTAACAGATATTCTGTACACAAACCTTCAAAAGTTAAAGTGAGAAAGAAGCACATTTAACAGTGTGATGTATAATGTTTGATTTCTTTCCCCATCACCTATATGGATTTACACTGTTATGTTTTTGAGTAAAACATATTTTTTTATGAACTGTATCATTAATTAGTCTGATTAGTAAATCATAGCACTTATATCAAAAAGTCAATAGTATTATCAGGCGGGTCTTGCAATCTGCAGTTTTGCCATGATTGTCACATAATTGAGCTTTTTTTTTTTTTTTCACTTTTAACAGATCAAAAGGATATAATCAGCTCTGATCATGAGTGTCTTTGACTGTTTGCTGAAATTATTTACTTTTATCAGCCACTAATGATGATTCAGTATGAAAATGAAGGATTATATGAATGTAAAATGCAAAATGAAATTACATGTAAGATGTATAAAATGAAACACGTAATGTGATGTTGACATAGATATTTTGGACCACACACAACACTCATTTTGCTGATGTGAGAGGGTTACGAAACACAAGGTTTCAAATGCACACACTCTTATTTACAGGATGACTCATTTTTAATCACATTTACCTCTTCAGCATAGCTCCTACTGAAGTAATTCAACAGTTATGACTAACACATTCTCAGAAAAATGATATTTTAAATTCTAACACACCTCATCAGTTTAGTAAACATGTTGTGCTTTAGTAATTGTAGCCCTGTTTGTACCGTTAATGCATTTTACTGGACTTAAAACATCAACCAGGGAAACATTGCTGTTTACTGCTGTTTTATTCTGACTGTCTCTTCTATCTAATAGCTATTAAAATTTAAGCTTGCCCAATTTACATATGAACATAAAAGATATATCTATCTATCTATCTGTCTATCTATCTATCTATCTATCTATCTATCTATCTATCTATCTATCTATCTATCTATCTATCTATCTATCTATCTATCTATCTATCTATCTATCTATCTATCTATCTATCTATCTATCTATCTATCTATCTATCTATTTATCTGTCTGTCTGTCTGTCTGTCTGTCTGTCTGTCTGTCTGTCTGTCTGTCTGTCTGTCTGTCTATGCTTTCAAACTAAAACTATAGCAAAGTATAGCAATCCCATCTGTGTGCTTCAACAATAAAACAATCAGGATTTCTGCAGGTTTCACCAAGTCAAGACATTTTAAAGACCATTAAGAATACAATTTCATACTTTTACAGAGCTAAACACTAAGGTTTTTTTTTCAAAATGACCAGTGTTAAAGATTAGTACTTTTTCAATAAAAGAAAATCTAATTTAGATATTTATACCCATATATTACAAATAATAATTCAAACAAGCTACAGTAACTTTAGTTGTACACATACACTTTTTCCCCCAACATAACTTTTAAAAATGGTCATGTTCTAAAAACTATAATAAATTACAGTTTTCTCAGTGGCTTTGGTGCATTTCTCACTACACTATTTACATTTGCACAACAGTTAATGCATTTCTCAAAACAATTAGTCATTTGTGCACATCATAGTAGCAGTTTCTCATTCTTTTCAACAAATTGAGAATGCTTTTGGACAAGCATTGATTGCTTTAATTCAACTCTCTGCTATTTATAACATTATCATTCGCTTATGTCATGTCAGTCAAAATGAACTAAACTTGTAAATGCTCAATAGTCATTCTATATAAAACTAATAGTCCTCATTTCATTACTTGAGTCATTACATACAAAAATGGTAAACTAGTTGTCAAAATCTGTCAAACAAATTTTATAAAACAAATTTAAATCTTTATTTTGCTGAAAATGTCTTTAAAATTGAACAATTTGATGAATGATTTACAGACCTGTGTATGTTGTAGGCTTAGTTCCAATATGCACTGCAATATTGTGTACAATTGTGCACTGCTCTACCTAAAGGGAGTTTATGTTTGTTGTAAATTAGGGTGTGTTTATTCTTTTGCACAATGCAGTGAGTAAATTAGGATTGCAAAGAGCAAATGCAGTAAAAATGTGAAACATACATATTTAGTGTCTTGTACTCAGATAACTCACTCAATGCAGTGGTCTCACTTTACTGTAGTTTTCAAATGGCTGTGCAAATAGTATATAATGCTGTCTTGAGCATTTTCATAAAGTGTCACCAAAATCTGACTTTTTTTGCATTGAAAAAATGTACATGTAAACTGTCATAATGAAAACATGACTAAGCCATTTGACTGTCTTGTTCATAAACAATGATGTCAGGACTTTGACGATACTGACAGTTTGATTGACATGAATACTTGCTTTTGAGGAATGAACTATCCATTTTGAGCATGTGACGCGCTTTTGCAGGTTATCAGCTAGGTTTTGGAGTTTGCACTAATTGTTTTGAGAAATGCATTAACTGTTGTGCAAATGTAAATAGTGTAGTGAGAAATGCACCAAAGCAACTGAGAAAAACTGTAAATGCAGTCACAACAGTCTGTAAAGGTCAGTGTCCTCAATAGGTAACTACAGTATAAACAAATATTTATTAAGATGGATTATTCATGATTGGATAGGTGTTGCTTTAGATAGAAATGGGAAATTTAAGAGCTGATTAAAACAATTGAAGACCTACAACACAATATTTAAGTGATTTTAAGACTTTAAGGCCTAAAATATGGTTTTTGAAGTGTAAGACTTTTAGACCCAGTGGACATGCTGATGTGTAAATTGAAAGTTGCTGCAGACTTTTATTTAAATATGATCAAGTTCAACTAAGTAGGGGGGCTGAGTTTTGTTTTGTACTCCTAGGCCTGTCACCATATCTATTTTTTGTTGTAAGCTATAGTGCACCAATATATATTGTTATAAACAATATTATTGTCATTTAAATATCATTTTATGTCGTTTATTATATAATGGCAGAATGACAATATAATATTACAATGCAAGTACACTCTTCCTAAGAACACATACTATTTCATTTTTAGGAATATTTATTAGTCATTTTAAAAGTTTAATAATTAGCACTGGAATCAAAATGTGAAAATGCATATCCTAAATTATTAAAGTCATGTCCATGTGTTGTGCGATAAGTCTATATATTTATTATTGTGACAGGTCTATGTACTCCTCCTCTTACCTTTCACTCGCAGCAAACTAATGGTTGAAAGGGTGTAGCTAATCATATTTAATCCAAGCTGTCAAACTGACATCAGAGAAAGACTGCTATTCCAGTGAAAGCAAATGGCCAGATTTTCATTTAAGATTACAAAATACTTTTATTAACTCGCAGACTAGAAAAAAAAACATTGTAAATTATGATTTCACGTGAACTTTACGAATTAGATCAGTAGACAGAGAGTTGCTGGTCTTTTGTGACCTTTTGAACACTTTCAACCAGATCCAATTGATTGCATCTTCAACTGCCTTTTGTTTACATTTATTATTAAGTGTCATACAAGTGTGATAAGATAATCGAAAACACTCTATCTGGTTTTCACTCTAACTTTATATGGTTTTCACTCTAACTGGTATCTTAATATTAGTGGCCCTGTTTAAAAATAAACAGAGCCTGTGAGCCTCACCTCAAACTCTGTCCCGGTACAGGCTCTGATGTCATCTGGTGTCAATCCTTCCAGAATCTCAATGAGAGTTAAACCCTTGCTCTTGTCTACATCAAACACCGCCTAAAACAAGAAACAACACACTGTCTGTGATTACTAAGAAAAACAGCCTAACAAAATGTCTAACTTATAAGAAATAAGTTTTACTGACCTTTTCAGTGATTATACGGTCAACACACTGTTTTCCAGTCAGAGGAAGTGTGCACTTGTCTAAGATTTTATGCTTCCCACCCTTTAAATATAAAGTACAAACTTTAGTGACAAAAAGGTGTTCACTGTTTAATCACCCTCAAGTAATTCCAAGTCTTTATGAGTTAAGTTTTTTTGTTGTTGTTGTTTTTAAATGGATAGTGGAAGCCGGAAGACACTGACATCCATAGTGGGAAAAAATATATAGAAGTCAATGGCTATTGGTCTTCAACATTCTTCATAATATCTTCTTTCACGAGTTCACACTTGCAAAGCATATTTGGCGTGCTGTCCGGGGGGAGGGCTCTAAGCTCGAGAAGACACCCCGACTCGAGTTACTCCCCTTATCAGGAAACAAAGAGGAATTGGTATTCGAGTGAAGTGTCTAGCCCGGCCCCAGAACGCTCCCCCCAGGAATTCGATGCAAGAGGTGAGGTGACGGGGTGGTGGAGGAATACTAAAGTCGTGAGATGCTGCAGGTAAGACAGCTTTGGTATATAAAGGGGTTTGTTCAAGCACTGATTTGATAATGGGTTGATTGTCAATGACGTGTTCGATACTGAAACTTCTGCGCATGCTCCTCCCGAAATTTGTTTACAAAACATCACTTTGTGTTCAGCAGGAGACCAAATCTCAAAACAGGTTTGAAACAAGTTGAAAGTGAGTAAATAATGAGAAAAGTTTCATTTCTGTGTGAACTATCCTTTTATATTTGTAAGTGTGAGAGAGTACAGATTTAGGCTGTTTACCTTGGCAGTATGTTCCATAGTGACCACAACTTTTGTGGCATCACTAGACACCAGGTCCATCGCTCCACCCATCCCCTTCACCATTTTACCCTAGAAAAACACTTACATGTCAGTCTAAGCAAGTGTAAACACACTGAATGATAAGACAAAATCAAGCATGAAACTCATACTGGGATCATCCAGTTGGCCAGATCTCCATACTTGGAAACCTGCATTGCTCCCAGCATGGTCAGATCAATGTGACCACTAAACAAAAAGGCATAAAAGGTGAAGTTAAAATTATAGTAGTTGGGCCTGTAATCTTGGTAGATGTATTTGAACACACCCTCTGATCATGGCAAAGGATTCATCACTGGAGAAGTAGGCAGCTCCTGGATAAACTGTTACCGTCTCTTTACCTGAATGACATATTAAGAGATATGAAAAAATGTTCACATGGTTTAATGTTATTATCGTTGTTCTTTAGTCATTTTTAGTGAAGTTTTTTAAACTAATTTCGAGAGGAGCACGTGATATAATTGACCGCAGCTGGCCGCCTATCTACAGTCATTAGTTAGTCAATCAGATCTATCCCAACTTACTATAAATAGCCTAGCTAGAAATTACTCCCTTACCTTCGTTTTTCCGAAGAAACCCCCCATCCACCCCCTTTCTCCTCCTTTCCTCCTTTTAAAAAAAGGGGAGCTCTCTAGAACCACCTGATCTCGTACTCCCCTTACATGCTCTATGGACCTGGAGGGAGCCCTGGGCTCAACTATCTCCGAGCTCAGGGTTCTCTCCCGGGACAGCATGCCAAACCTGCTTACAGTTGTCAAGCAATATCTAAGTGTGAACTCTTGAAAAGATATTATTATTTATATTTATTTTAGGATATTATATTATGTTACATTCTATTATATTATGTTAATTATAATATATCATATTGTGCTTATTTGAAATTAAACTTCTGATTTCTAAATGAAGATCTTAATAGCAAATTCAATTAAATTAGATATCAGATTAGATGTTGACTGCGTGTCATGCATTAAGCAATGTAAAATGTGCAGACTATATATATATAGGACCATAAAATATGATAAATAGAAGATGTCACTGTACCAGCATTGATTAAATCAGGATCCACTTCACTTTCTGTTGGATAAGGGCCCTAAATGAGCAAAAATAAATTGGGGATTGAATGTGCCATACATTTACCCATTCATGATATTTATTAATAAAAACTCACCAGTCCTAAAATTCCATTCTCACTCTGCAAGTGCACAGTGATATCAGGACTAATGTAATTGCTGGCCAGCATAGGGATCCCAATACCAAGATTAGCTAGGAACTTTGTCAAGGTGTGTGTTAACAAGACACTATTCACTCATCCACCATATTGACAGTGATAGTATATGCAGTATGTAGTCAGCCTACTGAAGGATACCATACATGCCATCCTGAAACTCCAGTGCAGCTCGCCGGATGATTCTCTCCCGGGTTATATCTGACTCCTGCTTCACTTTAGGCTTCTCCTCCTTGCCTGATTGAACCAACCTTTTCTGAAAAAAATGTGCTCCTGAATCTTATAAATTCTAAAATTGCATGTACATTTGGTTTGAAAAGTCATTATCATTTTAGGTTTTCTTTCCCCAAAAGGTTGCGTTTTTAGTTATTTTAATGTGCTACTCTTCGTCATCGTGGATCACAATATTTTTCAGGCCATAACAATTTAATTTGTTCAGCAAAAAGTGTCTTACATGGCTGAAAATAATTTCTTGCTGTCAGAAAAGGTGTATTTTTCCATTATATACTGTGTATTCAGATATTTACATTTAGTCATTTAGCAGACGATTTTATCCAAAAAAATGACTTACAAATGAGGACAAGGAAGCAATTTACACAACTATAAGAGCAACAATGAATGAGTGCAAAGTTTAAGAAGGAAATCATTAGTAATGTAAGTTTTTTTTTTTTTTTGAGTACAGTTAGTTTTATAGCCAGAGGCAATTGCAGATTAGGAAGGAAAGTTGATGTTATTGTACATTTCTTAGGCCGATATTTCATTTACTTTATTTTTAAATCCTCTAAAATAATGATTTTTTCTGAATTTGAAACTGTTTACAAATAGTGTTGATGTAATGTAATGTGTATTTACATGTGTAATATCTAATGTGCTCAAAAAATAAAGGGAACACTTGGAGCGCTCCCTTTTTTTGTTTTTGAGCAGTTGTATATGTGTCCATAAATCTTTTGTCAATCTATCACATTGGGTTGTTCAAAAGTTGTTTAAAGAGGAATCCATTAGTGCCACCGGCTGTTAACATTTATACTAGCAAGTGGAGTTTTGGCCTTTTAAAATGCATTTAAAATGGTCAATTCTGTTACTGTCAAACCACACACTCTGTAACCAATGTAGCATAACAGTGTTGACATAACAGAAATGACAAACTTTTTATTATTATTATTTTATTAGGTAAAAAAGAATTAACTTGTATTTGGCAAGCACTGGATTATTGAAGATGATTATTTTCTGTACGATACTGTAAAGTATTCCTGTTTGTGTTGATTTTATTTGTATTTCTTAATATGGAATCATCCATCTATATAAAAATGTATAATATGCTCAGAAATCATTAAACCATTCTAACGGTGACGATCAGACAGGTTATTCAGTCTTTCTCACCTCGATTCTTTTTTCATAGCTGGCTCCTTTCACCACGCGGTCTACATAGATGCCGGGAATGTGAATGTCTTCTGCATTAAAACTTCCAATATCAACAATCTCTTCGACCTACAAGGTAAAAAGCATTATCAGTTTTTTTTTGTTTGTTTTTTTTTTATTTAGATTTAAACACAGTATTCCGGTAAATGTTGCACAGCTCATACCAAACTATAAGGTCACAAACCTCCACTATGGTGACTTTGGCTGCTTTACACATAGGCTGATTGAAATTGCGGGTTGTTTTCCTGTATAAAAAATATAACTGTCAAAATGCAATAGCAGCTGTACTTTTTAATGTATTTATCTTGAACTATTTATTCAAATCAGAACATTATCCCTCGCTCTCTCTCCCTTTTTTGAACTGTGTTTTTATTAAAGTTTTTATAAACATAGTATACACATATAACATTTAATTAGAATATTTACATTCACAAAAAAAAATAATAATAATAATTATAGATATAAATTTTAATAATAAATAAATAATAGCGACAGCTAAAAAAAGATAATACATTACACAAAAAGTAGATATATAATTAATTAAACTTCAATATAATGACAAAAACTACAACAAAGCCCCTGACAGCATTTCAAAGATATGGTTAGATCAATGCCCAGGTTTGTTGGAAAATGTCTGTTTTCAACTGCAAATCTGCAACCATTTTACTTACTAAACTGATCAGGGGAAAGCCAACAAGCAAAAATAAATAAATACTGGGTGCATTGGTATGTTGTATCCTAACACTTTACTAAAACTTTACTCCCTTTTAACCTTCTGCCAATACACTTGTATTTTGGGACATTACCCTCTCTCCTTTTTATTAAACTAGAATTAAAAAAAAGTTGCATTAAATATTTTAAACTAGTAGTAGGAGTGAGTAAACAGCCTACATGGCAAACTTCAAATAGCCTTATGTTTCTTTGAAGGCAGTTTTGATTCAGATATACCAAAGCAAGTCTTTTCCTGAAAATAAAAATTTAAGTAGCAACACTAAAATAATAATAGTAATCGTGTTAACAAACAACAACAGTCCATTATTCAATGTATATGTTTTTATATTATGTAATGTGGTATAGCTGAACAACTAAATTGTGTTTTATATTATATCAATTTTTTATTTTATTTATTTTTTTTTTTTCATAAGTCGTGTGTTGCGGACCTATTGGCTAGGTCACCCTTGTAAATGAGATCTTGATCTCAATGGGTTTTTATCTGGTTAAAGAAACATATAATAATCTAATAATATATGTGCTTTTTTTATTTTTGGAGTGTACAAAAACCATATTCATTTTTAAAATAAAGTGAAGCAACATCAACACTTCCACCAATAAAGTCAAGTACATTTTTCCCAAAAAGTGGAAGACACGAAGGAGAGATGCCTAAATGACTATTTGATAAGCAGATGAAGCCTGACCTCTAGTGGACAGTAAGTAGGCTTACTTCAGAACTCTACTCCGGAAAAGACTAAATATTACAGCAATGTCAAGAAAGGGACATGATTTTAACGTTTCATAAATATATATATATATATATATATATATATATATATATATATATATATATATATATATATATATATATATATATATATATATATAATTAAATTCTTATGTTTTACCTGAAAATAAGATTTCCTGCTCTATCACATTTCCAGGCCTTTACCAAAGCAAAGTCACCAGTGATCGCCTTTTCCATGACATAATGCCTGCCATTAAACTCTCGAACCTAGACCAAACAACCAAAACAATTTAAGGGCAGGTTTTTTTCGGAGACAGTATGTTTTTAGACAGTAATATGATTTGCCACACCTCTCTTCTTTCACTTGCAATGGCAATGGTCCCATCTTTGTTGTATTTAATGGGCGAGCCGCCCTCCTGGATGAGAGTGCCATATCCGGTGGGAGTAAAAAACGCTGGGATTCCTGCACCACCAGCCCGGATCCTCTCTGCTAATGTGCCCTGCCATACAAACAGGTCAGTAACACTTTACGTAAGGAGTAATGTACATCCTTCAAGCCTGCCAGCGGAGAGCCTGATTTTTTTTTCAGTCACAAGATGGCGCCAAACAATTCAATTTGGCCCCTGGACATTTCCTGCTTGTTATCAAACTTTTTCATAACTGCAACAAGAGGCAATGAAGTCATAACTTCATGTTAAAGTAGCTATCATAACATTATTTATCATTGTGTGGCTCTTTTTGCATTCTCAGAAGCCATAGAAATTAAAAAATGTGAAACAGGAAATTAGTTGGGACCGTTGTTTTTGTTTACATGCCTCAAAATGGGACTCGTGATTGACCAATCAGAAGCAAGTATTCGAGTATTACAAAAGCCGTATGATAAATTAAGGTTAACATTATAAAGGTTCAAACAAAAAGGTTTACATTGCATCAGCTACCATTAAACAAAGGCCTACTTACTGTCTAATGTCAGCTTATTTTATAATAAATACTACAAGACACAGTAAAATCACGAGTCCCTTATTTCTTCATTAACTATTTCCTTTAATTGGTAAAAAAAAAAGTAGCCTACAAATAAAATATTTGCAGGATTTTCCCTCATTGAAAGACAAGTTTTTGCATGCAAAGATGGACACTGTGTTCTCAAAAAAACAGTCATTTCATGATTGAATGATAAGCAAATCTCTGTTTTTTTATGGGGGTGCCATCGAGATTAAGCTTTTCATTCTGTCTGTGAGCTGAATCAAGTCTACATCTGCTACAATAAACACACACTGTTCAAGTTTATTTCAGTTCAAGTTATTATGTCAGATTAGGCAAGAAATTGCTTGTAAAACTTTAACAATTGGTATCATCAATTCCCAAACCATTATACATTTGAATGAAAAGGAAAGTTGGTGCCTTCTGTCTCTTTAAAAGTGTGCTGCAGTAATTGAAAAAAAAAAGTTTATATTTACAGCCAACAACTTATTTGGTCAATGACAGCATTGGAAATATTTTATTTGTACTTGTAGCTGTATGAACAAATAATAATAAACTTCCCTGTGAATTGTAGTTTGCAACCAACATTACTTCCATAATATGATGCGTTTCTGACAGCAAATTGTTGCAATGAGAAACAAAGCTGGATTTTGAAGATTGTTGAGACTGCAGGTACATGAGGGTCAAAGGCGCCTGTGTCATATTACATTTACAAAGAGTTTATATAATGCATATTAAAGAGATTTATTTCACCCAAAAATGTAAAGTAACATTCACTTTCCCTATCCTCATGCGGTCCCACACCTTTTTTTTCTGTTGAATGCAAAATATGATATTTTGAAGAATGCTGAAAACCTGTAACTATTGACTTCCATAGTAGAAATAACAAATACTATAGAAGTCAATGCTTACAGGTTACCAGGTTTCTGTAAAATATCATCTTTTGTGTTTAACAGCATCAAAACTCAAAGGGTTTTGGACCACTTGAGGGTGATTAAATGTTGACAGCATTTTCCCTTTGGGTTGAACTGTCCCTTTAAGTGCAAGTAAAAACAAATAGGAAAAATCAATTTACATAAATAGGAAGAAAGCATACGGATTCTAAATAAGAATTAGTATTTTGTGGTTTTATTATGTCATGAAATGTTTTGTGTTAACGAGATTCTATTTTAGTGGGTTTCTTGTTACTCATTAAATTATTTTTTTTATTATATATAATTACTCATTATAGTCCCTGTCTTTTTGGCTCAAAAAAGAAGAAGAGATAAATAAACTGGACACATTCTAATCTACAGAATTACCTAAACTAAAAAAAAAAAACATGGAGCATGTAAACGATGATAAGTAAATTGATCTACAGTACCTGAGGTGTAAGCTCTAGTTCCAGCTCGCCTGAAAGATATTGTCTCTCAAACTCTGCGTTTTCCCCAACATAAGACGATATCATGCGCTTTATCTGTTTGCTTTTCAGAAGCATGCCCAGGCCAAAGTTGTCAACCCTGCAATCACAAACACTCTATAGTTATAATAGTCACACGTGAAATCACATAATACGCTTGTGTTACTCTAAAACTGGATTCTCAAGTGTGCAGCTTTCCTGTCTTTTGACCCCATCAGATTATTTACCAGCCTTTGAGTTTAATAATACAAGACAGGAAAGTTTTGTCAACATTGAGCACATCAGGGAGTTCTCTGGAAGAATTACATCCCCTTATTGACATGTTCACTATGTATCTCTCTCACCCAGCATTGTTGCTCACAGCTGTGATGTCTTTTACTCCTGTTTTCAGCAGGCTACTGATTAGATTCTCCGGGATCCCACACAAACCAAAGCCTGGGAGAGAAAAGGGGGAAATTAAGCGCACACACAAGAACATCGCTTGGGGACACATTATGTTCTATCTATACAGCAAAGGAAATACCACTTAGCTGTATGAACAACTGATCAGATAGGACTGTGCACAAATATGCACAGAAAGGCAGGGGCAGGCAGTGTTTTGATTAAAACACTTTGAATAATTGTAATACTTAACTAAATGTTATTTATAAATATAGCTACTTTTATTAATAGGACTACTAAATATAGATTTTGGCTTGTGACTTTGGTACATCCTGTTGTTGGATCCACTGTGCTTGTTGTAAACTTGAAAAATAAAGTGCCCAGGTCAAACTAATAAGGTTAATGTGGGTAATTATTTGATAAAACATTGCTCAAAAAATGTTGTTATGGGACAAAAAATAGAGCACTTAGCAAATAGCTAGAGACTTTAGCTTGCTAGCTACAGCTATGTACCTGGATGGGAGACCACATGGGAAAACTATAGGGTGCTGTTGGAAATAATGTAAGTGAGGCCAGTAGCGGGCACTCAACCTGCTGTCTGTGTGAGTCCTAATGCCCCAGTGAAGTGAAGGTGACAATATACTGTTAGTGGGTGTTGTCTTTAGGGTGATCATAGCCTCCCAATCATTCCAATCCATTGAATTGGCTCTATCACTGTTTCTCCAGTCCATCTATAGCTGGTGTGTGGTAAGCACACTGGTGCCGTTGTTCTGTGGATGCTGCACACTGGTGTTGAGAAACCCCCCCCCCCCCCCACATGATTGTGAAGTGCTTTGAGTGTATGGCCACACACAATAAATGTGCTATATAAATACGCATTACATTATAGCTAACTTGGTTATGTTTTTATTGACACTATTGTTTTAGCAACTAGATATATGTTTTGTTTATCAGTCATAGTCTTGTAAAATTCAGGGTGACTGTTTATGTAAAATTCAGTCGGTTTTGTCTCAAGTGAACACAAACAACTGGGAGAAAAATGAATCAGTACATTGGATCTGTGCATTTAAGTTAATGTGACAGCAATAAAAAAAAACATACCAATTGCTTTATATCTTTAATTTTTATTATACAGAAAAATAAAAATAAAAATGTTGCAGCACTGCACTCTCTTTCTTCAAACGGTGGCTTGCAAATTGTGTATATTTTTGTATAATGAAATTTAAATTGACTTAAATTCTATTTACTTTACTTCTTTTCTATTTACAAATGAATTATCTTTTTCAGGATGTCCGTAGGGGTCTTGAAAGTCTTAAAATGTCTTAAATTTCAAAAACAAATATTTAAGCCTTAAAAAGTCTTAAATTCACAGAAATATTGTCTTCTGGTCTTAAATTAAATTAAACAGGGCTTAATTTTCCTTTGTTTACGTAAAGCTACCCAATTGATCCAACACATTCAATCAGCAACAACACATCTCAATAAAACATTTAGCAAAACTATTCATAACTAATATTATTATGCTGTAGTTTTAAAGTAAAGCACAAATCAACAGTTTGTTTTGGTTTCTTAATTATTTCCATAGCTTTGTGTTTTGAGCTATTTGTGCTTATCTCTGTATAAGAGGCACATTTGTGTAGCGAATGTTTTGGTATGTCACATCTCATATGCATTAACTCAAAATTCTGTCATACTCAGTCACAAACCTGTTTGAGTTTCAAAGATTTTTTAAAAAGTTGGAAATCGGTAACCTTTGAATTCTGTATTTGATTTTTCTACTATGGAAGTCATGCATCAACATTAACATTTTTCAAATTATCTTCTTTTGTGTTCAACAAAAAGAAATTCATAAAGGGTTGGAACCAGTTCAGAGTGAGTACTTTTATATCTTTAGGTAAACTATCCCTTTAAGCTCCCACTTATACCTCCAACTAGAAGCTTGGAGCCATTAGGAATGTCCTGGACGGTCTCCACAGGGTCTGAATAAAAACAGGCTCTCCATGACTGCGATGTTGAGAAATGAGCGCTGTTGGATTCCTGTAGAGCAAAGCGACAGTGAGAGCATGACATACTTATAGTAAAAAAGCATGTTGTTTTCTACTTTAACCGAAGTATCTTTATAAAATATAAACAGTGTGATGTCTTTTTGAACCTGTGTTGATGCTCACGCTGTACAGTATTGCTGTTTGCTTCCAGCAAACTTTAGTTCTTTGAAAGGAAGTTCAAAGCAAACTTCAATATCACATTAGAAATTTAAAAGTGAATTATATAATATTCCCCATGTTCCTTTTAAATTCTTTCATCATTCATTCATTTCATGTGCTATTCAATCTTTAAAGAAACACATAAATAAATGGTCAAAGGTTGAAAGACATTTTCCGATTTTATGCCTGATCAATAAAATGAGCGCATTGGCAAGATTCATGCCTCACAAACAAACCGCCAGCGCAACGTGGCGATGGGGACATGCTGATATTCTGTGCAAACATTACTGCTGTTCAAACAATGAATCGATGCGATGGAATTAGTGTATTTAAAAGCTATATATTAAGTCAATTAAATGTATATAACTATTTTTAATCTGTTTCTCTGTACATACCGATTTAAAAAACAGATTGATTTGTATCATCTACCAATTTATTGGAAAATATTAAGACAAAGATTGATTTGGTTTGTTATAAAATATACAATAAATACATAATTAAATAAACCTCATTTAACTCAAAATGAATGTCTGAAACATGCATGAATGTGATTACTCTTTTTTTGTTTACTTTACAGATTAAATATAATTGCTTTCCAAAATGAAACCTCTGGTACTTACCTTACCATGTCGCATATAAATACATCCCTGAGGGCTTAATGATATTAGTCTTCCTCTGAGAACAGTATTTGACCTAGACAGAAATCTTTGAAATGACATTTTCAGAACACTTTAAAGTTTTTTACAGGAAAGTAATCACTGTCTACTACAGGATCTGGATTGATCCTGCTCACTTTTAAAATAGGGCAAAGGGTGGATTTTTGGGACAGTTTGAGGTGTACTTTTGGACTGTGTCATTATAGATCAATGAACCCCCTTAAAACACAAACATTCAAATACAGCAATTCATTCACTCTCCGTTCAATGACGTCTACACTCTTAAAGATAAAGCTTAATAATGTTAATGCCAAAACAACCATTTTGGGTTACACAAAGAGTTTTAAAAGAAGAACTTTAAAAATCTATATGAATTATTTGTAGAATAAAAGGGTCCATGCATGGATGTTGGGTGTTTTTTTTTTTTTTTTTTTTTTGTGGAACCATCAATGCTAATAATTCTTTTAACCCTTTTCTGCTATTGGGGATGTTTTTATCCAATTTTGGGTGATTTGGTGTCTTAATCTGACCTTAACATTTTCTGTGTTTCAGCTAGCACAATAATTTAAGATAAAAAGATCTTATTTATTATTTTAGCCTTTAGCCTTAGTCTTATGTTATGAAAACATTCACTAAATTAAACTGCTGAAATGCATCAGATAAATATTTTATTTAAAATTCTTTTTTGCATAAATCTGTTAATCAATCTCAGTCCTGATCAAAACTACTAAATTGCTTAGAAAATTACAGGATTTTAACTCTTTAATTGCCAAATTAATGATGTCACTGATTTGATAAAAACACAAAAGTACATATTTTTAATATAAAAGTAATTGTGGACTTGATGTTTTTACCTTTATCAAACTCATGTGAACCAACATTGCCTTTATTTCATTGTTTTTTATTATTTTCATTTTTTATTACTAATTTACTGTTGGTGGCTTTTTTTTTTTTTTGCCTCTACTGACTTCCATTAGAACTACATTTTTGATTAAAAAACCATGACACCATATAATCATGCATTTTAGATTGTTTTTGGTTTTCCCTGTTGTGGAGAGGTAAAATTTGTATTTTTTACTGTTGATCACCAGTTGGCACCATTAACCCTTAAGACAGGCTTCTGCAAAAAAAAAGCTTAGTTTCTGGATTTTATATGGAGTATAACAGCAAATTAAAGTGGCTGTGAGAGTGACCTTTGTGCACTTTCCTTGTTTTGTCTGAGAAAATCTAAATATGCATCTCAGCTCTCAAAACTACATGGAGTAAATAAAAACAAAGACTGGGTATTTATGCACCATCAAATGTGGTTATAATGGAAGTCTATCCTTCCGGGTCCAAGTGCTTAATTAAACTGTACGGGGAGACATATAAAATGCTAATAATAAACGATCGGATTGTATATATCAAGGCCTAATATCTGATAGCCAGAAAGTCATACATTTTTTAGAAATTGTTACAAATTTTGTTAATTGTGATGCAGCATCTCCAGAGACTGTTGTGTACACTTTGATTTTATATACAATTCTTTTTAATGTGTGATATGACTAAGTGGTCATAGAAACAAATATTTTCTCAATTAAAATAAGTAGCGGCTTGGACCCAGAAACAGTATTCCATACGTCAATAATACGTCATGACTTAACAAGCGGATGGGGCTAAAACAACCACTAACTGTAAATTAGGGAGAAAAAGTGAAAATTTTACATTACATCAAAGGCAATGTTGTTACTAATCTTTCAAATGTCCAAGACTGTGATAAAAGGAAAAAAATCCAGTCCACAATTACTTTTTATATTGAAAATACAGCATTTTGTGTGTTTTTCTCACCAAATCAGTGACATCATTTGTGAATTTGGCAATTGAAGAGTTAATATACTGTGATTTTTAAAAACAGATTTATGCACAACAAAATTTAAAACAATATTTATCTGATGCATTTTACAGTAGTTTAATTCAGTGGATGTTTTCATCCCGAACATAACAAAAGTGTAGGAAATTTAAACAGTGCACATGGGTTCAAGAATATGTTCTTCACTTGTGCAAAGTAAGCTGTGAAGACCAGACCGAATTACACTGCAAAGCTACTAAAGAGCAGGGTCAAAGGTCGTTCCCTTTTGAGAAGTTTGACAGCTGCAGAGAAACTTCCAGACTACCACAATAACAGCACTTGGAAACAGAACAGTTAGATTCTGACACCGAACACCACAGGCCAAATAACCTCAGTTAGATGTGCTGTGAGTCTTTTATCCTCAGATTAAGACTGCATCTCGAGAGTTTCTAACAAATGTATACAATTATGAATCTGAAATTACACTGTTATATGATTTGGAATTCAAAGTTACCTTGGATGTCTCCAGGAAACCAAACAATCAGCAACAAACAAGAGGTTTGAGCATTTTGGTAAAAAGTAAACTTAAAAATAAAGGTTCCAAAAGTTTTCACAGATTATGCTATTGAGCAGGGATGGGCAAACTCAGTCCTGGAGAGCCCAATCAAACACACCTGCTTGCAGCTTTCTAGTGATCTTAAAGACACTGGCTATATTTAGCATGTTCAAATGTGTTTGGACAAAACTTTGACTGGCCCTCCAAGACTGAGTATGCCTACTCCTGCCATAGAAGAACAAGTTTGGTCTCAGAGTGAACCATTTTGTATGTGAAAAACATCTAAAAGATTTTGTAAAAAAATGTTCTTTGGGTGCTAAAAGTTATTCATGGGATCCTCAATGCCAATAAAGAACATTTATATTTCAAATAAAAATACATTAATAAAAAGGATATGTCTATGTGTTATAAACAACAGGGGTGACGTTCCATGTGCAGCTTAATTATATCTATTTAAGAGGGTGGTCCATTAGGCAGGGGTCAAAACTGCTACAAACAAGAGCATAGGTCTAATCCACAAAGACTAATCCAAGAGACAGGCAAAAGGTCAGGGCAGGCATAAAACAATGATACAATCCAAAAACAGCACAAGGTCAACAGAACAGACAAGGCAAAACAAGAAGAAAGAAACACTGAGTAAAGTTCATAACTTAAAAACAAGACTGAGCGATGCTTTGTAAATGGAATTCATATATAGTGAATCAGTGTTAATGATCTTCAGCTGTGTGTGTGTGCAGGTCTGTATGTGTGGGTGCGGCAGAGTCCAGATTGTTAACAGCTGTCTGTTGTGGGTGTTGATTGGTGCAATGCGTCATCATGGGAGTTGTAGTCCAGGTGAATAGAAGATAGCATATACAGATTTCTGGTGTGCCCTGTAATGAGTCTCATGGGCACTTCAGCTGATAATCGTGACAGTATGGGTAATTCTAGAATTACAGGTACATTTTGTATCTTCAAGATAAACCTTCTTGTTTTTCAACAAATTTAATGAAACAGTTTTAAACAAAATAAAGTAACATCAATTTATCTCTTAAAAATAATGTTTGTGTTTTAGGGACATTTTGTCTGGAAAATGTTAACTCAAAGGCTCCATATACTCAAAGGTACAAAATCTGTCATTGGGGCGAGACCTTTTCAAAAGATACTCTTTTGTACCATACAGGTGGACGGTAGTAGTTTTTGCCTGTTTCTGGCTCCTGAATCATACATTCTGCTTTGATTATTGATGGCACTCTTGAAAAAGAGATTACAAATCTCAAGAGGTTTTTATACTTTGAAATGTGCCTTTTTAATTGAAAATTTGAAGTAATCTCGACTGAAACCTGAAGAAGCAAAGCAAATAAGAAGCATCTTGAAGGGAGCCGGGCATGTCTGATAATAAAAAGCATTTGATTGGTCAAGCTTTGATGAGAAACTGAAGAAGCTAAAAACGTTAATTTATTTTGGTAGAAGTGATAAACTGCAAGCGTTTTATATTTATATCTTCTAAATACAATTGTTTTCCTCTGTTTTGGAACACGTTATAAATAGACATACTTAAGACTAACATTTATAAAACTTTTATTTTAAATTGATAGGACCTTTAATAGTGGATTCAGTATAAATTAGACATTTGTTGTATATCATTCCAGCTCAAGGAAAATACATTGGAAATGTATAACCACAAGTCTGGAATGAGCCATATGTCTTTAATGTTTTCTTTGCTTCTCATTAGGCCGCATAAACAACGCGAATGTAATATGAGCCTTGAGCACTTGAGGTTTTGTATGTACATGCCATTTTAGTGTTCACGTCAAATTAAATTATGTGGAAACCATAATAGAGGCAAGCGAAGTGGAAGAGTTAATGTTTCAAATAACTTTAGTGAAAAAGTAAACATTTTGGTTAGATAATTTTTCCATCGTCATTAAGCATTAAATATGTAATAAGGAATGTTTAACCCTAAAATAGGAATTTATTCCCTGTAACTCACTTTAAAGTGCTTTCCATGAGGACTGTATGTCTTTTAAACACATTCATTCATTCATTTTCTTGTCGGCTTAGTCCCTTTATTAATCCGGGGTCGCCACAGCCGAATGAACCGCCAACTTATCCAGCAAGTTTTTACGCAGCGGATGCCCTTCCAGCCGCAACCCATCTCTGGGAAACATCCACACATACACACACACACACACTCATACACTACAGACAATTTAGCCTACCCAATTCACCTGTGGGGGAAACCGGAGCACCCGGAGGAAACCCACACGAACGCAGGGAGAACATGCAAACTCCACACAGAAACGCCAACTGAGCCGAGGATTGAACCAGCGACCTTCTTGCTGTGAGGCGAACGTGCTACCCACTGCTACCCACTTAAACACAAAAAAAAAAGATATTTTTTGGGGAGATGGGGGACCGCACTCCTATGTCATGTTACGGTGGGCGTCAAAATCACTGGGATTTGGGTCTTATTTTAACGTCAAGAAATTTAAAAATGAGAAATGTTGAGTTTCTATTAATATGACAGTGGACACACTATACCTATAGACAGTTCTGTCCAAAAAGCTTGCAAAAGCTGATTTTCATCATAGGTGCCCTTTAAAATATGCCTGACAAGATTTTCTGGTATGGTAAATGGTATCTGAATGACATTTTACACATTGTCTCTTGTAAATTATGGTAAAAATGTACACTAGTGGACACCTTTTCATCATTTTAATCCATTTTTTCATTTTTTTATTTATTTATTTATTTTTTTATATTTTGGTGTTTTTGAATATCTCCAAGTTCAAGTTAGTGTTTTATAACATAGGCTAACTTTTTTCCCATTTTCCTACTTCTTGTTGAAATAAAATTTAAATTGTAAAATAACAACAACTTAAAAATGAACTCTTGTCCATTACCAATAAAAGTGAAAATGTCCAACAGTTCTCCCACACCACAGAACAAAGTGCAGCATTTTTTTCAGAAAACTTTCAACTGACAAATTCACAGCAGTAAAATGAGTATGCTAACAGTAAATTTGCAAGAAACTGACAAAAAGCCAAACTTTTCAATCCTCCACTGCCCCACAAACTGTTTCTACGTACGTGCATTTGTTCTTGTTGGGTCTCTGAAATTTTGTGCCGCAAGACCCCCTAAACACGTGCCCTACTCCGGTCACGTGTACCATTCAGTTCTGCATTGTTTATTATATGTGCAAGTGAGCGCCTATATATGGAAGGCATAAAATGTCCAAACAGTCTGCCATTCGGAATAGGAAAGATTTTATGGGCTTTGCTAGGACACACACAAGTATACTGCACTGATCTAAAAATTATCACCAAAATTGCAGCTCAGGCGCGGAGGAAGTTAATCTAAGCTCTCGATTGTTATATTCCGCTGTATTCATATAATAACGCACGTTTATAAAGATACCACGCGCGCGAGCAGTGAAATAAATAATGCGCGTGCCATTTTTCCTTAAAGACTAGTTGTAGGAAAACAGAGTGACGACTGTTTGGGCGGAGTCCCCGGTCCATTTATTTTTTCGCATGCGAAAGTCTGCATGCAGTAAACCGCTTAAGTGTGCCATGCTGTATAAGGTCTACTTAGTAAGCTCACTTCGCAGGGTGCTTCAAGGAAAAGTGGCGCCTTTCTTCGAATGTGCCCTAGAAAAAAGAACTAGCACGGATGATGGAGCCAACAGAGAGAGTATAAGGAAAGGTCCTGTCACACAAGCACAGGACGCGTTTTAGGATAAGCTGCAGAAGAGAAAAAACGAGCTATTTTTTGACGCTTTTCTAAAACATTTATAGTAGATAAACGTTCAAAAGCTTCGTTGAGACGATCAAACGAAGAAGCTCCTTGAGGAAGAGAAGTTCAGGATTAACAAATCTGAAATCCCACTCTTGGAAAAGGTGAGTTCAGTGTGTGACAGATTCATGTAGATTTTAAGCGACGTTTGTGGTAGATTATAATGCAGATTTGCGTGTAAAAACGGTTTAAATTACACAAATAAAGCCAAATAAGCGTTAAATGCCACATTTAAGTTTTTATTTGTTCCTGTATCACGTTTGGAATACTTTTATCATGATGTTTCGTGCGCATGCTTACTCACAAGGATTGTTTACAAGATAGCTGAAATGTATTCACGTCATATGGTGTGCAGATGTGTTAATTATAGACTACACAATACAATCATTTTGTAGTTAGGCAATATGCAGCAGTGTAACTAAATGTCAGCATGTCATCAGTTATGTCTTGAATGATTGCAATTGTGGTATATCTATCAAACAGTTGCATGGAAAGTGTGTTTTTGATTTCAGTATTTTTGGACAGTTGGTTAATATATTTTTTCAGCCTAAAAAAATAAAATAAATAAAAATAACAGTTCAAAAAGAAGTCAAAAAGCTTTAGTGTCAGCTTGCAACATTCAAAATTAAAGCCGACTGTTTTCCTTAGGGCTGTAACGATACACCAAACCCACGATTCGGTCCGTATCACGATTTTTGACCCACGATTCGATTCGTATCACGATTTTTTATTTAATTTTTTTCGTGTGGGGTGGGAAAAAAAAGATTTTTAAAACTATTTTTAATTAAATAACATTTGAAAAATCTTTATAAACTAAACATCAAAGAACAATATTAACTATACAAATTATTAACAATATAAATAGCCATATATAAAATAAATAAATAGCCAAAGCTATATCACTTCTGTTTTCTTTGTAACGAAATACTGTTGAAAAACCAAACTAAACTCCATTGTTTAGATGGTTCAAGCATGTTGAAAATTATTTTACAATCAAGTTCTCTTGCATAGAAAAAGTAAATTAAATAGCTAGGGATGCTCATTTCGTATTTTGCTAACTGACAACCGCCGCTCATTAATCGGTTATTAACGGTTAACTGGTCAGATTACTATTAATTTTATATTAAACAAATTGACGTGTCTATTTTGTGTATGACACATTAAATATTGCATTTTAAAATACTGATTTATTTTTATATATTAATAGCGGAACAGAACAACAGAGCATCTTCACGCACCTGCAGTGTTTAGCACAGAAGAGCAGAATAATCTAAATAAAATGAATAAAATAAATAGGACTGGCCTAAATTATTTTTTTACTTAAATAATTAATTTATTTTACAAAACGAAAATACTGACTGATTCTTTTTAATAACCGGCATGGGCTTTTTTCCCAATCATATGTTTATTTCTTCCGTCAAATAAAAATCGCAGACTTCCTCAAATTGCTTGCTCCACGGAAAATATGCATTTATTTAATGCCCCGCTGTTATTATTATAATCATAAAACCTTTTACATTTTAATAGAAATCCTTATTTTAAAGATTATGTCCTGATATAGCCTGGTTTCCTCTCTCTCCCTCGCGGTTCAAGTGCGCGCGCTGCCTGATGAAAAGACAACAACACGCGCGCATATGTAGACTTTTTGTAAACGGTTTGTTTAAATATGATATTGCATTAATCTGCGTACATGCTTTAAGCTGTAAAATAAAAAGTAAAGCCTATTTGTTGCGTTTATTACGCAGATCTAGGTCAACATAAGCGCTGGTTCAGTATCAACAGGTCTGTATCAAACAGCAATATTCTTCTACCATTTTGCTTCTTTAGCAAATGTGTCTGTAGGCACGGGTTATACGTTATCATCCCGCAAATTAAGTATGCCTTGCAGTTAAACAAGTGGCCGAAAACAAGGCGCACCTTACTGCCTTTATGTTGACAAGGAAAAAAGAAGAGGCGCGGTCCTCTTATAAACGACTGAATCAGCTGGGTATCGATTGTGCAAAAGTGTTGCTGTCTGTTTTGTTACAATTGTAATATTTAATACTATTGTGATATTCAAGATTTGTATATTCATACAGCTCTGGATAACTTAAAACAACGATTAGAGAGCGGTGTTAATGCGTCCTGAAGTAAAGCGAAACGGCTATAAACTCCAGCAAGATAGAGTGATTATATGCAGAGTCATATACCTTTATCTCTAAATAAAGTAGGCTATAACTATAGAAACTGTGTTTATTTTAACTGAAAGCTTCGTCGTGTTTTCTGACCTCACGCACCTGTCAGTCAGCACTCCCAAAGGTTCAAACAGAAAGCGCACAGCACGGTTACAGAAAAGTTTGGCTGTTACCTGACATCTGGTAAACGCCCATCCCTCTCTGCGCAGCCATATTAACAGTGTGAGCAAATCATCGTATATGCGCTGAAAATCCGGCTGCTTTGACAGCATTGGCAATGTTTCTGGCGTTGTCGGTTGTCAAGCGGGGTTAAGTTGGTTTTGTTTTTGATATTCTTGACACATTCAGACGGCCCCTTACTAAGAGCTCCGTGCGAGCTCTCCCGGCTAAATATTGCGAGGGCTTAAACGGAGCAGTGCTTGTAATGTCGAACGAAAAAAAGTGTTAATTAGCTCAACTTGTGCAGACACGCGTGACGTTATTGAAAAGGTATCACGGGGTGGGTGTGTCGCGATTCTTCCTTATTACACCGCGACACAGGATCGTAGATCTGAGTGTCGCGATTTCGATTTTATATCGTGTATCGTTACAGCCCTAGTATTCATGTGTGGATCAGTGTTGGCCACGTTCCTAATTAGCTATAGTTACTAGTTACTTTTCACAAATAGTAACTGAGTTACATAATTATAAAAGTAACTAATTACCAGGGAAAGTATTTATTGTGTAAAATCTAGTTTATCAAATGACTATGAATAAATATTGTACATCTACGCTATTTTAATGTTGTTGTGGGACAATGTGAGAGACAACTATATATCTAGATATTTTATTTAAATCTGCATGAGTAATCAGTGCTTGCTGTAGAGAAAAATCAAGTTTATTTGCTTTGACGTTGTGGCTTCATCTCCTTTTTTGGTAGCAGAGCTCACGTTATCACCTGCGTAGCCACTAAATTTTGGCCTCATGTGACGACGTGAGCTGCTTCATTAGGTTAGAATTACTTGTCACTGACACAAAGAGTTTTTTTTCCTGGGCATAAGCACGATACATGAACATTCTTGTCTTTCACATCAACGACCAATCATCCAATCATCACCAAGCCAATCATCACGTTCTCAGTTGCACCATGTTCACAGACACACCAATCATCATCACTGGTTGGTTGTGTTCCGCCCTAGCCCCAAACCCACACACCCACCCCAGAGAAAGAGATGTTGAGAGAGACTGCTCGCATAAAAACTGCTTCAGTATTCTTAATTATAGTAATGTGATTTTTTTTGCCAGTAACTGCATTGTAATGGGGGTAACGGTGATTCGTTTTATTACATCTTACTGAAAAAAATTCTTTGTTAGTATAGAGCTGTATGATTTTAGCTAAAATAAGAATCACAATTTTTTGCTTAAAATCAAGATCACGATTTTCTTACGATTCTGTAATTACAAAATAAAGATTAATATGGGTGGGCTATTATTATTTCTCAAACATATGGTAAAACAATAACAACATAAGGTCTATGTGTAGGTCTAAGGTGGTTAAAAAGCTACATTTTTATTAACTTTGAATGTTTTAAATTGTCATCAGATTTCCTCCTGCATTATATTTAACATTTATTATCAAGCTAATATCTCTGTGTTCGTTAAAAAAAAAACATCAAACGTGTGTCGTAATCAGAACTTTAAAATGCCTCTGCGTGCTTTTGGTTTCACTTTCACTGCAGAGTGCAGTTTATGTCATCATGGCTGCCGTCACATGCAAATCGTACTTCCCGCGCGGCTACTAAATGATCGCTCTGTGCAACAAATCAAATTTTGTTTACAACTTTAATACCTGTTATTCACACCCTATGCAGGTTCTGTTCAGTAGTACAAGTGAAGTAGTAAACAAACAATGCGTCAGCTCATGCGTTATTTCTTGGCCATGAATATGACAGAAATTACATTTTTTGGTGATTTGATGAGTAGGTGACACGTTTAACACCGTTTGGAGGTGTCCATGTTGCTGAGCAACATATACAAAAAAATGTGAAGACTTGTGCGTCCACATTGACGCTTCTCGTCTGACCTTGAAAATACAATTGGCTGAATCGTAGAAATGCTAAATTAAGATCATGTGTAGGAAGGGCAGAATCAAGATCGCAACCTTTTTTCGATTAATTGTGCAGCCCTACGTTAGTAGTTAGTAAGAATTTGTTTTGTTTTTGTAATCGTACACAAGTTACAAATTTATTTGCTAATTTTTGTAAAAATGTGACTGAATATTACTGAGTCACTTTCTCATTTTTTGCTAAATCTAGGCCAGTTTCCTAATTTTAGTGGGAAAATCCACGCTTGGACATGTAGAACTAATAAAATTTTAATTAGACCCATGATTCGTCAACCAAAAGAACAAATTATTACATTTATTACATCATGGTGAATATTTAGTAAAACAAGGTAACAAATGATTAAAACATGTTAATAATTTAACTTGTTTGAACAAATGAGTTCATTCAAATCATTTATCATTTATACACTATACTGGAGCTAAGGAAAACACAGAAACTCAAAACACAGCAAATAAATACTCCTAACATACCTGTTCTGCCACTATGATATTCACTACTAATGCCCTGTTTACACTTGGCCCTTAAGATGTGTTTTTGTAGCTTTAATCACATCAAGCGTACAGCTCTTGATATAGTTATAAATTAGGTTTTGAGCTTTTGATTACTTCCTGTGTTGGTTGCAAATAAATTTGAGTAAATTATTTTCCGCTCTTGTGGTCGAATGCATTCAAAAATGACCAAAGATGGCCTGTTTTACTTCTGCTGAGCTAATTCTTAAACATTGCAAGTCATCTTAGACAATCCTTGCATAGTCCCAGCCATAGCTTCTCTATAGACTATAAAGATGATGGGGTTTTTGATCACGACACTATTCTTGTATACATACAAGTGCTTTTTACCATGTCAGTGGCACACTGTTGTTTTAATCAATAGTTCCTGGTGATTTTGTGGTCTTTAATTGAACTGTCATGTTAAATTAACGACTCTTGACTGTCTCAGGCACTTTTCAGGAAGCCCCATATCAAACATAGCACTTCTGTAATCGACATCCTAATAATGCATTTGGACATGGGAGAACAGCCTGTACCCACTTTATCAAGGACCAAGCCCTTCACCCTCAGCGAGACTTTGTTATCTTTGTACTGCAGCACTGGGTGTGAAGGCCGTTTCAATCTAATAGAGAAGTGCTGAGATACACAGTCAATACAAGGATTTCTGAGAAGATGTTTCCCGAGAAGATGTTTTCCAGAAGCAGATTGGAGTCAAGCCATGTTGCAGTGAGGATATATTTCACAACTGCTGCCTAGAGCCTTTGGCTTAAAATGGATGTCAGAGGACTGTTTACTGTGATTTCGTAATCCTGTCAGTTTCATGGATAGATTGCTTTCCACAATGAAACAAATGAATAATCTGAATGGTTTATTCTAATGGAAAAGTATTGAAAGTAATGGCCTAATGGAAAGCAAACTGAATTAACAGAAAAACTGCGACTGGTAGCTGGTGGTTGCTCGTATTTATGAGTGTACAATACAATACTTGAATGGATTAGACCTGTCCTGGTGAAATAAATATGATACTTAGGTAAAACCACTAGCCTCGTTCAAATGATTCATTCAAAAGAGCTGATTCAATTAGAAACAAAGCAAGTGCCTGCTTGAATGCGGCTTAACTGACTCTAATTATTAATTTAAAAATACATGCATTTTGAAACAGTGCTGAAAAAGTCCCCCTCCCCCTAGAAAAAAATAGACAATGTTACGTCTAAAATTTTATTTACAGCAGGAAAAATAAATATTGAACAAGTATTGATTCTTTTTTCCTGAGATTAATGTTTCTAAAGAAGCTGTTGACATGGAATTGAACCAGATTTTGGTAAAAACATGAACAATACAAACATAAAAATAAAACAAAAACATCTCAAATATTTGTTATGTGTAATAACAATGAAATGACACAAGGGGAAAGTGCTGAACTGCTGAAACGTATTTTAATACTTTATATAAAAGGCTTTTTTCATGATGATCCTGTTTGTCTCATCTATCAAATGATAGACTTGTTCAATATTTACTGTAACGAATAACAGATTTGTGATAGAGCTTACATAGTGACAAACATCGCTCTTACTTGTTTGATATTAGCTAAGATTTATTCACCTATTTTTATGAGCATTCATGGATTTATTTATTTTATGCACAAAATTTTTAAAAATGCACATAAAAACGATTAAAGCACTTTTACCAAGCAAATTCCATTATGCGCATAAAAAAAGTCATGTGATTTTGTTATACAAGAATATTAAAATTTGTGTCAATGGACAAACCAGCAGGCTGAGCATGCTGTAAAAATGTGGTTTAGCCATTCTAAAACGCCTTAATCGTTTCAGTATTAGTGTTATTATATTATTAATTACCTCCAGAACTGTCAAGAATGTCTTTGCTCCATGTCTCACACCTTCAAACATGGCCACGTGTTCATTGTGCGTTCAGACTTTCATCTTCTGAGCCGCAAGTAATATCTCAAATGAAGAAAAGATTCACGCAGCTTCTCCAACCGCTGCAAATTCCTTTTTTACTGTAGATATTTGGTGCCAGTTATTCAGAAAGTGACGATTTTGTTCTCTTTGTTGAATGGAAATGCTGCTTTATTCGCCATCTTTTATGCGATATTCCAGTTTTGTGCATAAATTTAATTCACATTTTTGGACGGAAACATAGCTAATGTAAATATGAGGAAAAACTTAAATTATAGAAGCATTCCAACATCATATAATAAGCTTTATGGTCATTGTGTGAATGCTTGTGGACTCTTGAGTTGAGTTTTTATTGCAAGATGAGTGACATGACAATGTCAGCTTGCACACTGTTTAAACAACAATTATCGTAAACATTAACTATCACCACTCCTGCTTCTATTACTCTTAATGTAGCCTGTTAACAGTGTTCACATGTAGCTTTTCTTTTGTTTTTCACAGGAACTATACCATGGAGAAAGTCCTTTTCATCTGTATCTTGTTCACCGGTGCTGTGGCAACACAAAATGTGCTTCCTACAACACAGGGTATGCAGTTTGTTGCTTTTTTGCTGGTGTTTTATGATGTGTTGCTCGAATAGTTTGAATTAGGAACATTTCACTGGATATTACGAGAATAATTGGCACTTTCAGCAGCCATTTCTTTTCCTTTTAAAGCCTTTAAAGAGCCTGTAATGGAGCATTCCAACCATACAACAAGAAAACAGGATGTTTTCTTTAGGAAGCCACCCATTGCTTACCATTTCTTATTAGTGGGGTGCTACTGTGTAACACTAGGCTAGTTATTTGGCTTTCTTGACTTCTGAATACACAGGAAATACAATCAATTTTGAAGTAAAAACAGATTTTAAAAAGTCTCTATATGCAGGCTACAGCAACATTCATTTTGGTTAAGCCAATTAAGAAATGTCCCCAATCAAAAGCAACCGGATAATGTATCAAAAAGCTTAAATGAATGAATCCCTTTGATGAAGTACATTGAATAATTTCCTTTTGGCTTTCACGTGGCCATATGTGGTTCTTTCCAAGACCATTTCTAAATGCTTTCGCTTGGAAGTGCTGTCCCTTTGAACAGGTCTGGCAATTATGGATTCAGTTGAATGTAACATTTTCTGTAGAATGCACTAAAGGTGGGCTGCTGTAAGTGGGAGAGAGTGGATAGTGGATATATGAAATGGTTGGTAGCTTCACAACATCACTCTGCCGATCCTGTTTGTGCTGTACATTAGTTTCTATGGGAACATATTCTACTGCATTGACAGCTCTGATTCATTCCTATTGTTAATCCTATATTTACTAACAGCTTCTCTAAAAAAGACATATACAGTAAGCCGAAAAGTCAGTTATTGTGCAGAAACACTGATTTTGCATATTGAAACTCTACTACTACTTTTTGTGATGTTTAAATTTGGTTGTTGGTTCATCTTTTTGTGTGACATTTTGCTCCTTTATACAAAGTTGAAGGTAAAATTTCGAACAAAGTATTTGTAGTGTTTATAGAAACTGAATAAATAGTTGTTGATGTATTGAAATATGGATGTGTTTCTCCTATGTATGCAGTGTGCAGAGGGATTGCCAGATCTTATTAGAAAACACAAGCCAACTTTAAACTCAGTCTAAAAAATAAAAGCACGACAAACTTTGCATTCTGCATGTATCTGCCTAATTAATAAACTCCAAAAACTGGATTTATTATGCCCCATTTACATGGAGCGTCAGTGTTAACGCTACCATTCACTTTGAATGGGTGACGTTAAGTGTTGCTAAACTGAGTTGTGGATCCGTCGATGCCACTTTAGCATCATTGCTTGCTATAAAAGTTGGGAATTTCAGGGGCGTTTCCAAAAAACCTTGTTACTAAGGTCACAAGTTCCGTTGTTAGAAACATAGTTCGTTGATTTGGCATCGTTCCAACAAACATTCGCAAACTGCATCGCAAACTTGTACACTTGAAGTGTTTGTACAAACTTGTACATGTGAAGTGACACTGGCAATGGAAGTGTGGATCCAAATGCATGTTTATTAAACTAAGAATGGTCTGGAAAGCAATGGTCAAACCAGGAGTAAGCAGATAGGCAATCCAGAGGTGAGTCAAATAAATGGGCAGATGAAATTTACATTACGTCTCCAAAGCTTGTGAAAACAAAAATAAATAAATAACCTACTGTAAATTACGCCTACAACGATTAACGATTGATATGATTTATACATTAAATTTGAATATGTGTTAGCTAAGTGATTTTATTTGAAATATTCTTAATAATATTCATAAACGATAGATGTGCGCAAAGCAACTACAGTTTTGGAAAACACTCCTCATTACATAGTTCTTTTTCCAAACAATGCATCGTACTATGATAGTTCAGCCACGAGTTATGTCGTTCTTTGGAAAACACACCCCACTTCGATTTATGTAAATACTACCAACTCAGACACAGTAGCCGATTGCGGACTAATTTCATTGGCTAACGCTGCTAAGACTGATCGCGTCAGCTTCGGACACGCTCTCTGTCAAGCGTTGGCGCTGAAGCCCTGTGTAAATTGGGCGTTAAAGGTAGGGTTCAACTCCAAAATGAAAATTCTGTCTTTATTTAATCACCCTTTACTTGTTTCAAAACTTTCTTTTTTCTGTTGAGCATAAAAGAAGATATTTTGAAGAAAGCTGGAAACTTGTAACTATTGACTTCCACAGTATTTGTTTTTCCTTCTATGGAAGTGAATGGTTACAGGTTCTCAGCTTTCTTCAAACTTTGTTCTTTTGTGTTTAACAGTTGAATAAAACCCATAAAGGTTTAGATCCACTTGTGTGTGAGTAAATAGTGAGTGCATTTTTAATTTTTGGGTAAAATAACCCAAACATTGCATATAATGAGTGAACCTGGCAACACTTACAGAACATTTTCTGCGTAATAATAAAGTTGACGACAATAACAAGTCTTCAAATGCTCAGATGCTCTTTAATTGCAAACATGCAAGATGGTTGTGTTTACCATGTTGCCAACCATTCCAGTTTCAGGAATGAGTTGTGTTCTGTAAAAACACAAAACTACCACATGTTAATAGTTTTTTAATAGCTTGAATTCTGATCAAGTGTGAAAGTATTATTGCAAAATATCTGAACCAAATTCCCAAACAAGAGACTACATGTTTGCAAATCTTGAACACTTGAGACTAATATCCATACAAACTGAAGAGAAACTGAAGAAGAATTATATCATGCATAATTTCATCCAAAATTACAGGAAGAGAAAATAACAAGGCCATAGGGAATGTGTTATTCTGGCCTATGAATTAAAATAATGATTGTTCCATCAATATTAATCAATGCTTTGGAAACTATGCTTCAATTTATCAGTTATCTCAAATCATCAGGTTTTTTGTTTGGTTTGTTTTTTTCAGTATTGCTATTTAAATGCATGAGTAGAGCCCTTCAAAAGAGCTTGCAAGCTGTAACAGTGCTCTGCCACTCAAACGCTTCTACATGTGAAAAATGCCAGCACGCATTTCCAGGAAAACACAGCTGACAGTTATAGCCCAACTGGGATTTATGTTACATCCTGTTACTCCTAAGCTGGTTTAAACTGAAGGACATTCGCAGAATTTTTGGCCTTTTCAGAAAATTATTTGGCCTGTTTGATCAATCACAGCTGCGCACATTTGTAAACTTAAAGAAATAATTCTCCCAAAAATAAAAGATTACTCACTTTTCCCCATTTACGTGCTCCCAAACCCTTCTGAGTTTGCTTTTTATGTTGAACACAAACGAAGATGTTTTGAAGAGTGTTAGAAACCTGCAACCATTGACTTCCATAATAGCAAAAAAATCCAACATTTTTGTAAATAACTTATTTTGTGTTCATCTAAAAAAATGAACTTAAACAGATTTGCGACGAATGAAGAAAGGGTGTTTAAATGATGATTTTCAGCTTTGGTTGATTGCTTTCAGCTGGAAAAAAGAATTATAAAAACAAATATAAAACTGCATTATTGCCATATTTTTATGTATTTTTATACTCCAAAAGCAACCGATACAGAAAGATAATTCTTATTAAAAGTATAATTAAAAGCACATTTCTGTTGTTTTCTCCACTCTGTCAGACTACTTAGAAACCTCTGGCTAGGGTTAGGGTAAGGCTATTATCTCATGATTTTTATAGTCTTATTCTTCCCTTTTTTTCAGGTCAGACTTCAACACGGCCTCATCTGACTGGCTGTTTTTCTCGAGATATGATAACTTTCCGTTGTCAGTGGGAAACTGGATCTTCACAAAACCGCACAGAACTCGAGGATCTGAGCTTTTTCTACATGTTAGAAAAGTAAATAGTAACACATAATCTATTAGACTAAAATGGAGGATACACACACACCTTTGTTTTTGTGAATTGTGGGCACATATACATACAGTGCATCTGGAAAGTAATCAAAGTGCTTCACTTTTTGCAAATTTTTTATGTTGCAGCCTTATTCCAAAATGGATTAAATTCATTTATTTGCTCCAAAATCGACACACAATACCCCATAATGTCAATGTGAAAAAAATACTTTTTGAAATTGTTGCAAATTTATTAAAAATAAAAAAACCTGAAAAATCACATGTACTTAATTATACAAAGTCATTGCCCTGAAGCTTTAATTTGAGCTCAGGTACATTCAGTTTCCACTGATCATTCTTGAGATGTTTCAGCAGCTTAATTGTAGTTCGCCTGTGGTAAAATCAGTTGATTGGACATGCTTTGGAAAGGCATACACCTGTCTATATGAGGTCCCAGGGTTCTGCTCTAGAGTGCTCTTGACCTCAGACTGGGGCGACGGTTCATCTTCCAGCAGGACAATGACCCAAAGCACACTGCCAAAATGTCAATGGAGTGGCTTCACAGCAACTCGGGGAATGTCCTTGAGTGGCCCAGCCAGAGCCCAGTCCTAAATATTATTAAACATTTCTGGAGAGATTTAAAAATTGCTGTACACCACTACTTCCAATCCAACGAGAGAGTGAGCTTGAGAGGTACTGCAAAGAGGAATAGGCAAAAATTCCCAAAGACAGGTGTGCCAAGCTTGAGGCGTCATTTTCAAAAGGACTTGAGCCTGTAATTGCTGCCTAAGGTGCATTAACAAAGTATTGAGCAAAGGCTGTGAATACTTATGTACATGTGATTTTTCAGATTTTTTTTATTTGTAACAAATTTGCAACAATTTAAAAAAAAATCTTTTTTCACATTGACATTATGCGCTATGGTGTGTAGAATTTTGAGGAAATAAATGAATTTAATCCATTTTGGAATAAGGCTGTTACAAAAAAGTGAAGCGCTATGAATACTTTCCAGATGCACTGTAGGTTTCCATTGTTTTTATACAGTACAAACTGTATTTTCTATTTCCCTAACCCTATTCTACCCCTCAACCCAACCATTACTTTTTATTGTACATTTTATCTTTCTAAAAACAACTCTTTCTTTGTGATTTATAAATTTTTTTGAGAAATTAGGAGATCAGCAATGTCCTCATATTTCACCACCTTCTTGCAATACCTGTGTCATACATATGTCATGAGACAGATTTGTGTCCTGATATGTCACAAAAACACGTACACCTTCACCTTGAAGTAAAAAATTATTATGCACAATAAGTTACCATAAGTGTAAAGCTGTTCAGTTGAATGACTTGTCCGCTTATTAATGATCTATAATTTCTTGCATGTCTGCAGGGATCCAAAGAAAACTTACGGAAAATGGATTGAATGTCCAAGTTACAACTCCCAGAGGAATGAATGCTACTTTGATGCCAGTCATACCTTTGTATGGTATACTTATGTGATCCAGCTGCGCTCTGTTGATAATGTTTATGAGGAAATGTCCTTTAGCATAGAAAATATTGGTAAGTCATGTCTTAAACACAAACTCTTGCATAAAAAGTCTTTCCTTTTCCTTAACATGCTTTCAAGTATACAACCCCATGTGGTCAAAAAATAATTTTCACATATATATTTAAATGTATCAAATTATAGAAGGAACATTTTAGTGTTGATAAATATATATTTCCATCACATATTAATACCATATTTAATGTTTTTCTCCAATGTTTATAAGTTTTTTCTTTAAATATAAAAGTCTAAAATATTTATATTGTGCAAAAAGTTTTTTTTGTAATACATTTTGCCATAATCAAAATAGCATTTTTACCCAATTATGTCGTATACACAGTGGGGGAAATAAGTATTAAATATGTCATGTTTTTCTTTTCTTGCCTGTTGACAAATACCTAAACAATACAAACATAAAAAAATAAAACAAAAGAAAAATCTTGATATAATAATGGTATAACTAAGGGAGAAAGTACTGAAATGTGTAATAGGCTTTTTTGGTGATGACGCCTCTCATATGGAGAATGAAGTCACATGAATCAACAGTGTAAAAATCTTGATGGTTCTGTTGGTCTCGTCTAGCTTTATTTTAAATCTGAGCTTTATTTAGAAGTCAGGTGATTGGCTGGTCCATTGTGCAGCTTGATTTTCTTTGTCTGAAACCATTTGAGAGCTTCTTTTGCTGTGATTTAAATCATTTTCTTGCTGAAATGGTAATGTAGATGTTAGACTGAAGCAGCTAAACGTAATTTCTACTGACGAAGGGTGGAGGGTTGCTGAAGAACTGCTGAGAGATTTTAGCTGCTTTCTGGGCTTACACTGCCTTTTTACACCTCCCTTTTTTCATGTTTTCAGTGCTGTTTCCCTGCATCATTTCATTTTATCACACATAACTTAATTTGTAAACTAATTGGATTTTCTTTGCACATATGGACTTTCTTGGTTGTTACCAGCATTCAGGGAAATTTTCAAGGTAACGGCACCTGTAGAAATATGTTTTCTGACTGAATGGTGGCATGTTCAATACATATTTCCCTCACTGTGTGTATATATCTAAAGCTATGAAAAAATTTAAGCGTTCACATGAAAATTCTCAATAACAATTCATTTGTCTTTTTTTTTTTTTATTCTGTAAACTACTGCCATTTCTTCCAAATTTATTTTGACTACATGAACAATCTCAGTTTCATTTTCTAGTTCAGTTTCTCTGAAATAACAATTTATATTTTATTTGTTTTTGTGTTATTTTGTAAATTACAGATGGAAGAAAAACACAGGACATTGTTATGTAAAAAGTTGTTAAGTAAAAAAAGTGCTGGTTTTTCTTTATTTCTTTTGCTTTTAGACAACAAAATACCAATGTTTTCACTTCAGAAATATTTTGGTGAAATAACACAAATTTTCTCTCACTATAACTGAAAACATTTGCTAGTCTGTTCAGTTGTCATTTTATGGATATTTTTCTAAAGTGGAAGAATTGTAAGACTTTTTTTATAAACCATTTGACCTTAACCCATACCTAATAAACATATCAAATAATAACAACCATAAGAATTTTTGCTGGCATGTTACATTTATTTATATGCGCTCATTATTTCTGCAGTGTTTCCAGACCCACCTGTAGGTCTAAACTGGACTCTTTTAAAAATGGCCTCCAGCGGTTTACACTGTGATGTGGTTTTAAGCTGGGATCCACCTCCCTCCGCCGGAGTGCCTCTTTCAGATGGATGGATCTCACTGGTTTACGAGACACAGTACAGAGAAAAGGATTCAGACCAGTGGAACACAGTGAGTCTTATGCAACACTCTGCAATCTGCGCATCCAGCTTTCTAATACGCTGCTAATAAGAAACAGACCTGAAGTTAAATGAGTTTTCTGAACAGCTCCTCGGATGCTTTATTATTTCCAAGAAAGCTTGCGAGTCATATCGTTTGAGTCACCATGGTGAAGCCATAACGCTGACCTGGATCTTGCAGACTTAATTAGGCCATGTTTGGAGCTTGTTATCTCCAAGGTCGGACGCGTTTATAATGTTTCTCAGCCTTGTTTGTTTCTCTACAGCTGGAAAGTGACAAAAACACACAGGCATACATCTATGGTCTGGAAAGCAACACTGAATATGAACTCAGAGTCCGGGCAAAAATGAGAAGCTTCCACTTCGGAGACTTCAGTGACTCCATCTTTATACTTATACCTAACAAAGGTTTGATTTAAGATTTGCTAGTCTTTAAGCTTCAACCCAGGCTCATTCTGAAAATGTACCTCTATATACATTTGAGAGCACCAAATGTCCCAGAAACGTCCCGTTTTTTTTTTTTTTGTACAGTTTTTGTTTACACCAATTCTCCAGAGGTTTCTGTGTATGCTTTTCGAGATCTCAAATTTCTCTCGCTAGTGCCATTTGTGCCTGCTGTTCTTGTGTAAATCCACTAGAGGTGGATTCAGTCAGTTCTGACTGACTGTTTGACTGACTGACTGACCAGTCGACAGACCCATCCTCCTCCTTCCCTAAACCTAACCAATAGTGTTTTTAAAAGCACCGATTGACCCGCCCACCCACTTCCGTAAACCCAACCAACAATTTTAAAAAGCAATCCAGAAAAAGAAAAGCCCTCGCCTGATTTTTATTATGTTTTCAGATTTTACCACATTCTCACCCTGTTATTTAGTTGTTTATTTTAGAAGTTTATTATTTAACTCCTCTGCGTTTCAAGTCCACCAACATACTTGGCGAGCTTACTGGACAAACTGGTAACAGTGGGAAAGCTGTCAACATGTTTATACACGGTCAGCTGGTAAGCGCAAAAAGGAATGCAGCCTTACGTACTTCTGGATACATAATTCTGGATCTCCAGAAGCGTATATAGGGCTACGTTTTCAGAATGAGCCTATGTTGGTATGTTTTTATATTGAAGTTGCTTTATTTTTATAATGTCCTGTTTTAATTTCAGAATCAAGAATTTCGATTACGGCTGTGCTGGTCTTTACTGCTGTTAGTGTCACCATTATCTTGATGCTGATTGTAGTTTCGCGTCAACAAAAGTGAGTATTTGCACGGTTTTATGTATTAATGTATGTGCAAAAAAAGTATGCGCAAGTGAAATCTGTGTACAGTTTGTATGAATGCGATGATTTCCTGTGGTTTTCCTGTTAAAGCACTTATTAGGTTCCTCTACCCCTTCCCTTTCCTGCTGTAGCTTTAAAGGGGTCATCAGATGCAAAGTTCACTTTTACAAGTTTTTGGAAATTAAATGTGTCTTGGCAGTGTGTGTAGACAACCACCCTATTATAGCTATATTCACATAGTCAGTTTTTGGAATGGACAACAACATTTCCTTATGGCTGTAAGTCTCAAAATTTACAGAGCAGCTTAAAGTAATGTTTCAATTGTTGTTGGCCTGAACATGCAATGGGAGTCATCAAAAATATTAAAGATGATGTCTTTATGAGGGATACAAAACATCAAAGATTATTATTATGGCACCTACAGTTGAAATCAGAATAATTAAACCCCCTTTGTATTTGTTTTTCTGTTTTTCCCCAAATGATGTTCAAATATTTCCCCAAGGAAATTTTCACCATATGACTGATATTTTTTTCTTCTGGAGAAAGTCTTATTTGTTTTACTTTAGCTAGAATAAAAGCAGTTTTTAATTTTCAAAAATCATTTTAAGGTCAACATGTTTAGCCCCTTTAAGCTCGTTATACAATAACTTGCCTAATTATCCAAACATGCCTAGTTAACCTAACTAACCCAGTTAGGCCTTTAAATGTCACTTTTAACTGTATAGAAGAGTCTTGAAAAATATCAAGTCAAATAATATTTACTGTCATCAATTAATCAGTTATTAGAAATGAGTTATTAAAACTATTATGTTTAGAAACATTAAACATAAATCAGAGAAAAAAATAAAGGGGGGGGGGGGCTAATAATTCAGGGGGTTTAATAATTCCTATTTCAACTCTATGTTAACAAAAATACTGTTTTTTGCAACGGACTTAACGTACAACAGAAGGCATGATTTTTTTCTGCAGTTCTGTTGTAGACTGACACTGACAGTGGCTTTTTTTACTTGCAAATGTTTTGTTCCTAAACAGCACTTACTATTGAGTGCAACATTTAGATTGCAATTCTGGTGGGAGTTGCTCCAGTGGAAAGAGAGCGATTGGATAGAAAAACTACAGATGATACACACTTAGTATCGCTATCTCTGTGAGTTGCTGGAGCCCCACAAAAAGAAACTCCTCACTCATATGTGACAAGCAGTATGAGTACAGAAGGGAGTCAGAATTGTTTAGTGGTATTAAGGTCGGCTTGTAGAATATCACACAGTAGCACATCTATTTGGTGTCGGAAGCAAGGTTATTATAGTTTCATCATTTATTTTCTTGTCGGCTTAGTCCCTTTATTAATTCGGGGTCGCCACAGCAGAATGAACCGCCAACTTATCCAGCAAGTTTTTACGCAGCGGATGCCCTTCTCTGCGCAACCCATCTCTGGGAAACATCCACACACACTCATACACTACGGACAATTTAGCCTACCCAATTCACCTGTACCACATGTCTTTGGACTGTGGGGGAAACCGGACCACCTGGAGGAAACCCACACGAAGGCAGGGAGAACATGCAAACGCCAACTGAGCCGAGGTTCGAACCAGCGACCTTCTTGCTGTGAGGCGACAGCACTACCTACTGCGCCACTGCCTCGCCGTTATTATAGTTTTGAGTTTTTAAATTATTTTTAGTTTTATATTACTATTTTTGCATTTGCTGTAATTTTTACATTTAGATATATTATTTTATTATATTTTATTAAAAATTATATTTATATAACCATTTTATTAATGGTTATGCTAGTTTTAGATAAAATAAAAGTAATAAAAAGTTATAAGAGTAAAAAATTAGTTTGAATAGACACTGAACCCAAAGCCACAAAAATGCAACTTAAATTAATAGAAGTAAAAAAAGTTTAAAGAATTAACAAACATCTTCATTTTAAAGATCATTTATGTAGTTAAACATGCCTAGTTTACATTTTTGGCAAATAAAGAAAATGTGTGTGTCTGTAAAAATGTGTCATTCATTTTCCTTTGGCTTAGTCTCTATTTCAGAGGTCGCCACAATGAAATGAACTGCCAATTATTCCATATATATTTTACACATCAATGCTTTTCAGCCGCAACCCAGTTTTGAAAAAACATGTGTCAGATTTATTATTATTTATGATTATTATTTTTGTTAATTATTTTAATTCATTGACTGTTGTTAATTTTAGTTATTCTTAATTTTTATTTATTTACTGAATTGACTTTGGCCAGAAGATCGGCTGTTCATGCCATAACAAGCAACTCTATATCCATATACAGCCACATCTATATCCATCTATACTCCTCAACAGCCCTTTTTGCCATTATTTACAGACCCCTCTAATTCCACAAAGCCTTTATATGCAATATGTGCATATGTGAGGTGACGTGACATAATATTAGTTGCCCAGCACTGTTTCGTTCACACAGTGTGTGTTGCAAGAATGCGTTTGTGAGTCCTGAAAATGTACAGGTGCGCATTCAGTTATAGAATGCGGTTATCAAACTTGTAAATAACGGTATTGTGTGTGAACGCAACCGTATTAAGGATTGAAATAAGGGACTGACAACCATAATCTTTTGCTGTGTGAATGTGGCCGATGATTAAAATACACCCAGTGCTTTTTTAATCTCTAAATCATAAGCACTTTCTGAGATCAAGCTGATCTCAGATTCTTGGCAAAGTGACATCACACAGGTTCAGGCCCCTCCCACATCTGTTGACTGACACTGGTGTTTTTTGTGTACACTCACACCGAGTCAATTGTTTTAAAGACTAAAAAAGGTTTCTATGAACAGAGTTGATTTTGATAATGTAAACAGAGTGTTTTCGCACTACTCTTGACAAATTTTTAACGAAAGTGTGTTACAGACTTTTCATTAAAAATCATATGAACTTCTGGAGACACGGTGGCTCAGTTGTTAGCACTGTCACCTCACAGCAAGAAGGTCGCTGGTTTTAGTCCTGGCTGGGCCATTTGGCATTTCTGTGTGGAGTTTGTATGTTCTCCCCTTGTTCACATGGGTTTCCTTTGGTTTCTCCCACAGCCCAACGACGTGGTATAGGTGAATTGAATAATGTAAATTGACAAAAGTGTGTGTGAATGAGTGTGTAGGGATGTTTCCCAGTAGTAGGTTGCAGGTGGAAGGGACTCTGCTTTATATATGCTGGATAAGTTTGTGGTTCAAGTCGAAGGAAAATTAATAAATGTATGAATGAACTTCTGGAAAATGGGCATTCGATGAAACCCTTATACTGTGACTGCTTTGACTTTTGACTTGTAAAACAGAAATATTGTTTAGTCTGAAGCAGGAATTGCTTTATGATAGTTTTAAAAGGTTATTTTCTGATTTATTTTATGCAAAAAAAAAAAAAAAAATGCATAATTGACACCAGTTTGATGTGAATTTTTTTTTTGTAGGATAATGGTGATTTTCTTGCCACCCGTTCCTGGACCAAAAATCGAAGGCATTGACCCTTTGAATTTTAAGGTATTTGAGACTACATTCATATTTACACATATGGAATTTCTGGTAACCCTTTATTTTGATGGTCTGTTTAAGTATTAGTAGACTGTCTTCTTAATATATGTTGATACTGCTCCTTCAACAGACATTTAACTGAATATAAGAAACCTTGCAAGTACATGTCAACTTACACTAACCATAACTCCAACCTAACAGTCTACTTATAATCTTATGAGAATTAGTTGCAAATTAAGTTAAATTCAACAAACAGACCATTAAAATAAAGTGTGACCAAAATTTTTTTTTCAAATAATACAATTTCTATTTTGTTGGTTTATCCACAGAAAGGCCAGGCAAGTGACTTTAAAATCTTAGGGACACACCCGGACTTGCGGCCAGAGCTGTACAGCAACGATCCATGGGTCGAGTTCATAGAAGTGGACATTGACGAACCACATGAGAGCCAGCAGGAGCTTCTCATCGCTGACTCATCGGCCTCGGACTCTCCACAGATGCCTAGTAGTTTCAAGGATGATGATTCGGGATGGGCGAGCTGCTGTGATCCAGACCTGTCAGATCACGATCAAACGGATCTAAAACAAGCTTCCAGCAGTTGCCACGATGGTTTCCTCCCGCTGTCACGTGCACACTCTGCGGCTCCCGTGCCACAAGAACCAACCTGGTCAAACAATCTTTACTCACAGGTTAGTGACATCACTCAGCGTGGTGAGTTCGTGCTGAGTCCAGAAGAACAAGAAATGGCAGCTCTGCAGGATAAAGACATCAATAAGAAGAAAGAAATCCAACGGTTAGCGATGATTCCTGATGAAAGAGGCTACACCTCTGAGACTGTGGCCAGTACTATCAGCGCCCATCACAATAAACCAAACCCACCCAAGACTGATCAAGAACAGCACAGTGAATATAGAGACACAGAGACATCCCCTTGGTCCAGTGCTTTTCCTATTCTTGCAAAGCCTCCCAGCCCAGATTACACGATGGTTGATGCGGTTGACTGGACAAATGGTCTCCTCTTGAAACCTAATACACCAACAGCCCCACAGAAGGCAGCAGCGAAGACTTTGTTTACTCCTGTCGGATACCTGACTCCTGACCTTCTGGACAACATTACACCTTAACTAAAAGTGGAGTATGTTTGCTCTTTGTCAGATGTCTGACTGCTTAGCCAACACCGAACATGAGGTGTGATCCACGAGGAGGGAATCTTGAAGCAAAGCCAGTTCTCAAGCCTTCTCCAGTGGAATGGACGTCATGAAACAAATCTATTGGCAAGCTAATAAATGGCTGTATATGGCCTGGAGTTTTTCCTTTCTCATTTGGAGGGTTAACAAGTTCAGAGGTTATTTTGAGCAGATATGGAGTATAAGTATTAGCTGGTTGTTTGATGCCATAAAAAGATAACAACTCATTTATATTAGCTGGTTGTTTGATGCCATAAAAAGATAACAACTGAATTGTTATGCTTTTACATTTAGTCATAAGACAGCTATATTTCTCTACCTGTTGATATACATTTGTGTACTTTTATTGTTCATTTTCAGTGAACTAACCACCAGTATGTGTCTGAAAAAAAGTGCCTACTTTTAATTTAAACATCAGTGTTACGAACCGCACAGTTTTGCTGCGTGTATGCTCTCTGACGTGTGTTTCTACATCTATAGCCCGCTAATGCTCCATTCAAAACCTTCTGTGACTTGACAAGGGAGATCTGGAACAACATAGTAAGTCACGTGACATACATATTTGCACGCAGGATTATTGATGTATAGACACACTAGTTAGCGAAGTGCGCTAATTTTGTATTTTTATTTATTAGATAGAGTAAGTTCAGGGCGCTTTGCGCTGAAGACTTTTCTTTTCATATTGTTATTTTCTTATTTAGTGGATTGGGGAGGAGATTAAGGGAATGTTTTTGTTATATTTATTTCTTTGATTTCCATGCGCAAACTTCAGTTCCCTCTCCTATTTGTCTTGGTTCTTTTCAAATTTATCTTATGGTTTGTAAATATTGTAAATAATGTGGGAGCAATAAATCTTTTGCGGTGCTAATTTGTTGTTTGGTGTTTTCTTTTGCCATTCTTCAACATCAGTTTATACTTTGGTCATCTTTATGTTACTCCTTTTAATACCCTAGACAAATTGCCATCAAGGATCGTAACATGAAATGGGGGCTCGTCCGGGATATTTATCTGAGACATTAAATAAGATCAATTAAGGTAAGATAAAATAAATCATCTGGAATAAATTGAATTCATCAAGAAAATAATTTTTGAAAAGTAATTTTTGAAATTAATATTTCTTAAATTTATCAGATGATAATCTTTGAAAAAATGACCAAAGAAAAGCTGTGTTGATGGCAACAGAAATTGCTGTATAGTAGTTGACATTTAGGTAAGTTGCAGAAGTAGCAGTTGGCAGCACTTTTTGAGCACGCGACACTTTAATTTAAAATGTTCAGTTTAGAGGAATTTGTTAAGAGTCCTTCATTGGAGCTGCTTGACGTTTGTCGGAAACAAGACTTGTTTTTGATTGCTGATCATTTTAAACTGGTAGTTAACAGACAGGATCGTAACAATCAGTGTTAAAAAATGTTGCTTAATTCATTCAAGAGGGACTTCCTTTGTTTATGTTACCTGGTAATCTTTTCTTCATCAGTGTTATACTTTTCTTCCATAAATGACTGGACATGATTTTGTGACTCAATAGGGTAAATATGATGAACTTTTGCTGACAAGCTGTCCTTGCCTGAAAAAACAACAACAACAATAAACCAGGCTAAACTGGTTTATCTGTCTCTCTTATTGGTCTTAGAGTGGATTGAGACCAGATTTCTGACAGACTGTAAAACCTTCTAAAGTCCAGCAAACTTGCTAGTTATTTTTTTGCAGGTTTGTACATTTAGTGATGTGCTTGGGCATGCATCAATACTGTTTATCAGTATAAATCAAACAATGTGTTTTGTAACCATGTATCGCTAAATAAAACAGCAGCATTTGAACTCTGATATCCTGATTTTGCACTCTGTGACCTACCTGCCGCTCCCTTATTAAATAACCTTACTTCAAGTGGTCACGTGCTTAATTTTTCGAAGAAACGGCGGAACGACCTGCAAGGATTTTCCAGCTTAATTCCTGGTGTTGAATTTGGAAACAAACACGCCGTAAAGGTCGTTTACCATATACATAATTTACTTTATCTTAATTGAAGACTGGCGTCAGATATTTATCGTTTGCCGCCGAGCTTTAGAGAAGTCAAGATGAAAAAGCATTCGGCCGTCGACTTGACTAAACTCGTAAAAGATTTCATCCACCTGGAGAATGTAAGATCATTAAGTGTGTTTACGATAATAAGAAAATAACCCTTGTTAAGAACATCGTTGTTATAAAGCTATGAATGTGTTCTGAGGTAAACGGCTGTCTTATGTGATTAAGAAAATTACAGAGATGAAAGGGGAAAATAGTACTCTTGAAGTACAACTGGACGAGACTGGCAGACTTTTAAAGTTAGCACAAAACAAGGAGAAGCTGTTAATTGAAGGTAAGACATTATGAGGGAAAAAGAAGAAAATAACACGGTCACTAACATTTTAGACTGTTGTCTGCTGACATCTAGCGGTCATCTAGTAAGTCAACGTCTGTACAACAATGAAAGAATGACAGACAACGAAAGAAAATTAAACAAAAAGAAAGAAAGAAAGAGTGAATTTTAATATAACGTTAACAAACCCACATCTCTTGGACACCCACCAACATTTCTATAATATGTGTAAGTTACATGATAATATGCAGAATTTAAGCTTGAACAGATAAAGTGAAATGTTGCAACTGACCCCCAGCAGTTTTTTAATTTTTATTTTTTGGTAAACAGACTAAATTTACATTGTTAAATATGTTAAATTGGCCATATAAATAAGTTACAGACTATTAAAATAATAAGCAACAACGAATTTTCAGGCCAAAAAAATTTACATAAAGAAATTTTTTTTTTTTTTACTGAAAATATAGACTAAACCTTTACAAAAAATACTTCTTTGAACTCTGAAATTAATTAATCAAAAAAAAAAAATAATGTCCCCAAATTAAATTAAGATGAAACTGTGCTAAAATTTTAATTGTTCATTGTTAATATGGTAAGCTTTTAAATGAATTTTGTAATTGGGGATAGTTGCAACAGCATGCCCCCACTCTCAACCCTGATTAAAGTGTCTATAGGGAGATACAATAGCTTTAACACTTGATAGCTGTACCTATTTAAAGCTAAGAAAGCAATTATTTAAATTATATGAATTAATAACGTTTCACAAAAAAAAAAAAAAAAAAACTGATTAGACAGTATATACATTAAAACATTTTTTTTTTTTTAACTAAAAGTTGGATTTTTACTGAAGGATTTACCCTCCCTCTTGGTCTAACTGAGAATATACAATATTAATATCTAGCTCATTCCTGAATGGAGGATTAAGTTTTGTTGTAACTGCCCCATGTTGCAACTGTCCCCACTCTCCCCTACTGGGGAAACACAGGAGCACATTCAGTCAAGAACTCATTTTGTCTAGGTAGATGCTCCCCAGAAAATCTTTTTCACCTGTGGCTGTTAAGTTAGACAATTAGTTAAATAATGAATGTATGGTGTAATATTTTATTCTCTTTTCCTCTGGGATAATACATATTCTGTTCATTCATTCATTCATTTTCTTTTCGGCTTAGTCCCTTTATTAAACCGGGGTCACCACAGCGGAATGAACCGCCAACTTATCCAGCACATTTTTAAGCAGCGGATGCCCTTCCAGCCACAACTCGTCTCTGGGAAACTATTCAGTTTTATATTTTTGTAATATTTCTATATTATTTTTTCTGTTCTGCATGTCTTACATAAAAGTTTTATTTGACATATTTAAATAGGTCAAATGCCAAAAAACTGACAGTAATTTTGTTCATCATTAGTGTTCTGTTAAGGTTCAGTAATTGAACCTGAATGAGGATGAAAAGGTTATTTGCCAATTATTATTATGGCTTATTTCTGTGCTTTTCTTTTTAGAGAGACATGGACTTTTGGAAAGTGTCAAAAGTCTACAAAACACCATACAGCAGCAGTGTGATCTCAGAGGTAGAGAAATTATTTTAGGGTCGTGTTGTTCACCTGATATAACTCAGTCACTACATTGTATCTCCCTAACCAAATTAAAACATACCTGCATTCATCACAAATCTCTCCAGCTGAAAATGAAAGGCTGAAAAATGCAGCTCTTCAGATGAAGAAAGAAAACGAGGCTCAATTAGAGGTGAGATGAGTCTATTCAGATATACAGTTCAAGTAAACAGTCAAATTATTTACTGCTACAGTTTTTTAAAAGCTTTTTATGAAGTACTTTTTCAGTTTAATCTAAAGAAATATATTAAGTGTTTTATTGATTGCATTTTTCTAATTTTTATATATTTTTTCTCATGCACTGAGCTATAAATTCAGCAGTCCTTACATTTTACTTCACAGCTTTATTCATATCTGTATTCTAAAGTGTTTTACATGAGTTGACTGATTATTTACATTTAAAGTCTATATTATTATTTTTAAAATTATGCCAAATGATGTTTAACAGAGTAAGAAAATTTTCACAGTATGTATGATAATATTTTTTTCTTATTTGTTTTATTTTGGCTAGAATAAAAGCAGGTTTTAATTTTTTAAACAATTTTAAGGACAAAATTATTAGCCTTTTTAGCTATGTATTTTTTGATAGTCTATAGAACAAACCGTTGTTATACAGTAACTTGACTAATTACCCTAACCTGCCCAGTTAACCTAATTAACCCAGTTAAGCCTTTAAATGTCACTTTAAGCTGAATAGAAGTGTCTTAAAAAATATCTAGTCTAATATTATGTACTGTCATGATGACAAAGATAAAAATAAATCAGTCATTAGAAATGAGTTATTAAAATGTTTAGAAACGTGTTGAAATTTTTTTTAAATAGAAATTGGGGAAAAATAAACAGGGGGGCTAATAATTCAGACTTCAACTCTACATTTAATCTGACTTTTTTTGAGTGAATATTAAATCTGACCTATTCTAAAGTTCAAATATATGCACATTAGCACATTTAACATAAATATTAAAATAAAATAACATTTTTGAAAGGAAAATACAAAGGAAAATGTCATTTTAATGTAATCAATATACTGCTTGTATTTTTACTTCATTCATCTGCAGTAGCTTGCCTTAATACTGTTCATTACAATGCACACAGTATTTATGCAGTTTATTATAAGGTATTTATTATCTATTTTTTTAAGTTTGCTTTCCCTAAAACATTGTTTTGTACAATAGTGTGCATACAGATACAGTAAGATTTATTTGGTTGTAAGAGAGCAAATTTGTCATTTATGTTAAATTTTGCCCTCTTGGGGTTGCAGGAAAGCAAGATTCGAATTCAGAGACTTACAGAAGAGATGAAAGCGCTGCAAGAGGGACACCAGAGGGAGCTGGAGAACTGTGATAAAGAAACACAAAGAAAATGTAAGTAAAATCATTCCTCATCTTAACAGCATCTACAGGAATAAACCCAATCACAACTGTGCAGTATAGAATCAAAGATATTTGCTGTACTCAAATAGCAAATCTTTCCACCTTGTCTTTAAAGTAAATGCTAAAGATACTGAACTGAAAGTGGCTCATGAGAGATATGAATGCACTCTGGAGGAAATGAGAAGACAGATGACAGAGAAGGAGAAAGAAAAGCAGAGCCAAATCATTAAACTTCAAATGGAGGTAAAAGTTTGATTTAGCAGCCTGATTGTTATGCAAATAAACAAACTTATATAGATTAAAATGAAATGTGTTATCCAAAAATGAAAATATACAGTTTTTTATTCATTCTCAATCAATCGAAATGCAGCAACTTTCTTCTAAAGTGTAACATTATAGATAGAAACATCCTTGGTAATTCATAAAAAGTCTTCACCTACTTTGAGTGTCACACACACACAAAAAAAGAAAACCAGGGACTCCTGAAGATACAGTGATGTCTCATGAAGTGAAGTGATCAGTCTGTGGAAGAAACTCAGCATAAAGATTCAAGCTTACAGTTGACAGTCTGGAATGCGAGTGTCCTGTTGAGAGTGGAAACTCAAACGTTACACAGGCATGCTCTTTTTCCATCATAAAGTAGTTCAGGGTAGGGCCAGACAGAATCTGCGGACAGTTTTTGTTTTTTCAGTGCAGATTTAAAAAAAAAAATATGTGGTAAGATTTAAGGAGTATCATAAATAAAAACTAAATATATTAAGAAAAAAATTTAATCTTTTTAACTTTTATTTCATCTTTACAATGCAAATAATTAGATTCCCTTAAATGGTAAACAAAGCAATTGTCTTTTGTGATATATCTACAAAAAGACACAAAATATTACTTTCCCATCTGTATTGTAAATAAATCAAATGAGCATTTTTATATTTGTCAAAAATATTACTGAAATTAATTTAAAAACAATAAATATATATAAGATAAAATAAATATAAGTTTACACACATTTAGGGTGCTTTCACACCTACACTTTTGTTTCGGAACGTATCTCGTTTGCCCAGTTAGCGCGGTTCGATTGGCATATGTGAACAGGGCAATCGCGCTCTGTTCCGCGCCAAAGTAATCGCTCCGAGATCGCTTGAATGAGGTGGTCTCGGCTCGATTGAAACGAACCCTGGAGCGGTTCGATTGCAGTGAGAAAGCGATCCGATCCGAGCGCGGTTATATCACAGTGTTTTATGGATATGTAATAGGCTTACGGCTATATGAAGAGAGAATTATGAGTAGGGCGGGAAGTTTCGCAAGTCTCCGGATGCCCGCAAACGAGTGATGATCTCCCGGTAATCTCGCGTCTTTCTCCCAGTCCTCAAATAGGCATCGTCGCGCACCCTTCTCACCCCTCCCCACCGTGTCTCTCCTCAGACACGTCACGCGCGCGCACCCTGTCAATCACCACCAAACCAGCACCTCTCCTGACAGCGGGACGCTGCAAAATAAACCTGACACTCTGACGAATGTAAGGAGAGTTTACTCACACGTGACTTGTTTTAGCTCTTTTGGTCCGATTAGAAACTTTGCAGTGTGAATACGAACCGCTCCAAGAGCAAAGAGCAACAATGTAACAATTTTAATCTCTGTTTCGGAACAACTGAATCGATTCACAGGTGTGAAAGCACCCTTACACATGAATAAATAGACTCAGGGAGCTTCAAGACACTCAAGCCACGGTCAACACTGCAATTTTCGCTCCATAGACTTCCATTCGAACGCATGCGTTTCCAGTCTGCCGCATTCGCAAGCTCATGCAACAAGCTTTACAGTTCGCTGCAATAGAAAGTTCAAGCATTGTGAACACTGACCTTCAAAATTGCATCATTGTGTAAGACCAATTGAAGATCAAAACATGACCTCTCTGGACAGAAATTTATTATATGGAGCAATCACTCGCTTTAATCACTCTAATCATCTTGCTTAAACTTATCCCTTTTCGCAGCGTAGTATGACAAAATTTTGCATGCTCAAACTCTAGTGACCTCGGCTTTACCTGTAGGTTTCAAACAAGCCTGAAGGACTCAATTAGTTTGATCAGGTGTGTTTATTAGGTTTGGAACTAAGGCCCCGTTTACACTAGTGCGTTTTAGTTTTAAAACGGCGTTGTAGAATGAAAACGATCCGCGTCCACACTCGCGTTTTACCCAGCGTTTCTGAACTGCTCTCCGTCCACACCAAAACGCTGAAAACGCACATCACGTGACCACACACACACTCTCGGACAAGCGCTCCAGCATTTCTACCCAGATGAGAGCTCTGCTTGTTGGACTGCTCATCAAGCATCTCCCGCTGGATCTAATCTCACTATATTTGCTAAACGTGATATTTCATTCATGTTGTTGTCTTTATCTAACGACAAATTCCCTGACTTTGATCATTGGAATCTATTAAGTTACTTGTTCACGGGTAACATGTTTTGGTTAAGCGCAAAGATAAGTTAATGATTAATCCAGGTACATTGACTGATCGCTTGCCTTTATTTCCTACAATGTATAAACTTATTGTATGTTATACTTTTATAATTATCGATTATTAAAACTGATATTCAGCAAAAGAGAGGGTGCGTTTCGTATTTTCACTGAAATTGAAAGGAGGCAGTTGTTATCGGCTCTGTTTTGTTATAAATATCCACACAGTGAAGATGACGCTCATATATTCAGCACGGCGCCTCAACATTTCTGCTGTCTGTTAAGTTGCTAATATTAAAAAGAAAATAGGCAGTTCCTTAAATCATGTTTACATTTTATTGTTGAGAAAGTGAAACAACGTAGCCAAGGTGGTGTGAATGAAGTTATAAAGTACACTGTTCCCTTTGAAGATTTACCCGTGTCCTCGGTATGTTTTCCATATCAAACTGAGAAGGGGGAGACTGCAGCCTTGATCAAACTTGCAAAGTCTGAACTTACAAGAAGAGGATGCGAGACTGAACTGTGTGTGGGCTACTTAATATTGAGGAAAAGCCCCAATCAGATAGGCGAACGTTTGCAGCCCCGCCTCCGTTTTCAGATGTCTCCGTCTTTCCCCATCCACACTGAGACGGAGCAGCAGCGTTTTAGAATGAAAATGGCCTTTCCAGCGTTTTCAAAAAGCTCCGTTTTCGGCGCTCGACAACTCCGGCGTAGTGTGGACGGATGGCGTAACCGTAGCAAAACTTATGCGTTTTCAAACTAAACGCACTAGTGTAAACGGGGCCTAAACTGTGCAGGGCTGCAGCCCTCCAGGCACTGAGTTTGACACTTGTGCTTTAGAGGGAGTAAAGTAAGAGCAAGTTCTCATTTTTGGGTGAACTATGCATGTAAAACTAGACTTCTATTTTTGGTGAAAAAAAACATATTTAGCTCCTTTTGTTTGTTGTGCAGTTTCCTAGTCTTAAAAATGTTTCATTCTTTATAGTTTGGTGCTAAACTTGCAAGGGCCCAGAGCATGTCTGCAAAGACTCAGACTCAAACGCAAGCATCTGCTCCGCGACCACAGAACATCTTTAAAAGAGTGAGTCGACAAAAACACCTCATGACATTGAGGGCAGCCAGCTTTCTCATCACACCTGGATTTCTATTGATGTTTTCAGAAGCTGCAGTTCATTCAGGAAGAGAAAAACAAAGAGATTGAGGCTCTGCGTCAGCGGGTGAGAGAGCTAGAACACCACAGTCTTCACGGACTAAAGAGGAGGAGAAACTGACACTTCTGTTCATCTGCCGGCTGGAACAGGATTTCACACTGCTTGCATTTCACAGTAAATTTCATTTAATATAGATTCCTTAAATATTTTAATTCAGTTCAGATTCAATGTATTTTTCAGGTTGTATTTTAACTTTAGTTACTTTTTTTTTATTACACTTATTTATTAAATTTGTAGTTTAGAAATTTAGAGTTTAGAAAGTGTTGTTTTATTGAACTATTATTACAGTTTTACTTGTATTTTACTACATTTTTTGTATTTTGATGTGCTTTTGTCAGCCATTGTTATCATATATTATTATAAATCATTATTTGATGTTTTCAGTTTAATTTATTAATTTTGGTATGTGCTTTTGTCAGTATATCATTATTATTTATATTAATCTTTGTAATAGTTTTAGGTTAATTTGAGCAGTTTATACTCTAATATTTTATACTTTAATACTGTTTTAATACTGTGAGTTTTAGTCAATAATAAGTTTTCTGTTTTAGTGTACATTGCATTTGCTTAATAAATGAGCATTCATGAAGCTATAGCTGCTGCATGAGAGGTCATTGAGAAGGGGAGGATTTGGCAGGTGACATGGGCTTCTGGGAGATTACAGCTCTTCGTGGAGTTCACACACCTGTAAACACAACCTCCATGTTCCAGATAAAGCTTGTAATCTTATCAATAGAGACACCTAGTAATTTGGTGCTTCCTCAAGCACACACACATGCACATGTGTACCAATATACATAGCAAATGCTTCACTCATGATGACATCAGACACCAGGAAAATGCTGGTTTATTTAGAGACTATTGAAATAAATGAGTGTTTAATTACAGAGTAAATCACTGAAGCTTCAAGCTTACTGAAAAGGAAAAACTAATATTAAATAATAAAAACAATTTAGTGCATAATTAATTAAACGCAACACTCTTTTGCATTAGTGTCCTATTTTGTATTTAGTGTGCGTATGTGTTTTGGATTAGCTTTTCAGTTTTTAATTGTAGTTTTGTTTTGAGTTTTTCTAAAGTGCATTTGTCATTGGCAATTAAAAGTAATTGACATTAAAAATAATCCAGGTGAACAATATTATGCACTATTGTAGGATTATTCATATTTAGTTTATTAATTATCTTAGATTTGATCAGATTTATATTGCATTTTTATTTATATGTTTACTTTTGAAAGTTTGAGTTTATACATGAATAATTAGTTTTAGCTTTAAATACTTCATGTCATAAAAATATTATTTCATGCAACTTTTGTCTTGTCTTTTTTAAATAATATTTTTATTAGGTTTTTTCTTTTAATGTTAGTTGCATTTTTATTTTGTGAGGTGCTAGTATTTTATTAACACACAATTACAGTTTTACTTCTATTTTGAATGAGCATACATTTTTCGGATACATTTTGGTGGTATTATTATTATATAGTGTTTTTGGCAGTAGTTTATATTAGAAAAAATTAATATTTTAAAAAGTTTAGTTTTACTCAATATTAACAACCCTGACAATTATCTGTTATTTTCACATTTACAGTAAGCGAGAACAAATTCCTAGTCATTTTTCACCAAAGAAAACCCACTCAGTCCACGGTGCACATGCTTTCTCCATCACGAGTGTCACACATGCTCTTCAAAATGAAGACTGGCGGACTAGTAATAATCATATTATCAGCCAAACCCTTTATGTGTCAAGCAGGGCGTTCGGTAATCTCATTAACCAGGCTGTTACATAACGTCTGATCCTACGCTCTCCAGTCAGAGATCAACCTCATTAACTGACCATCATGTGTTTTAGGGTCTTCAGGCCTTCTGTTTGACTGAATCCCACCAGGACAAACAGGACAACACTTCTTGAGAGTGCTTCAAAAGAGTTCACGATGATGGTCATTCACCCTCTTTTTGCTGACGTTTTTGTCCTTTGTTGATTACAGGCATGGTCCCCGATGGTGGAAGGGATTAAGGTAGCTCTAAATAAAGCTGGCAGATTAGGAAACATGATACTGGCATGTTCTGTTTCACTGTTGGCAGAGGGATGGAAGAGTGTCTGAGGGAAACCACATCAGTGGGTGCAGATTCAGGACAGGACAGTTCAAGGCAATGTTTGCATACTGGTCATACTCTGATGTGGGTAAATGCTTTTAATCTCTAAAACAAAGAGATTATCATCCAGCTTTTTTGCAGACATCGGATCTTTCAGAAAGATAACATGTGGACATCTTCTTTGACTTCCAATCCCATAAAAAAGAAAAGCAGCTATGCCTTGGTTTACTGCAAGAGCCCAACGGTAAGATTGTTTTATTTACACTTGTGGTCAAATCTTTACTGCCATGTATACAGTAAAGGAAAAAAGGTAAGGGTATGGGTTTAAGAAAAAATGTTGCATTAGTTTTACTCTTATTATACTCTTATTATAACATTTCCTTCAAATTACAAAATGAATGGTTTTGTCTTGCAATAGGAGAATGAACATAAGCATATCTGAAAACTATTAGTAGTTTACATTATAATATTAAACTAAGTTTTACTCAAACTCAACTATAAATCATGAATTGGCCCTATAGGAAAAACATTTTAACAAAATAATATATTTAAATAGTATTATAAAGTTGTAATGCTATTTTGAAGAAAGCATTGAGTATTTTTGTTGTCAAATTATGAGTTTACTAGTCTTCATAGTGCACTTTCAGAAACTAGAAGTATTTAACTAATAGCTATTTAACTGTCAACTATCAGTATATTGTAAGGTAGACTAGAATATTGTACAAAAAAACAAAAACCATTATCCTGTTAAGGTATACTTAAAAATATACTACACTGTAAATAATGCTGGATTCCACACAATCTTTTTTTGTTTTGTTTTGTTAGGACAACATAAAGGAATTAAGTCAGCACAATCATTTTTACAGGTGGATTGAACAGTAGTTTGAACAAACGGCAAAGGTAATTTTTAAGTGTATTTAAATCTACTGAAAATGTATCTACAAGTGTACTACTACAGTACATTAATATTAGTATATTTATTTAGACCTAAAATATACTTCAAATATAATAGAAGTTTGCATATTAAATTGAAGTATATTTCATTTTGCTAAGGGTAGGCCAACTTTAGTATTTTTTTATTTCCAACATCATATGTTCATCATAATGTGATCACTGAATTAAACTTGTAGGGTTATTAAAAGCAAATATAGTCACTTTTAGCCAAGTATTCAGTAATTATAACAGAAATAAATAACAATGTAAACAATGCATGTAAAAGTATTTGACCAATAAATTAGGGTAGAGGTTGTTGCAATGGGTAGTTCCATTACTGTAGAAACTTTGGACATCTATAGAATTTAAAATTGGTCTTTAACTTTACAATTTTAAATATTTTTCATATAAAAGAAGATGGTTCTTGACTTACTGAAAGGTTCTTTAAGGAACCAAAAACTGGTGAAATTTGGTGTGCTCCAACTAACTAACGTAGACATGTCATAGCATTTATAGTTCCCCTTCGGGGGGAACTTCAGCACTATAAGTGGATTTGATTGTAAAATCCACGCATTGGGAGGTTTGGTTCAGAAGCTACTCGTCTGAAAGAGTATTGAACGGGCCAATTAAGAATGAATTGGCAGCGCAAGCCTGCGCAGGTGAGCGGCATTAGCAATCAACTGAGTATATAAGCTCACCTGGCGCCAGCAGACGCTATCCTTTTCGCTTCAGAGACTTTCTGATCGAGTCGATGAGGGTTCCTCCTGCTGTGACCAGCGATTCTGAGCGAACGAGAGCATTCTCCCGGTCCAGAGTGTGTACACGCAGTGGCAGACGGTCGAGCTGGGTTTCTCCCTTGCCTGGCGTTCTTTGGGTCCGGTCCTCCAGAGCGGTGCGTATAAAGTTGCAAACTTCACAGAAAGAGCAACACAGTCGTGCAGCACGTCCTTATCAGGACGGCGCTCCGACTGTGCGTTTCTGGATGCGGTGGTTTCCTGTCCTCGGATGATGGGCGCGGGCACTGCGTTACATGTCTGGGGGTCCAGCATGTTAATGCGCTGCTCGCGGGCAGTTCATGTCGTCATTGCGATGCCATGACTGTTGCGCAAGATCGCGGTTAGCCTTTGCAAAAGGGCGAACCACCCCAGTTGTCCCCTGCTCTGCAGCGGGCACTCGGGCAGATCTGAGGGTTTCAGCGAGAGATAATCCGTCGCCCACGGGCCCGCGGACCTCCCGCTCCTCTAAGCGCTCCATCCAAGCTTCGGGCGGGGGAAGCGATCCGTCTAACAGATGGTAGCCCTTACGCCCGATGACACCGGAGACCAGATGTCCACCGCGGCATCGGAGGGTGGGCTTTCATTGTCCGATGATGATCCAGACCCGCTCGCCCCCTTCGGGCTGGTGAGCGCTGTCACTACGGATCCTGAAACGGACATGTTAGCCATGCTTTCCCGGGCTGCTTCGACCGTGGGTTGGAGATGGTTTATCCCCCAGCTCCGCGGCCGGACCGACTAGAGGGGCGTTCCCTTCTTCCCGGAGGTGCACAGTAGGCTCACGCGGTCTTGTAAAGCACTTTTTTCTGCTCGTGCTGCGTGTTCCTCCACCCTAACCACTCTTGACGGTGAAACAGCCAGGGGGTATGTGGCGATTCCTCAGGTTGAGTGCGCGATGGCGGTAAATCCGCGCGGCGCCTCTTCTTGGCGGGGTCCGCCTCGTCTCCCATCCAAAGCCTGTAAGTTATCTACCTCCCTCGGAGCTAGAGCTTACATAGCTGCGGGCCAGGCTGCTTCCGCCTTGCATGCGATAGCCACCTACCAGCGCTACCAAGCGCAGGCGCTGGCCGAGCTGCACGAGGGTGGGTCCAACCCAGGCTTACGAGCTTCGCACCGCCGCCGACTTAGCTCTTCGGACTACTGAGTCCGCTGCGTGTGCGTTGGGGAGGACGATGTCCACATTAGTGATCCAGGAGCGCCACCCCTGGCTGATATGCGCAAAGTCGACAAAGTCCGCTTTCTTGACTTCCCCATATCCCCAGCCAGGTTCGGCGACACTGTCTGTGAATTCACCCAGGAATTCAAGGCGGTGAGAGAGCAGTTGGTGGGTGATGTCTTATCGGCGGTCCGTAGCCCGCTCCGCCCGCCGTGCCATTCATACCTGCTCCTCGTCGAAGGCGCCCGCCTACGAGAGCTGCTCCGCCCCCGCACACGCCTCCGGCGAAGCGAGCGCGTCGGGCACCTCGGAAGCAGGCAGCCCCCCTGCCCAGAACGCCGCTAAGTCCGGCAACGGACCGCGAAGCGCCCCTGGGACAGGCCATCTGGAGAAGAGGGAACTTGCTCTTTCCCCGCTGGAGGGCGGGGCCCCATTTCCAACGGCACTTTTTACTGCCATGAAAACATTATGAAAGGGCACTTTTCACTTCCCCAGATGTGACAGCCCGAAATCTGCCAGTCTGGGACGCTATGCTTTCTAGCTTGCAGATTCGGTGCGTTTCGCCAGTGGCTCACGAGTGCTGGGAGGACGGTCTCCTTTCTCCCACCCCTCGAGCCTCCCCTCTGGAGCTCGGGTTTGGAGTGAGAGCAAATATCTCACCTCCAGCTTTTCCGTGGGACCCGCGAGCTTCCCGGATCAGCACACCCACTCCGCGCTGCCCCACTGCTGGTACGTCAGCGATTGTAGCGATGAGTCCATTAGCGAGAGCTCTGCCTGCCTGGTTAGCGCGGGCCAGCTCTTCGCGGTGGCTCATACGCACAATCAGACTCGGCTATGCGATTCAGTTCGCGAAACGGCCCCCCAAGTCACGGGTGTGTATTCACCAGGGTCAGCCCCCTGTCCGCCCCTGTCTTGCGAGAGGAGATTGCTGTCCTCCTGGCGAAGGATGCAATCGAGCCGCTCCCTCCAGCCGAGATGGAGAGCGGGTTTTACAGCCCACGCTTCATCGTGCCCAAAAAGAGCGGTGGGTCACGGCCAATCCTAGATCTGCGCGTTTTGAACCGCTGCCTGCACAAGCTGCCGTTCAGAATGCTCACGCAGAAGCGCATCCTCCGTTGCGTTCGTCCTCTGGGTTGGTCTGCAGCATTAGACCTGATGGACGCGTATTTCCATGTCTCCACTCTTCCTCGCCACCGACAGTTTCTGCGGTTTGCGTTTGAAGGTCGAGCTTGGCAATACAAAGCCCTCCCCTTCGGGCTCTCTCTGTCTCCGCGGGTCCTCACCAAGCCCGCGGAGGGTGCCTCAGCGCCCCTTCGGCTCGCGGGCATCTGCATACTCAATTTCTTTACGACTGGCTGAATTTTGCCCTCTCTTTTGATTATGCACAGAGTTGATTATGCACAGAGACAAAGTGCTCTGGCACTTCCACCTGTGGGGATTTCAGGTCAACCGAGAAAAGAGCAAACTCGCCCCCGTGCAGAGGATCTCTTCTCTCGGGCTGGAGCTGGACTCGGTCACCATGGCAGCGCGCCTCTCCGGAGAGCGCGCTCAGCTGATGCTGTACTGTCTGAGAGAGCTCGACAGTAAAATAGTGGTCCCACTGAAACTATTTCAGAGGCTCCTGGGGCATATGGCATCCGCAGCCGCTCATGCCGCTCGGATTATTCTATATGAGACCACTTCAGCACTGGCTTTACGATCGAGTCCCCAGACGCGCATGGCACGCGCGCGCACACCGAGTCTCTGTAACTGCGCTGTGTCGCCGCGCCCTCAGCCCTTGGAGCGACCCCTCGTTCCTACAGGCCTGGGTGTCTCTAGAACAGGCGTCCAGTCTTGTTGTCGTTTCAGCAGACGCTTCCAACACGGGCTGGGGGGCTGTGCGTTGCGGGCATGCGGCTGCGGACCTGTGGAAAGGTACCCAGTTGCATTGGCATATCGCCTGGGGCTGTTGGCAGTGTTCCTCGCTCTCCACCGTTTTTTTCCGGTGTTGGAGCGGCAACACGTGCTGGTCAGGACGGACAGTACGGCGGCGGTGGCGTATATCAGCCGTATAGGGGGTATGCGCTCTCGCCGCATGTCTCAGCTCGCCCGCCGTCTGCTCCTCTGGAGTCATCCGCGGCTGAAATCGCTGCACGCCATTCATATTCAGGCAAGCTCAACCGTGCAGCCGATGCGCTCTCACAGCAGCCTTGCGTCCTGGAGAATGGAGACTCCACCCCGAGTCTGTTCAGCTGATATGGGCGCGATTCGGGGAAGCCCAGATCGATCTGTTGCTTCCCCCGAGATCGCTCATTGCCAGTTGTTCTTTCCCTGACCGAGTGCTCTCGGCACGGATGCACTGGCTTACAGCTGGCCTCGGGGCACGCGCAATACGCGTTTCCCCCAGTGAGCCTGCTCGCGCAGTTACTGTGCAAGGTCAGGGAGAACGAGGAACAGGTTACTGGTTGCGCCCCTCTGGCTCAACCGGACCTGGATGTCAGAGCTCTCCCTCGCGATAGCCCTCCCCTGGCAGTCCCTTCGAGAGAGCACCTACTCTCTCAGGGACAGGGCACCACCTGGCACCCTCGCCGATCTTTGGAGATTTTTAGACGCGAGGAAGACTTAGGTAACCTCCGATTGCGGTGGCTAATACCGTCACTCGGGCTAGAGCCCCCTCCCCGAGCGCGCCTATGCCCTGACGTGAAGTCTATTCACTGAATGGTGTGTCTCTCGCTGAGAAGACCCCCGTAATTTGCCAGATCAGCGTTGTGCTTTCTTTACGCCGAGAGAAGTTGGAGAGCAGGCTGTCGCCCTCCACACTCAAGGTTACGTGGCTGCTATCTCCGCTCTCATAACGCGGTGGCTGGCAGCACCGTGGGAACGCATAACCTCATCATCCGGTTCCTCAGGGGCGTTAAGCGAATTAATCCACCCCGCCCCCTCTCATGCCCTCTTAGGATCTCGCCCTCGCTACACAAGCCGCGTCAGATCCCTTCGATCCTCGACTCAGTATATTTCTGTCCCTGAAGACAGCTCTGCTGGTCGTGTTGATATCGATTAGAGGGTCGGGGACCCGGAGGCATTTTTCGGTCAGTGACTCGTGCCTGTAATTGGGCTGGCTTCTCTCACGTCCTGAGACCCCGCCCGCGATATGTGCCCAAGGTTCCTACCACTCCGTTTTAATACGAGGTAGTGAGCCTGCAAGCGCTGCCCTCGGAGGAGGCAGACCCAGCCCTTCTTTACTGTCCAGTTCGCGTTTTGCGTATTATCCGGACCGCAATCAGAGTTTAGATCATCTGAGCAGCTCTTCGTCTGTTATAGCGGTCGGCAGCAGGGAAGTGCCGTACCGAAATAAGTTCCCACTAGATTGTGGATGCCTTTCTTTCACTATCAGAGCCGAGATGAGCCGCGTCCCCCGAGAGCGCGTGCGCACTCCACTCGGAGCTTCGCATCCTCTCGAGCGCGCGCACGCGGCGCTCCTCTAACAGACATCTGTAGAGCTGCGGGCTGGGTGACACCCAACACATTTGCAAGGTTTTACAATCTGCGAGTGGAGCCGGTTTCCTCAAGGGTATTAGGTAACCCTTGGTGATTGAGGAAACGATTCGGTAGGGTGTTGAAACACGCTTGCTGCGCCATTTTCCCTAACACGGAGATACGTGCGCCTTTTTATCTGTCAGTAAAGTTCCCCGTCAGGTGAGCCCTGCAGATTCCTCCGTGGCCCCCAGCACTGACTCAGCGGAGGAGTCACTTGCTGGCCCACTACGTTGTAGGTCTGCCCGCTGGTCAGCCCGCGTTTTGGGTAAAGGTGCCTGCTATGCGTGGTCCCCACTAGGCGATCCCATATGCTTATTCAGCCACGGTTAAGTCCCCCCCCCCTGGGCGGACCCGTGTCTTCCCTCCCCGCTAACCACTCTTTTGCTATGCGTACTCCCCCTTTTTAGGGCTAGTCCATATGTAATTCTGCCATCTATCCCCCCTTGGGTAACGGATGGCCTCCGCAGCGTCCTCCCTATCGGGATTGCACGCTTCCCAACGTACTGTCGTATTTTCCTAGAATTATCTAGATGCTCACGACTTCCCAAAAAATATATCTAAATCCGTAAAACTTCTGTTGAAGTAGGATAAATTAGGGCCAGGGACACGTTGGAGGACCGCGCCCCCCATGATGTGGGTGCGTCACGCTTGCTTGACTATCTCCTCATCGGGGGTGTTGGTAAGGTGCAGTCATTATGGCGCTTTCAATGGGCTCCCAATGCGTGGATTTTACAATCAAATCCACTTATAGTGCTGAAGTTCCCCCCGAAGGGGAACGTTCGAGGTTACTAAAGTAACCCTTCGTTCCCCGAGGAGGGGAACGGAAGCACTATACTCCGTCGCCATAATGACTGTCCCTTAGCTGTTGAAAGTCTCTTCAGCTTAAAAAGGATAGCGTCTGCTGGCGCCAGGTGAGCTTATATACTCAGTTGATTGCTAATGCCGCTCACCTGCGCAGGCTTGCGCTGCCAATTCATTCTTAATTGGCCCGTTCAATACTCTTTCAGACGAGTAGCTTCTGAACCGAACCTCCCAATGCGTGGATTTTACAATCAAATCCACTTATAGTGCTTCCGTTCCCCTCCTCGGGGAACGAAGGGTTACTTTAGTAACCTCGAACGTTTGCTGCTGTATGATGATTTTAGGTGCTTTTTTATCCTTATAAATTGCTCTGGATGAAAGTATCTGCTAAATGAACAAATGTAAATTTTCTGCCACTAAAATTTGAATATTAGATGAGAAAATTCATGCAAGTCATGGATACAGTATATTAATATGCTTTTAAGTGTTGCAATCCATTTGCATTCTTTAAGTGTACAAATATTGTGAGCTGTAGTTTATTTGCCTGCTGGAATCCTATTTTTCAGCCTTGAAGAGCAGCAGAATGCCTGAAAAGGCCAGACAGCGGCCTACACAGGTGTATCAGCACTATCTGTACACCGTGACGGACAGCTCTGAGTGCAGCTCAGAGAAAGAGGAGGATGAAGAGCCCTCCAAACGCCTCACACCACTGGAGAAGTTAACACTGGAAATGTGCAAAGATGAAAACACAGTAAAGGAGCTGACGGTGGGCAAACGGGTGGGTTTCTACAAAGTGCGAGGTCAGATCGGCTGTGGCAACTTTTCCAAAGTCAAACTGGCCACTCATGCCCTCACCAAAGGTATGGAGCTCTCTATAAACACCAAATAAACCCTGTTGCTGCATCTCATAATATCTGTTCTAAATAATATTTCAAAATGTAATGAGTCCAAAGTGACCTAGATGGACAATCTACTATTTCTAGTAGAAATTGTCATCCATTCAAACTCTGAAAGTGCTTCCACATTGAGTCCAGGATTCTTGTACAATTATTTTTGCATGTTTTTAAATTTCACCCAAAGCTTAACGGCCAATTCAGACTGGGCTTCAGCATCAACACTTGACGAAGGCCATGTCTGAAGTTGGGGCTGCTATTGCGCTATAGCAGCATCAGCCAGTGAAATTAGACAGCAGCTGGCTACTGTCTGAGCTGAGGCATTTGCATAAAGTTATCTAATTGGCTGACTCTTCTGTTGATGCCTAAAAAGTTGAGTAATTCCCAACGTTGAGTAATTCCAGGCGCCAACCCATCCACATAGCAATGCCTGACGTCACACATTCAAAGTGAATGGGAAGCGTTGACACTGTGAATCGCGCATTAAGGTGTAGCATGTAGGATTGCCACTACTGGTTAAATTAGGTATTGCGGTCCAAATTCAAAAGAATAGGATTTTTTCACACAGCCCCCCTCCTCCAACATAAGGCACATTCGGTTGCCAGATTGACAGCACCAACAAATCGCAAGCATGTCTGACTATCGAGTTTTGAACTGTAAGCTGAGCAGCTAATGTTTACACTTGAAATATTTTAATGGCTTGCAAACTAAAATCCCATTTTGGAGGCTTCTGTTGTCCTCTGGAAGTCACATTTAAGGTCACACTGCAAAATATGATTTTCTTACTTAGATTTTTTTGTCTTGTTTCTAGTCCAAATATCAAAAAATTCCTAAATCAAGAAGAATTTTCTAGACAAGCAAAACATACTGTCTTGTTTTGAGAAATAATATGCCAATATTAAGTGAGTTTTTCCTTAAAACAAGCAAAATAATCTGCCAATGGGGTAAGCAAAATAATCTTAAGTCAAAAGAAAAAACAAGATTATTTTGCTTACCCCATTGGCAGATTATTTTTCACTAAGGTAACCTGGGGTGCCAAAAAATTCATTTATTCGTTTTCTTTTCGGCTTGGTCCCTTTATTAATCTTGGATCGCCACAGCAGAATGAACCGCCAACTTATCCAGCATATGTTTTACGCAGCAGATGCCCTTCCAGCTGCAACCCATCACTGGGAAACATCCATACACACTCATTCATACACATACACTACAGATAATTTAGCTTACCCAATTCACCCAAAACACATGTTTTTGGACTTTGGGGGAAACCGGAGCATCTGGAGGAAACCCACGCGAACACGGGGAGAACATGCAGACTCCACACAGAAATGCCAATTGACCCAGCCGGGGCTTGAACCAGCGACCTTCTTGCTCTGGGGCGAGTGTGCTACCCACTGCGCCACCGTGCTGCCCTGTGCCAAAAAATAATCGGGTAAACTGGCAGTGAAGTTACACAGACTAAAACAACATAGAACATGTTACGTAACATGTTCTAACATGGGACACACATTTTCAAAGCAGATTAACTGACTTTTGTATAGTTTTTTTAGATAAACAAGTATGTTCAATCAGCATGCTTCTTAGATATCTTTTAACATATTTTGGTATTTTTATGATTTAGAGGAGTCAAAAACTTACAACACCACAAACTATTCAGTCACACCCTTAAAAACATACCTTTCCTTCACAAAAAGAGTATATACTGTACATTTAGGGAGTCGTATAAATAGGAGATTTGGGATGCAGCTTTTGCTTTTTTGGATTAAGGTTGGGAAATGGTAAGCGTAAAGTAAGTAACCGGATTATTGTGCAATGACGTAATCCTGATTTTACTCAGACAAGGTTGCAGTGAAGATTATGGACAAGATGCGGCTGGATGTGCAGACCCAGAGGATGTTGACCAGAGAGATCTCCAACATGGAGAGTTTATATCATCCAAACCTGCTGCAGCTCTTTGAGGTGCTGGAGACGCCGAGCAGACTCTACCTGATCCTGGAGTTTGCTGGAGGAGGAGACCTGCACACCAGAATCAGCTCTGGAGGAAAGCTGACCGACCTAGAGAGCAAGATTGTGTTCGCACAAATCCTATCAGCAGTCAAATACATGGTCAGACCCTCTATAGTAATATCATGACATATTTTACACTCTAGATTATAGAGCACACATCAATCGTAAGTATAGTAAATCTGTTAAAATGCTCAATAGCATGACCAATAATACCAATAATAAAACCAATAATCATTTTGGAAAAAAATGTAAAGCTTAAAATAACAATTTATTAATGTCTCAGTAATAAATTTTAATTTGTTAATACACTAAGCATTGATATGTATAATTTTGGTAATTAAAAATATTTAAAGTTAAGTACAGTGCATCCGGAAAGTATTTATAATGCTTCAATTTTTCCACATTTTTCTACACACGATACTCCATAATGACAATGTGACAAAACATTTTTTGAATTTGTTGCAAATTTAAAAATAATAATAATAATATATTCACAGCCTTTGACGTGAAATTCAAATAAGTAATGATAGTCTTTGAATGAAAATGCTGAATTTATCTCAACTAAATATATTTACATGTGTGTTTGTTCCAGCATGAAAACAACATCATCCATCGAGATCTGAAAGCTGAAAACGTTCTTTACACAACCAACGGCTGCATTAAAGTAGCTGACTTTGGCTTCAGCACAAAGGTCAACAACCGCAACCAAGCCCTGGACACATTTTGCGGCTCACCTCCTTACGCAGCTCCAGAACTCTTCAAAGACGACTCCTACATTGGACCACCAGTAGATGTGTGGGCGATGGGTGTCCTCCTCTTCTTCATGGTGACTGGTAGCCTACCCTTCCGCGCCGACACTGTGCCCAAATTACGCCAAAGTGTCCTGGAGGGTGCTTATGTCCTGCCAATATGGGTCTCCGCTCCATGTCAGCGGCTCATCCGGGGCATCCTGAAACCTGAACCGTCGGAGCGATGTGCCCTGGACCAGATGCTGGGCTGTGAGTGGCTGCTGCCGGTGGAACTCTTTCGCCCAATTCCTCCATTATACCAGCTCAACCCCATCCACCTGCTGGAGGCTGGACCAGGAGAGCTGGACAGAGACCAGGAGGAGGTCAAAGGTATCCTGGAGAAACTAGGAGTTACTCCGGAGCATATTCTCAATAATCAAGGAAAGCGTATTCGGAGTCCTATTAATGGGGTTTATCGTATATTATTGCACAGAGTTAAGAGAAACAGAGGAGCAGAGTCTGTGCCATCAATCAGTGGAGTAGTCAAAGATCCTAAAAGAGACAGTCTGCGTGCCTACAGGAACCTACGACACTCCTCGAAACTCTGTGCACTTTCTTGAAGAGACTCCGCATTTACTTTCTTTTTGCTCCTTAATAGAAGGAAAGTCAATGGGGTTCACAAATATATTAGGACCAAGTGGACCTTTTCCAGTGAAACAGATAAAAACAATGTGCTGGGGGAAAGACCTCTAGTCTATTTTAAGGTTTTAGATCATGTAATCATTCTAATTCAAGATTAGCAAACATGAGATTTAAAAAAAAAACTTGTCAGCTAAAAAATCAGTTTGCTTCTAAAAACTACTAAGTGTTTGGATCAGATATGGACAAATCCTATTGTTGGGTTAAAAAGTGTTTTTTTTTTATTTATTGAAAAAATGGGTTACACTGGAGTGGAATGCACTGTACTCTTTAGGAAACAGGCTCATTTTAGAAGTCCCCTATTACCGCTTTTGAATCAATTTAGCCAACTTTCCAGGTCTGGTGGTAGCACTTTTAGCTTAGTTTAGAAAAAATTATTGAATTGGATTAGACCATTATCGAGAGATGGACAGCATTTATGATACAAGTCTTTCAAATACATATTTTAAATACAAAATAGTATTTTGTCATTTGTATTTGATAGGGTTTGTGGAAATGGGTTTCTATTTTGTATCAAAAAGCGTAAGTGTCTTGTATTTTTGTGTTTTTAAAATACTGTAAAATACTTTGTAAAAAGTCAAGACATCATAAAAATGGGACCTCTGATTGGTGTTTTTTACAGCCTGATCTCATGAGGAAACGTAAGTATTTTACATTTTTTCAGTTCAGTGGCTAATTTGTACGAATTCTGAAAACTTCAGTCGTACGAAAATGTATGATTTTAAAAAGAAGGCATGGCACCTAACCCCACCCCTAACCCCAACCGTCATTAGGTGAGGAGCAAATCGTACTAAATTTTAGGAATTAGATCATACAAATACATACGAATTAGTTACTAAATCAAAAAGTTACGAATTGCCCTGAGATTGCGCTGTTTCTTTTTTTTTTTTTTTCAATTATTTGCCTAGGCTTGAGATTAGAACAGAAAATTGAATAAGAAGGTGGTCAATGCTTGAAGTATGGATGGAAGTTGTGCAACACACATAAAGAAAATAGATAAATGGCAGGGGTATATTTGAGTACAAGTCAACAATCATTGAAAATAGTAACAATGCACAATGCCTAGACCAGTAATATATAATGGCAGTATAGTGTACAATTCAGCATCAGCATCTTTGCTTAAGAAAGTAGTTGGAATAAAATATCAGTCCTTAAGAACTGGATGTGGAGCCTATACAGCACATAATCATTCTCAGTCTCAGTGCTGCAGGTGAAAATGCAGAGGAAGTTTAGAAATATAAAACATCCAGTGTTTCCTCTAGGATGTTTTTCCAGCTGTGGCGACAGGCCTTTTTTACTCAGATCTAACAACTACCTGTGGTGTATTTCAATGACAAAAGTCGTGAGCGTAGTATTACAATTCGAGATTGTATTTATGTAATAGCCTACAAACATGCAAATCTCTGTGCTTGCGTGCCGATTTCCTCTGCTCGTGCACAAAACTTCTTGCACGCCCCCTCAAATACACGCTGATCAAACGCAAATCTACTTGTGCGCTCTCAAATAAACGCTGCTGAAGTGCGATTTAGTGTGTTTATGTAGTGAGTATGTCTCCAACGTTTATTAGATTTGCTAGGAATATTTGTTAAAGTTTCTAATAGACCTACAGAATGACATTAAAGCGTCCTGAAGTAAAGTTAAACTGCTATACGTCGTGTTTGCTGGCCTTACTGTCAGTCAGCCAGTCGGCTTGTAACCTTAAAGAGTTAAACAAACAGCGCACAGCACTACTACGGTTCCAGAAAAGTTTGCTCTGTTATAATTTACTAATACGTTTTGGTGCGATTATAACCTGCTATTAAAAAAACATGACAATGTTTTGAATAAAAAGCTGTAATGTAGCCGTGGCGGCATCAATATTGGCATGGCGCCCCGCCATGGAAGAATAAATGTAGTGGAAACCATGACATCTAAAGATCACTAAGTGGTAAACTGAGACTCTTCCAGTTAAAGGAGAACTGAAGGAAATCTTGAGAGAATGCATAAACTATGTAATAGTAGTTTTGGATGGATTTCTGATGAAGATGCCAAGAAAATAAGACAAACAACATTAAAATAAGTCCTGCAGTGGCTGACTTCAACTTGCTCAGAGAAAAGCTGTTGTTATCAAACATTGTTTACTTCACTAATTCAGTTTAATGGTGAAAGGATTGATGCAATACCTATTGATAGAAGGTTTGCGAAGAAACTATATACTCCCATGTAAAAGTACTTTATAGTATTTTCAAAATACAGTATTTTATATTGATACTTGTTGCGGTGGTTGTATTTTATAGTTTAATTTGATACTTGTGAAATTGAGGTATTTGGTCAAATATTTAAAAAATACATTTCAATGTAATTTTGCCCAACCCTGCCATTAGCATCTCGCTCCAAACTATTTAAACAGGGTGTGCCAGAAATGGAGTATAGTTCCTAGCCATATTGACCTTAAAAAATAATATTTAATTTTTGTCAGTCTCAGTACAGGATTTAACTACTAACTAGTCAAGCTTTAAATAGGAAAATTATCAAAAAAAAAATTGTTTTGAGGGAAATGCTAATGGTCTAACATTATTCAATGATCTATGCTAACACACTAGACCCAGAGACTGGCTGAATGGATTCAAAAATGGTAGAAATCAACTGTTTATCTGAAGGGGAGTTGTAAAATTAGCCTATTTTTAATAAAGTGGAGTGTTAATTTCAGTTACCAGCAGTGGGTGAAGTACACAAATCAAGCAATTGAGTAAAAGTACTGTTATACATTTACAAATATTCATTGAGCAGGTTTTGTTTTATTCAAAGCAACTTACAAATGAAGGACATAGCAAATGATTCATTCTAAAATCTTAATCTTCAAATATTACTTATGAATATTACTAAAAAATTAAAGTGCTGTCATGATTTTTAATGAATTTAAGTATAGTATTTTGTATTTTTCAAATGTTTTTAAATCATTTGCAATGATCCAAATATTTTTGACACTAAATAGGATTAAATTGAGTCGAGTTTGCGTCAACTATCAGCTCAAAGAGTCTAAAGAATCAGTCTTCAGCCTACAGGAACCTGCCACAGTCCTCTAAATTCTGTGTGCTGTTGCTTTTCTTTGGTGCTTCTCTTTGGTTCTCAGTACAATGAAAGTCAGTGGGATCCAGAACAAACTGGACTTTATAGATCAGGGGTGTCCAAACTCAGTCTCTCATGCAGGGCCGATGTCCTGCAGATTTTAGCTCCAACTTGCCTCAAAACACCTGAATGGATGTTAATAGAAAGCCTATTACAGGGGTGTCCAAACTCGATCCTGGAGGGCAGGTGATCTGCACAGTTTAGCTCCAACTTCCTTTAACAAACCTGCCTGGAAGTGTTTAGTACACACGAAAAGAACTTGATTAGCTGGTTTAGGTGTGTTTAGTTGGGGTTAGAACTAAAATATGCAGGACACCAGCCCTCCAGGATCGAGCTTGGACACACCAGGCCTAGTAAGAGCTTGATTAGCTAGCCTACGTGTGTCTGATTGAGGTTGGAACTAAATTTTGCAGGACACCGGCCCTCCAGGATCAAGCTTGAAAACCCCTGTTATTGACCGTAGGTTAGAAGCCATGCATCTTGAACTGAATAGACTTTATGGGAGGGCAATTTTGGCATTCACAAGAAATAGAAAAAAGCTGATGTGTTTAAAATAATAAAGGGAAACATTATTATTTAACTGTTTGTTGCATTTTAAATTAACTCAAAACTATATTTATTTTGGTAAGTCAAAGACAGAAGCACATGACTAAAATGATTAATGGAGATAAACTTTGGGGCACAGAACAGAAAAACAATGCATTCAAATGAGAACACTTTTGTAAGTGATGCCCAAAAAAGGAATCAGTTTATTCTAAAAAAATAAAAATAAAATAAAAAATTTACTTCAATGCAAAACTTGAAGTAGAATTTTTTTTGACAAAATGTGATATTATTTAAAATAAGTGAAAATTACAGGGAGTGTAAATGGCAAAGGAGCCAATGGGGTGTTCTTGTGAGCCTTCTACTGGTTGGTTGTAGTGCCAGTGTCATATCATTTTAATAGGAAATATTTGTTTGCCACTTTGTGGTGAAAATGTAAACATACGGTAACCCTTATAAATTTATCATGTTACGCTTCAGTGTTTAATAAAATCACTTGACATTAAATTAAATTATATAATTAAACCATTTATTAAAATAAAATTATGAAGAAAATAACTATTTTTAAGGTACCATACACTTAAAATTGTTAACTTAAAAGTGAAAAATCATTGGATTTGAACTAGGGTCAAACAGATATTAAAGAGATTTTAAAATAATTATAAATTTATTTTTTTGTTTATTTTTTAAGGAATGTTTAAGTACATCTACATGCATGTATGTATGTATGAGTATATATACTTAGTTATTTAATTTATAAAGCAGAATTACCATCTACTGGTCTGTCATGCAGCATTTTAGCCGTTTTGAGTAATGGATGTAAGCCTGCGAGAGAACTGCAGAGTGGATGGCAACATCAACAGCCTGAGGTATCAAGACATCATTGTCTGTGGGCAAAACTACAGGAACGTAAAACGAAAAAACTTTTGACTACATTGTTGCATAAACGTGTTTCAATGTCTACAATTCTGGAATAATGAGTGTGAACAAATGAGTTAATCTGCCCAATGTGCTGGCGTTTCGGGAATAACCGTTTTATAAATATTAAAGTTGAATTGTTGCACTATTTTATTCCACCAAATGTTATTCATATTAATCAACTTTCAGTACTTTTAATCTCCTCTCAGTAACTATGCAATTTTCACTTTTCAGCATTGTATCTGCCAGCTATTTTCTATTTTTGCAAATAAAAAATCTTAAGATTTGTCTGCCTCGTCTGGTTTTGTTAATGTTCTCATTTATAATTCTCTGTGCTTTCACTGAGGCCCTTTCTCGCTCTCTCTTGACTTGGAGAGCTCCAGCAATCCGTGCTGAAGCCACGGGCGGTTTGTAAACAATACAGAAACTGACAGGCAGCCATACGAGCGGCAGCCCGACACTCGCCCCCGCCACACCGCCTTCACCTCCCATCTGCGCCGCCTGGCAGATGGAGGAGCGTCGCGGCTCGGACATCTGCCGATAAAACAAGCTTGTGCAGGCCGGGCCCCCAATTTAACGGGACAGCGCGCTGCTATTGTGCTGCAGCTTTACACATGCAGATCACCAGCGGCTGCAGATGGCAGCTGCCCCCAATCCACAGTCACTTAACAATGAAAACTTTACGAGTGGATTGTTCAGCACTAGCTCATTTTATTTTTTCATCAATGAAAGTGAATATATCGCGCAGGCTATTATTTGAACACGTTTCACGGGTCTCTATACGAGATTTATTGTAACTGATAATGCCTGCCGCTAATTTCATTGATTTATGCAAGCCACTACTTCGCCAAATGGTTGCTGATTGTTGCACAGACTTGTTTTCATTCACGAAATATTAAAATGGCATTTGATTGCATATGTGGTGAGTGTGTGGAGAATGAAAAGAGAACACAAGACAGGAATTATATTTAAAACATTTATTGTTTTATGCATCACAGCTTCAATTTTACAATGCAAAATATGAAACAGCATATTTAAATATTTCTCATTTTTTATAACATCTTAAAACTTAAAAAGTAACAATTTTCACATTTATTCTTTTCTTATGGTCTACAAAAAAGTTAAAACATTTTTTTTTATTTTTAAATCAAATATGTCTAAAGTTAAACCTTTAGAATTGTTTAAGTTAATATTTTAAGTTATTTTTTCTTTTTTCTCTTTTTTGTCATATGAATATTTCTAAAGTTAAACCTTTAGAGAATAAGACAACTCTGGAAAGTGGAAAGCACATTGCCGACAATAAGCTACGTTATATTGTGCAGCAATAACATTTTTAAAAACGTCCGTGATGTTAAAGTCCATTTTTAAAAACGCTGCTCCGACGCACCGCCGCGTCCTCTGCGTGTCCAACGCATGCGATATTTGCTCTGTGAAACAGAAACAAACTCGCTTCTCCATCTTCTCCAAACCTCATCCGCACAAAGAATGAGGGCCATTGTGTCGCTCTCGTGGCATACCTGACCTCGTTCACATAAAGAATGAGGGTCATCTTGGCATGGACGGGACGAGAAACGACGTAGAACCGCGAGGGCCACTCGGGCCTGCCTCGCGCTGCCTGGACGGTTCAGCCTCCTCAGGAGCATCCAGGGATGTGGAAACATCATCATCCTCGCTTCAAGGATGAGCAGAGTATTCCTCAAGGTTTACAGCATCTCAGCAGAGAAGAGTAAAGCTCCAGATCAACGCTCGGGCAGAGTGATCTCAGGAACCCACTCGTTATAGCTGCGACTCTCTTCACAGAACAGGTGCAGCTTCTCCAGAGCTGGATCCTCCCAGGAGTCCTCAGCAGGTTTCTGTTGTAACGAAGGAAGAAAGCACTTGATTAAACACGCACAATGCTTAATATGGATAAACAGTTTTTGCTTTTGCCAATTAGAGAAGCTATTTTCTTGATCATATATACATACCGTGATAAGCACGCAGTGAGCATCTTCAAAATCTTCAGCTTTGTCACCAACAATGTCTGAAAGGCGCTGCATGTCGTTGACTCTGACGATGCTGATGTCGTTGTCGAAACAGAAGGCTTGGATGAGAGTGAAGTGGATCTGCAGAGCGATGTCGCACTCAAACTCCTCATCCACCGCCAGGACGCAGAATGACACGCTGTCTGGGTCACTGAAATATAAGAAAATCACAAATGTAAGTCTCACATGTAAGTACACAGATAACGACTGATAAATAATGTTGCATGAAGAACGAGAGAGAGGGTTAGGACCGCATACTCACACATTCATAACTTTGGCAGACTCGTACACCCCGATGGTGAGGGAGTCGTTTGCTTTGGCAGAAACCAGAACTTCTTCCAGAGCTTTCCCCGCAGAGCACTGAGCTCTCTCGCTGGGCTTCTGGATGAGAACCTCCTCAAGAGTCATGGCGATGCTGGTTGTTATTCCACAGGTTGCAGAGAGCAGAACTGAAGCTGGCTGTAATCCGAAAGGATTGGTGCTCAAGCGTCGTGCGCTCGCGGCTTTTATAACGCTCGGCTCGTGGTGGCTCTGAAAGAAGTCTCCTCTGATTGGCTCCTCTGAATGGAGCATTGGTATGCTAATGCTTTTGTCACACTTCGGCTCGTGGCAGATTGATGAGGGCTGAACTTTTTACGACTTGCTGCAGACTCAAACTAATTATTTAGATTATTTCACTTTTTCAAAACTTAAATACTTTAAAAAGTTTGAGCAGTTTTTTTTATTTAGCTAAACTTTTTTTTTCAATTTATCTCAGCAACAAGTTGGTAAACAACCCTAATATTACGTTTAACTAGGCTAATTTGATGTATTTCTTTCAAAGATCTTTTTTAAAAATATTAAAAGGCTATAGGATAGGAGATACTGAACTAAATAGGAAAGTTCAGCAAAACACAATTAACTTGATTTCAACGTATTTTGTTAAATGTCTGTGTAATGCAGCAGTGATATAAAGATTTCCCTTTAGTTTATAATTTAATAGTGAAAGTGAGCAAATGTGGGGGAGATCCCCCTCCCTCAGCGCAAAAGACAGGTGGAGTGTGGCCATCTGTGGACACACTGAAACGGCCTATTGTGAGTTCAGAAACTTCTATTATTAGAGGTCTTTACAAATGCAAATAAGATGCGCGTGCCATGACGCCCCGCTGCCCAATCTGGCCTGCTGCTCGAGCCACAGACCACGTGACGAGGGGCAGATTTACAAATGTAGGCCACCCTGAACATTTAGCAAAGTTTCAATTCCTTATAATCTCAGTGTACAGAAACTTTAACAATATTAACGTGTTAATTTATGTGCGCTTATACTATTTGGTTTTGCGCGTGGCGTTTACAGTCTTTTGGTGGACAGGTGGTTTAAAATTTGCATAATAATTTGAGAAAATCTTTTCTAAAATACAGAATTATAAACCAAACGTGAAGAAAAACAAAATAAGAATCACAGAATAAACTGAATGCATGCGTAAATGGAAGGAAAATATGAAGGTTTGCTGGTTATTCAAGAGGCTCAAGATAACAGGTTGACGATGACTGATGCAGGTCTATTGTTACTCTGGAGAACAGGAGCAGATGGAGAGGCCTCACTTTAGGATGCCCCCACTGGCCCCTCGCCCCCCAGCAGCACATGACTATTGTTTGCAAGTTTTTCTTTTTGTCTGTGCGTTTGCTTTAATATGCATAAGTAAATTTGATCGAACGTTCTATTATTGTGAAGTTGCATCAAGGAAAAATTAGACAAAATGTCAAATAATATTTTTACACGTTTAATATGTTGCATGATTTTAAAGCATGCAAATAATGTGAAATATGAATAAAAATATGTAAAATGTGCATGCTTTTATTTTAAAAACGTAAACGTAAAACTAATTTTGAAACGAAAAAAGAAAGAAGAGAGAGAAAGAACTAGTTGCAAATAGCAAAGCATCTTGTAAAGAGTATAGATGCATTGTTCTAATATCACATCTGCAGTTCGGGCATCTCAACCCTGCCCCCCTTTAAAGCGCACAAGAGTGACAGGTGTTCCAAGACAAACCTGCTCGAGCGCAAAGCAGACTAATCGAACAATTGCTTTTACTTAGTTCCTCCTGCAGCTGCAGATTAGGACTTTCATATTATAAAGCCATTTGACTTTCTCTAGCTGTCATCAGAGGAATAAAACTCACGCAAAAGTTTGCTTTGCCGATCTGAATACAGGTTTCAAACATGGAAACTAAGCAAACGCAATCCCTACATAAACTAAACAGGTTTTAAATGCAGTTAAGAATTTTATTACATGCCTGTTAGTTAAATGAGATCTAAAAAAATGCTTGTGTCTGCAGGCGTAGCTAAATACAGATGAAATTTGCTCAGCTGATGCTTTATCTTCCCCCATCAGCAGATGGGGAGTGTTTCCATAGCAAATGAGAAGCACGTCCAGATGCCACGCGCCGTAAGTCCGGTCATCTTTGGGTATGCAAATTAGCCACGCGTATGTGATGTGTTCAGCAATTGGTAGGCTAATAAATAACCAAACCTTTAGCTCAATCTGATGAATTCATCCATATGTGCTATTTTAAACATAATTTACATTTTAAAACACTTGATCGTGTATTAAAACAATTCTAAATAAACATGTTTTATTCATATTAATTTTAAATAATCTTTATCACACAGCAAATACTAAAACACTCGCCATTTCATTTTGGTTGATTGTTGTCAGTCATATGTTTTATGCATGCATTAGCGACTTTATTGTTGGTTTTAAAACTAGTCTGATTCTGAAACTCTATGGGTAATTCTTCAACTACAGGCACTTTTATATCCTTTGATCATATTTCCAAAATATATGTACTTTTGCTCAAATTCCTTACTACCTTTCTATTATATTTAATATACAAATTCAGTTTATTTATTTTTTAATAAACGCTTAACTAGTGCGTGGAGTGTGACTTGTGTACAATTCAGCATACAACTAATTTATTATATTGACAAATGTAAAATTATTATATATATATTGTGGAAAGATGAAAAAAATTATCTTAGACAATGTTTGACTGCCATAATTTATTTCATTTTGAAATAAGTTGTATATTGAGATGTGGTGGAATTGACATTTGTTTAGTTCACGATGGAAAAATGTTTCTCTTCTTATCTAAGTTTGTCCTCTTACAGATCTTAAAAAATTGTTTAAACTTAGTTATGAGGCTTTATTACGTTAATTTTGAACAAGTTTTTTATTCAACTTCACAAAGGTGCCCAAAGTTGAAGAATGGCCCACATATTTTTGTATTTTAACCATCTTTTTTGCATTCACTAATTCAATTTAAACAGTACAAATGTTTTGAAGGACACTTCACAATAAGGTCCATTATTAGGTAACCTATTTAAGCAGCTCACAAACAAGAAATGTATTTGTGACATTATTTATTATAAATCTTTATTATCGTTAGTTTTTGTTTTAAGTCGAAATAATATTTACTAATGCATTTTTAAAATAAGATTTTATCAGTTAAGGTTGAATATGGTCAAGAAAGCCTAATAAATGCTTTTTAGTGTAAACTAATATTAAACCAAACCTTACTATAAAGTAAAATTCTGTTAATTTTTTATTATTTTTAATGCAATAATATCATGGATATTACATACTTTTTCCAGTCTACTATCTATACTTGCATTAATCAGCTTGTTGAAGTTATGCCCTGTCTTTAGACTTCAAAAAGTTGCCCTCTTTAATTAGGGACAAAAGTGAAAGGATCAGAGCTTGATCCTTTCTTAAGTTCTATAGATGTCACGCATATCTAAAGGCACGCGCCTTGGATACGTCCGATTCTTTTTTTGTTCCGAACAGCCAATCAGAACGCGCAGTGCAAACGCGTGCCACCATCCCGCTATAAATACTGGTCGCGTGTCAAGAGGAAACTCACTCTCCACATACATCGCTCCGCTCGAGCCACTACTGTATTTCAAACAGCTAGAGCCTACATTCATCCAAACCAAGATGGTTAATGAAGGAAAAGCCCTCTCCGAAGCCTTGCTGTCTGCCAAGGCGGAGGGTCGCCTCACTGTTGGCGTCTATGAATGCGCAAAAATCATGAATGAGTAAGTTCAATGTTCAATACAGGCTATACCAGCACATTTAGTCTATTCATCACTATAATGCTACACTGTGCATGTTGACTCATCTTAAAACTACCTTTGTTTTCACAGGGACCCTGACAGTGTGTCTTTCTGCCTTTTGGCCACTGATGACTTCGAGTGCGACATCGCCCTGCAGATCCATTTCACTCTCATTCAAGCGTTTTGCTTCGACAACGACATCAGTATCGTCAGAGTTAACGACCTGAAGAGACTCAACGCTCTCGTTGGTGGAAAAGGTCAACTCGAGGAGGCTCACTGTGTGCTTATAACGGTGAGAATGCTTACAAAATGCATATAACATGTTAAAAGTGCAGAGGTATGTTCATTCGTCCCAAAATTTGGTTTTAATTTCCGCCTGCTCTGTTTAAACAGAACCCAACTGAGGACTCCTGGGAGGATCCAGCTCTGGAGAAGCTGCACCTGTTCTGTGAAGAGAGTCGCAGCTATAACGAGTGGGTTCCTGAGATCACTCTGCCCGAGCGTTGATCTGGAGCTTTACTCTTCTCTGCTGAGTTGCTGTAAACCTTGAGGAATACTCTGCTCATCCTTGAAGCGAGGATGATGATGTTTCCACATCCCTGGATGCTCCTGAGGAGGCTGAACCGTCCAGGCAGCGCGAGGCAGGCCCGAGTGGCCCTCGCGGTTCTACGTCGTTTCTCGTCCCGTCCATGCCAAGATGACCCTCATTCTTTATGTGAACGAGGTCAGGTATGCCACGAGAGCGACACAATGGCCCTCATTCTTTGTGCGGATGAGGTTTGGAGAAGATGGAGAAGCGAGTTTGTTTCTGTTTCACAGAGCAAATATCGCATGCGTTGGACACGCAGAGGACGCGGCGGTGCGTCGGAGCAGCGTTTTTAAAAATGGACTTTAACATCACGGACGTTTTTAAAAATGTTATTGCTGCACAATATAACGTAGCTTATTGTCGGCAATGTGCTTTCCACTTTCCAGAGTTGTCTTATTCTCTAAAGGTTTAACTTTAGAAATATTCATATGACAAAAAAGAGAAAAAAGAAAAAATAAATAACTGAAAATGATGACATATAAGTGTCTATAGGTTTCACTTTAGACATATTCATGACATAAAAAAGAAGAAAAAAAAAACTAACTTAAAATAACAACTGAATGTCTAAAGGTTTCACTTTAGAAATATTCATGACAAAAAAGAAAAAAAAAGAAAAAAAGAAAAATAACTTAAAAACGTTTAAAGGTTTAACTTGAAAATATTTGACAAATAGAAAATGAACTATTTTGTAGAACATGATAGAAAATGTGAAAAGGATTACTTTTGTACAGGTTCCACTATATATTTTGTATGAGATAAATAAAAATAGTTTGAATGAAATTTGTTTGTTTTGCAACTTTTTTGTACGTCAAACATTGTTTGATTCACAAACACAGCAATATAATTCTTTTATTCTGTACAGTTTTTGAAGAAACACAATATTACTATTGGATTATAGTCATATCATTTATACCAACACAAACTTTAGAAGCAGATAACTGGAAGCACTGTGTGTGTGTTCTCTACTTTTGCTGACTTACTAAAACTTGATAGAGTAGTTCTCCAAAGGACCAACAACTTAAGTCTACATTGTAAAATCTACATTAAATGGCATATTTTATCTGCCTGATGGCATGTGAGGTAAGTGTGAGTGAGATGGAAATCTTTTATAATCAGGACATTAAGATCTTAAATTGAAAGTAATTTTATATTGAAATTTGCTCAAGAAAACAATTAAAATCAATATAGCTCCACCTTATTAATCTGTAATGGATGACAAAGCTTATTTTACATTCATAATTAACTCACAAAAGCATTCAGAGTTTAATTAAAAGTGTAATAAAAAGTGCTTGTAGTTATTGACACAGTCACAGGTGTAGGTCAGCCAAACATGTAATCACCCTTAAGTGGTTCCAAACCTTTATGAGATTTTCATTTGCTGAACACAAAAGATATTTTAAAGAAAAACACAGAATTCCATAGTAAAAAAGAAATACAGGAGCAAGAAACAGATAAATGTTTGAAACAAGTAAAGATTTTTGGGTGAACTACCAAGTTGTATACAATCAACAGACCCTAGTTAGGCATTGCATTATTTTGATCATAATATAACCAATATTTTAACCTAAGGGCGTAACGGTGGGGCAATAGGTAGCATGATTGCCTCACAGCAAGAAGGTCGCTGGTTCGAGCCTCGACTGGGTCAGTTGGCATTTCTGTGTGGAGTTTGCATGTTCTCCCCATGTTTGTGTGGGTTTCCTCCGGGTGCTCCAGTTTCCCCCACAAGTCCAAAGACATGCATGCGCTATAGGTGAATTAGTAAGCTAAATTGTCCATAGAGTATGTGTGTGAATTGGTGTTTCCCAGTGATGGGTTGCAGCTGAAAGGGCATCCGCTGCGTAAAACCTATGCTGGATAAGTTGGCAGTTTATTCTGCTGTGGCGACCCCAGATTAATAAAAGGACTAAACCGAAAAGAAAATGAATGAATAAATTTTCATCTAATATCTCTCTCTGTCAGTCTTTTGATGTACAATATGGATGGCTAAACCTCAATACGGGTGGCTGTTCAGTCACATTAAAGTTACAGTCACATCACACTGGTGCTGTGAAAAAAGCAGAGTAGTAGATCCCGAGTAACGTAATAGTATTTTATTAAAATTATACCTGTATAAACTAAAATATTTTATGCATACAAGGGTTGTGGATTGGCAACTGAACTTGATTGCACTGATGAAAACTTTTCATTTTCAACAAGGCTTTGAACCTATGCACATCTAGCATTTTAACACATTCAACATAGGCTTTGTTTATTCAATGATTAAAACTGTTATAGAGGATATTGTGGCAGAAACATTCGTAACTGAATCATTTTCAAGCTTTTTAACTAATTTAGCTGACCAATCAGTTATAAGGTCTCATTTATAAACATGGTGGAAATGCAAAGGTTGTGGTCAATAAAAAACAAACTTGACAAGACAATGTGCACAGCTCTAAGTAAACTCTAGTAAACTCATTTAACACATATAGACTTAATTGAAACACCTTAAAACTTAATATAATCACTATTAATCAATAAATAAATACAAATATTTTAGGAAGGTTTCTACACAAAGTTTTGTAAATGAGACCCCAGGTTAGAAGTAATCATCTTAATGAACCCTTTTCACATTTCCTGGTTTCTCAGTAGCAGAAGTCATCATAATTGGGTTAACTTGTGAGAGAACAACAAATAATTTTTTAAACATTCCTATTTGCTGAAATAGTAAAAGAAAAACTCCATGATGGTGTTATCAAGACTTTCAGAAAAAGGAAAACAATTGTGAGAGACTGATGACGGCAGCCAAAAGAGAGACCAACATCAAATTTACTGTCCTGCCCATACACCTGCATTTCCATCGCCTCTCACAAGCGATATTTGTGTTTTTGTAATTTAATGGACAGATGATGTAATACATTCGTAAATGCATATAATTCATTCATTCATTTTCCTTCGGCTTAGTCTCCATTTCAGAGCTTGCCAAGGCGGAATGAACTGCCAACTATTCCAGCATACAGTATGTTTTTATGCTGTGAGACGCCCTTCCAGCCGCAATCCAGTACTGGGAGACTCCCAAACACACTCATACACTATTACCAGTTTAGTTTGTTAAATTTACCTATAGCGCATGTCTTTGGGTTGTGGGGGAAACCGGAGCACCCGGAGAATATGCACACTCCACACAGACTCGAACCAGCGACTTTCTTGCTGTGAGGCAACAGTCCTAACCATGAGTCATCATGCCTCCATGCATTTAATAGTTTACTTGTTTTTAAAAAAAATCTTAGTCTTGTGAAAAGAGTCCATTAAATGAATGAACAAACCACCATTGCTTTTGTGATTATTCACTTTAAAAGTGTAAAGGTTGTTTAACACAAATTTAGCAAATATATGGACAACAATTACCACTGGATTTAAAATAGAACATTTTTCATCCATATTTTTAACAAAATTGAGTTGAAAAAACAGTATTTTTTTTGCTGTAGCTTCTTATAAAAAGATGTCTAATTAAAGACAAAACTGACAAACTTCTAATCAAACATCAGCAACAATTACTGTAATATGATTCACTGATGTACTTCCTCCTCCTTGCCTTTGTGAAGATCAGATGACCGAACCTTCCTGACAACAGCATCTGATTGGCTAAGAAAGTGCCATCTGGTGGCCCTCTCACACTTCCCCCATCACAAACTTCTGACTGTTGAGAAACAGAGGAAAGAAGTTTAGTATTTCAGATTGAAGTTTAGTGCATATAATCTTATAGTAAACTAAAAAATGTGTTCATAATGAATAAACGTATCTATAGAAAAAATGGAAATATGCAACAAAATAGCAGATATATAAATATCTCATGGAATAAGAAAAATACATATATACATACTGTACATACATACCCCTTTTAATATAAAGTTCCCTGACTTTCACTAACTAAAAGTTGAATTTCCATGACATCTAATAAAAATAGGCAGCCATTGCACTTATATATTAGTAATATAATATTTAACAAATATGGTTAAATAATAACATAATATTAAAATGGTTTAAGCTTTAAATTGTTTTAGCACCCGTTACACACAGACCTTTACTACTTTGATATTTAAAAAGGTATCACAGAAACAATGTTTACAAAATGGTCATAAAGCCTATGATTCACATAAAAACTGCCAATTTAATATATTTGAAAAAATTATAAACACAATTTCACTTCTTAACTCCCACGTTTTGAGTTCACCCCTGAGACCGATATGTGATATATTTTGATATTATCTATCATTCTTTAAGATAAGTTCAGGTTTTGACTTTCATTAATTAAAATTAATTGCAAGCTTTCAAACTCTTCATTAATTATGTACTGAAAAGCGTTTTACTTGCACGTTCAGAAATAAAGGTACAAAATCTGTCTCTGGAGTAGTACCTTTTCAAAAGGTATTCTGTTTCTAACAGGTCCTTAAATGTACATATTAGGCAGGGCAAGGCTAGGCAAGTTTATTTGTATAGCACATTTCATACACAGTGGCAATTCAATGCGTAGTAGCTGAAAGCTGATTCACCCTGCTTTGACTGAACTCTTGGAATTTCTAGTTTATTTGATCCTAGAGATCTGAGTGATCTGTTAGGTTTAGTGAGCATATATGTAATGTATTGAGGTCCTAGGCCATTTAGTGATTTATAGATCAGTAATAACACTTTAAAATATATTCTAAATGTAACTAGGAGCCAGTGTAAAGACCTAAAGATATTAAACGGCACTCATTTTACCCCTTTTACAAGATGCAAGATTAGCCTTTAGTGTCTCCAGAATGTGTCTGCAAAGGTTTAGCTCAAAATACCCATCAGATAATTTACTATAGCCTCCAGAATCTGCTCATTTTGGTGTCTGAATACAGCTGTTTTTGTAGCCTGTGGCTTTAAATGTGAATGAGCTGCTTCTCCCCGCCCACCGCTCCAACATGCATGTCTGCTTCTCATCATGCGTTACGTCAGGTAAACAGCACAGTGACAGACTCGGATAAAGCTGAAATACAGCTCCTTAGTCAAAAAAACCAAGTAAGTTTATTTGATGTATTTTTGTTGTATAGTTTACACACACACACACACACACACACACACACACACACACACACACACACACACACACACACACACACACACACACACACACACACACACACACACACACACACACACACACACACACACACACAATAGCATTTACTGACACCATGCAGCCTTGAGGATTACAGTGGTTATGAATTGCGTATCGATTTTACTGTCTAAAAAAAAATGTTTTAAACAAATAAATCTTATAAAAAAATCCCAGAGGGTTGGAACAGATATTTTATTTCCAGTTTATTTGCAAAACAATGTTCCGGTGGAAATGTGTATACATGTGATTACAGAAACATGGCGCCAGTCGATCAATTCAGTAGACGAGGAAAACCGCACTCCTACATGTTGCGATGCGCCTCAAAATCACTGGGATTTGGGTCCTAATTTACGTCAGGTATCACTCCAATATGATAGCGGACACACTATACATACAGACAGTTCTGTACGAACTGCTTTCAAAAGATTATTTTCATCATAGGTGCCCTTTAATACCTAAAAAGTACAAATGTATACCTCTTAGTACCTTAAGGTACTTAGTACCTTAGGCAACGTGTCGCACTTTCCAGCTGCACCTAGTTAAGATCACAGGGAGCTTCTTTGACCACGAGAAATGCAAACGGCTGAAGTTTAAGGTAGACGCAATGAAAAGTACACATGTTTGCAAATCTACCTAAAGTTACAATCAATAATTC